AGATTCAAAAAGTGCATGGAATGAACTTTGCAGTACTTTCATGGCACTCCTCCTACTCCTTCCCAAAGTGCTCCTGTACTATTTTCTCTTCATTCTTGACACGGGCCACTTAATATTAGAGCGAGACAGAGAATGACTAACCTTTTAGGAAAGAAAATTCCCACCCTTTCGAGAATAGTCATCTGCCCATCCGAAATTCACTACGCCGGGACATGATAAGTATTTTTCGAGAAACTCAACAGCAACAAGAACTAATAGTCGTTTGATTGAGCGATATATCATATTAGCTTCCTCGACCCATGCCGAATGGATATAAACGTAACCACCCGGTGTGGCTCCTGTGTTGCCCTGGAGTACATACAGAATTGTTTCAAACGATAGGGCGTTTCTCTGCAGCCTACTGAACAGGAGGAAGGGGTATGAGAGCAAATTGCACTGTAATACAAGGCAGTATGTCACGACGCTGTTTGACGCATTGGAGTCGATTTGAACGATGCTGGAGCGAGTTTGCTTGTACAATGCTCTCCAAAATATTCAAGATGTATGTGCAACTCAAGGCTGTGGAGGCTTTATAAAATACAAAACACTTTTTCTTGCTGCGAATGGAGCCTCATGAGGATACATTCTAGGAGTGAAATATACTGTCAGATTGAAGTCCGGACAAAATCAGCACTTCGTGATAGAATCCGTAGTCAATCGGTTCATCAGCAATATACGCAACTCCTTCGTTCGTTTCAAGTATATCAATGCGTGGATGGGATACAGGGTCTATTCATAATTAATCAATCCATCTATAGGCGCTTATCAATGTGACACGAAGTTACGCAGTGATGATTGACAGGCCCACCTCGCTCATCCCCACGTGGAAGAAGAATGCCCCGCAAACGAACATGAACTTAATGTCAGCCAATTGGCGTAATCTCATGGACTAATCTTTCTTGCTCCAGCAGCTGACCGAAGTGAGCCCAGGTTTTCCGCTTAGTTGACAGGGATATTCAGGAGGGAGTGTAGCACGACTGCAGAACGAAGCGCATTTTCGGAAGAATTAATATTGAGGTCTGTGCGTGGAGTCTCAAGGTTATTGACATCAAGACATTAAATAACCTTCTATTTCTTCTAGTCTCCATGTGACGCACGGCATGGAACCATGCATGGGCTAAAGTCCGAGTTGTCATTTGTGCGATCAATATATATACCCACCCGGCAAGCCCGACAGCCTGGACCTGTTGAAAAGCTACGAAACTATCAAGAAGGCAAACTTGGCGCTGACATTACATACTAACAATGGCGCACGTGCATGCGAATGCGCAGCCCACTCGAGCGGATGCGGAGCAAACGAGATCCCTCTATCCCTTAAACAGAAAGCGACAGTTGGTTGAGATCCGACCGAAAGGTAGTTGCCTCTCTGAATGCGCGTGGGATGTCAATACTACGCTTAGGGGAGATGGATGGGCTAACAGAAGTTCACTGGAGCAGGCTCGATCCTCATCATGCCATATTTAAATTCAACAGAGGCTCGGAGGAGGCAGCACGCTGACGCCCAGAAGTCTCAACGAGATCGCATGAAAGCAGCGCTGGGCCAAATAGAACGTATAATGAGGATGGGAGGCGCGGGAAATGAGCAAACGATTGGCACCAAGGTATGAAGATAACCGGCACAGCCAATCCCCTAGCATGAGAGACAAATGTGCTCACTCGGAACTTGCTTGGCCAGGCAGAACTGCTCGAGAAAACGGTGGAGTATATCCAGCACCTCCAGAAACAGGTTAAGGAACTGAGAGAGCTGGGTCACAGTAGCCACGCGACACTAGAGGTGGATATCTAGAGGTGCGCCGGATGTCAGGATTAGGTTCAGAGCTCAATGTCAGTAATCCAATCAAACCAGCCAATAAGAAAGTTGAATTTAGGCACGATGTGGTAAATACCAGGCTGGGAGGCTTATGTAAGGTGCCTACATGGCGCACTGGCTCGGGCTCATATGTTCCGCCAAGGGATACCACAGGTTATGGCTATAGTAGCTGGTGTCCAATCGTGGCGTTCACCTTTCTGCCCCAAGAGGATGACGCAGGCGCGCCAGTCGGAAGAAGGACATTCGCGAACAGGACCTCGTGTTTCTGCTCTGTCTCAACGAATTATCCTGACATTTAGCGTGGTCATGGACAAGTAATCTGAAGCTGTCTACATGGGGTGGACACGTTCTCGTATGTGATGGCAGGATTCGTCGGCGGAGGCCCCTCTCGGCCAGTGCACAGACACCAGAGGAATTTCTTGGCGGCGCGGCGGGCCTGGGCATCTTGGCATGCTGGATCGTTCCATCACCGTATCTACTCTACAGCTCAGGGTCTGTCATGTCATGTCATGTCATGGCTCGGATCGGAGCTGGCACATATAAAGGCTGAATCCGGATTCTCCTGCTAATTTCCCTTTGATTCCGTCAGCCATCCAGAACCATTCTAGAACCCTTCCAGAAAGGACAAGCCACCGCGCCGCTGCTTTCTGTCAACCTTCAAGATGGTTCTTCAGCAGTACGACTACATATTTGCCATTGGCACAATATTCGCGTTCCTCGATGCCTGGAACATCGGCGCCAATGACTGCGCCAACTCCTGGTCGACGTCTGTTTCATCGCGTTCGTTAAAGCACTGGCAGGCCATGATCCTCGGATCTATAATGGAGTTTGCTGGAGCGTAAGTTTATGACCTGCTTTCCGCTCTCTGGCCGTGTACTCATCTGTGTTTCCAGTGTTGGTGTAGGAAACAGTGTTTCTGATACTATCCGTACCAAGATCGTCAAGATAGATGCTTTCGCCGACAACGCCCCCCTCCTGATGCTTGGAATGTGCTGCGCTGTGGTTGCGTCTGCTATATATCTTACCATATGTACCAAAATCGGTCTTCCCGTTTCGACAACTCATTCCATTCTTGGTGGTATTCTTGGAATGGGTATCGCGCTTATCGGTGCTGATGATATTATCTGGTGGGGAGGTGATATTAACTCTGGCGTTGTCCAGGTCTTCCTTGCCTGGGTTATCGCACCTCTCTTATCTGGTGTTGCTGGTGCGCTTATTTTCTTGATCACCAAGTATGGTATCCTACTACGGAGGAATCCCGCTCTCAGGGCGTTGTACACCATTCCATTCTACTTCCTCCTAACTACCAGCCTTCTTACCAGTATGGTCCCTCAAAACTCTCATCCCTCTTTATTGCCTACTGACAAAACACAGTGCTTATTGTCTGGAAGGGTGGCAGCAGCAGGATTGACCTCGAAGGGCCTGAGATAGCTGGAACTGTTGTTGGTGTTGGCTTTGGCATGGCTCTCTTCTCTGCCGTCTTCCTTTGCCCCTGGATCTACCGCAGGGTCATCAGGAGTGACTGGCAACTCAAGCCTTGGGATATGATCTACGGCCCTCTTCTCTTCCGCCGTGGTGAAGTTCCTCCCCGTCCTGCTCATGTTGAGACCGTCCGTAACTACTATCGCGGCCACAAGACGCTAGAAGAACTGCAAGCCGAGCGGTCCACTGATGTCGAACAAAGCCACAGAAACAGCAACAGTGAACCTGAGTCCCCCGATCTCAAGGCAGAGCACCAGGTCACTGCCAACTCGCATGACGAGACGCAATCCGTGGATCCTGATGTCATCAACGTTTCTGGGCCTCGTCCCGAGGGAGCATGGTATACTACTCCCGTCCTGTTCTGGCTGCTGAAGAAGGCCTTCCTCAACGGTGTCGAGCAAGACATTGTTAGCGCCCAGAAGGGGGAGAGCAGACTCGCCGGCGATCTTGAGAAGACCCATGCCCATGCTACCCACTATGATAACGAAGCGGAGTATATGTTTTCTTTCCTTCAGATTCTGACAGCCTGTACTGCTTCCTTCACCCACGGTGCAAACGATGTGGCCAAGTTAGTTTTCTCACTTCACCTACCCACTGTCGACTCATGCACTAACTCTTCCCAGTGCTGTCGGCCCCTACGCAACCATCTATGCTATATGGAGAACCGGTGCCCTTGAAGGCGCTAAGACCGAGGTCCCTATCTGGATCCTGTAAGCCTCACCCCTCCAATATAATAACGCGCCCGTGCTAACCCGCATTCTTCAGTGTCTTTGGTGGTGCCGCTATCGCCATCGGTATCTGGACATACGGTTATCACATCATGCGCAACCTGGGTAACCGCCTTACCCTGCACTCTCCCTCTCGTGGGTTCGCTATGGAGCTCGGTGCCGCCATTGCTGTCATTGTTGCTACCAGGCTAAGTATGTCGCCTTTTATCCGATCCTACATTACTACCAAATTGAAACCCCGCCCACACAAGACCACTCGCTAACATATCACACTTTCAGAGCTCCCCGTTTCCACTACCCAGTGTATCACTGGCGCTACCGTCGGTGTTGGGCTTTGCGACGGCACTTGGCGAACTATCAACTGGCGAATGGTCGCTTGGATCTACATGGGTTGGATCATCACGCTCCCCTGCGCCGGTATCATCGCCGGTTGTCTGACTGGAATCATCGTGAACGCGCCTCGTTGGGGTATGCCCAACGCCTGATTTTGGTGGCTTTGCGAGCTTTCCTTGTTTAGCCGCCTTGGATTCAGCGCTCCCTCCAGGTTGAGCTGGGTTCCTCGTCCCCCTCCCCCCACCCAGTTATTGGTGTTAAGCCATTAGTTAGAATATTTAATAATTTAATCTTGCACATTACCTGGTTGTTGGTTCTACGCACTTTTTGGTCATGTCTGACCTCCAGCAGCTCCACCTTAAAAGATTCTACATGTGTTTTAGTGATGAGCCCTTTGAGTGAGTCGATCAGCTTCCACACCTCCCGATTCGTTCCACGGGTGTGTAGGCCTCGCCATTTCACGCTCTCTTCTCCAGAATGGAAGTCTCCACCTTCCGTGGAGATTTGCCAGAAATATCAACACGAAAACAACGGCAGCCAAATTTAAAATTCGAAAAGGAGACAGAGAAAAGTGGAGTTGATGCGCTCTAACTTTAACATACCATGTTCTACCGAATCTGCCGTTGTTGGACAAGATCTTCATCCTCATGGCCAAACCTGTCATGCAAATACTGTTTGAACTCCTTCGAGACAGCCATAACTTTCATCAAATGCTCATATCGTAGGTGCTCATCTTTGAACTGGGCCAGAAGCGTCGCTGTTTGGATTGTATTTCTGATCTCTCGCCCGTTCAGCTCGTTGTCACTCAGATCCTCGATACGCTCTTCTAGCTCTTCAATGTGCGCGCCCACGTTTGTGATGCGCAGATTCTTGATGAACTTGAACCATATGCGTCGTCGCTCTTCTTTCTGAAGCTTTGGGTAATGGACAATGAGCTGTACACGCGACTTAAAGGCCTCGTCAAATGTTCCAATTCGGTTCGACGTTAGCACCAAGACCCCCTCGTAGTACTCAATCACCCGCAGGAAGACCGAAACAAGCGCGTTGCGCTGTAGATCCTGAGATGTTCGTTCTTCCAAAAATACATCGGCTTCATCCAAAAGTACCACGCATCGCCACACCTTCCCTAGATGCAGCACAGATTCCAAATACTCCTCGACCTCGTCTGCATTTGTCCCCACATCTCCACAAGTCACCCGGTATAGAGGTCGGTGTGTTAGCTCTGCAACTGACTCTGCTGTAAGCGTTTTTCCTGTCCCGGGGCCACCATGCAGTAGAAGAATGAGCCCATTTCCCTTGCCCTCAATGACGTCCGTTGACTCGTTCGTGGAATCATGTTTCTTGACAAGGGCTTGAATAAGTTCTTTCTTCGTCGAGTGCAGCACGAGATGATCGAATGATTGCTCATTCCACTTGATTATGCTGATGTGCGAGACAAATAGTAGACCTGATTACGAAATCCAATGTCAGCCAACGTCAAGTTCTAATTTGCAAGTCACTCACGCCATTTTTTATCTTGAAACCCAAAGCCATGAACAGTAATGGGCAATAGGAGTAGAAATTGGTCATCAGGTGGCTCTTCGGCCCTCATGGTCTCGTTGTTCAGATACTCGGGTTCTTCGGGTGCGTGTTCTTCTGGATGCAGTTCTCGATACGTCGCCATGTCGACCATGTATCGAGGTTGAATCTGTAATGCCAGTCAGAAGGCTTAGATGATACCAATCAATATTCTAATACTTGCATTCCGCCCATCTTTCTGTATACCGGTAGGAGCGTAGGAAACGAATTTTCCATGCCGAATCCACCAGAATTGACGCCCACGGCTTGCGAGGAGTCTCTGCACATCGATCGTGGCGTACTTGAGCGGATAAACAGATAGATCGGTGATAGCAATCATATCTAGTAGGTCGGGCCATTCGACGCCCAAGGCTGTACGATACTTCCAGAACCGACCGTCAAATCTCCATGTCCAACAAGATAATTCTGTAGGCCTTTCCGGGAACGCCTCCAGAACATAGGCACAAGGTTGACCCTGTTCCCTGGTAACAAGTACATCTTGAGCAGCAAACAACTTGGGCAGATGAAATTTTGTCACCAATCCTTTTGAAAAAAGAGCATCGGCTTCATTATATTCTTGACCGAACATTTTTTCCATGAATTCGACCAGAAAAACGGCAGTTTCAAATGATTCTTCGCCCAACTTCTCTGCCAAGACTGGATCTTCGCGAATCCCACGATGATGATACATTTGCGTTATTAGCTCCCGCATGTACACAGGATCCTCAAGTTCCGAAATAATGTCAGGGCTCATGTTGGTCAACCGGTGAAATGTACCTCGGAGCTCCTCCGACGGAATGAGCATTGCTTCTCCGTGCGATCTTGCTGGCATCCCATCATCATCTAGTCGATAAAAGTATCGAAGCATCCACTTGATCACAGGGTCATCTGGCTTTTCAAGTGGTCGGAACCGGGGCTCTATTATCTTGTGATAAGCTTCGCAATCATAATCCCGATAAAGTATGAGCCCAATGTGGGAATTGGATTCGACGAAATCCGAAATGTCGGCTATGTGACGCTTGCCACGGAGGGCGCTTGCTTTACAGTCGCCAGCGAACAACTGGGGTGCGTCTTCGAAGTAAGTGACACTGGGGTGGCTCTGATGGTCATTGACTTTGGTACAGTGTATACGATGAATCGTGCACGATTCAAATGGGGGTGACGGGCGCACGGGGGCTCTTCTCTTAGCTAGCATTTGGCGCCGTAGGTCACTATCTGAACCAACATCGCTCGATGCGTCTTTTCTTTTCCGTCTTTTGGATAGGTCCATCGTAATTAGACTATACGGTGATTTATAGGTTTCGGGAACGTGTTTGAAGTCGTGGTTGAGAGCTCCCCTCATTTTAGGACAGATTCGATGGCTCAGCCCCCCCTGCTCAGCCCCCTCTAGCCACCAATTATATTGGGTTTTAACTGGGCACTGATTTTCGGGGAATATGTTTCGATTGGTACACTCTAATAATTATGTTTTTCCATAATCTTTGGTGCTTTCTACCCTCACAGCTTAGGTAAATGAACTGTGCACTCACCCCATACATAATAATAAATGCATTTATTCCAACCAAAACAGGAGGTAAATCAGAAGCCACGAATTCATTCAGCTTAAGGGCTTTTTTGACATCAGTTCTACATACATTGGAACCCTGCTATTTGAATACTGGCTTTGAGCGGTTCCAGCAGACATCCCAGCCAGGTTGTGAACCACGCAATCGAATAGATGGCATGATAGCATTCTGCATCGTGCTGTCATTGGAGGCTTTCCAACGTATGTTATATGCAATGATAATCGCCTTGAACTTGGCCTTGGACTCATTGATGGCCCGCTGGAGAGCATCTTGGAATCGTTCTGCCAAGACCGCTTGCTTCATTTCAATGACCATGAAACATTCATCGAGACAGCATAAGACGCGGTACAGGAAATGAAACAATTGCTCTTCACTCGGCTCCTCTTTCAGTGATAAGTTCAGCGCTAAACCCTCCAAAAGACTGTCAGGGATGATCTTTAACGCTTGCGAAATCAGAAATCTCCCTGCCTCCCCGGGTCGGTTTTTGTTGTTGTTTGGCGAAAACGTGTATATCACAGGGATACTTGTTGTCTTTCTTAAGAACTGAATGATATGACAGGCAATATTTTCTGGAGCAGGGAGCTCGGAAAGTGAGCGCGCACGCGCTCCTCGAACTGTCAGTAAGCAACAATTTGGATCTGAAATCCACTGATCTAAATTCTGGAATAGTTGAAAAGAGTCTTTATCTTTTGGCCAAGGATTCCATGAAGGCCCTCGGTTTGCAAATGAAAGGTATCTCTTAAGAACTTGTTCCGCATCTTCTTCAGGTTGAAGAACTTGTAGGAAAGCCAGGCGATCAAATGTGACTCTATAGACGTTGGCCGGCTCCGATTTAGACTCGACTAAAAGCCTGGTTTTTTGGTTTGTATCAGCGCGGCCTCTCAAGACAGATAACAACAGCCTTGTGTACGCTGCTGCCGCAGCCGCAGCATATTGTTGCCAAATCTTATTCTTATGGGAGTCGGCGTAGTCGCAGATTCCCCGTATAACCAAGCATGGAATCAAATTCATCACACCAGCCGCCTCCATTTCGAAGCAAAGTATCTTATGCCTTGCCCGTAGAGAATCCCTACGCTTGGCACTTTTTATGACCTGGTTTCCAGATCCAATAGAACCATAAAAGATTTGAGGTTGATCGGAATGACGCTCAGGCCTGCTGATAACCTGTCCGTTGCAACTGTGGCAATTGTAATCGGTCGTTTCGTGTAGGGAATCTGCAGCAAATAAAACGTCCGCGTCTCGACCTGGAAATTGATATGCAGCTCTTCCTTGTCCAATCTTCTTCAGGGAGATTTGAAGAGAGTTCACTCCTCCGTTTGGGTCGGACTGGAGATTGCTAATTGCGGTCATAAGTAGTCGGGGTGGCGCCTGTAGCCTCCCTGTGCTCTCGAACTCGCCGTTCTCCAATATCTTCCCCATATCATATTGCACAACAGCGGGATTTGCTCCATTGGGGTGACTAACAACCACATCGCCAAGTCTGATATCATCTTCAAACGAGGGCACACCTCCACCAATCCCTACCAACAGACAAAATTCGACCTGTGGGAAGCTTCGTCGCAGGTTCTGCATGACGGCACTGGCGGCATTTGTACCATACTCCCCAGATGGAAGGCAGGTAGTCACCACAAAGTGCTGTCCTATTTGGCCCAATGAATAGTGGTTTGTGTCTTCTTGGGCTGTTGGTAGCTCTCCGTGCTCTTCTTCGAATAATGCACGTACAGCAAGAAGCTCTAGGCTGAGTGCACAAAGAATCGCAACATTATATTGTTTACAAGTGAACGTATTAAGCAAAGAATCTGCCATGGTCTGATTATTTCCCCACGAAGTTACGTTTCGGGGGTGAGCAAAAGATTCTGCCTTAAGCCTCATGTGGGAGAAATGATAACCCCGCTTCATAAATGGCTTCGATTGGACACTCATATACGTGTCATCACACCGCTAGCTGCATATGGGCCTCTGCTAGATCCACCTGGGCAACGGCACAAGGCCAATGTAGTATGTAATCAATCGCCACATCACCCGTGGACAGCTACATCTATCCTCGGATCATCTGACAAACTCTTTTGTTCCATAGAGAGACTTGCACCTCAATATTTATATCGCATCTTGCTCCTTTGCAAGTCACGCGATTTTCAATTAGCGCTGCCTGTTTACTTCTCCTAACCAAGCATCCTATTTGAAAATGCCGAAATTCAAATCAAACAATACACATCTCTCTCTACACCATGAGCTCAAAAAATCATTTCCCGCCAAAAGAACGATCTCGGATGACGTTTCCTGTGAGAGCGAACGGACAAAGCGCAGATTGCACTCTTTCCTAGTGCACCAACGCAGGCATGAGAAGAAAACCCACAAAGTTATTCGCAAACCTGGGGTATCAGTAGCAAGCGCATCACAAACATCTCTCAATAGCGAATCAGCGATTTCTTTCCAACAGACTACGGGCGCTTTTCCGAAGCACATCAATCATAGCATGCAGGAGGCGCTGGGTTCTAGTCAGCTACAGAGGACAATGGGAATGAATGGACAACTCCCGGAGACCGCAATGCAACAACAACAACAACGGCAGCAACAGCGGACCCAACTGCTCCCTAGCTATAGCGGAATACCTACGGTGGACGAACTTGCTACGCTTTCACCCCATGATTTTGACCACGTCTCTCGACTGGCAGAGGAGATGATGAAAAAATTGAGCCCAGAAGATACGGAGAAAATTAATTTCAACCTGTCAGATATGACACCCGAAAAGCGCCTGTACCTAGCCCAGAAGAACCTCGAACCAATGACTTATTTCTTCCGGTCACAGGCGCTCAACCAGATCAGACGATTTCGTCTCGCTCGTCTGCAAACGAGCAACTCTTCCGACGATAAAATCGGTTATGCGAGCGATCTGCCTTGACTCCAATCCAAGTTTAAGGTCGATGCATTAACTAAGGTTGTTAATGCCTGATGACTGACTAACGTATTTCACACGCGAGCGGCGCAGTCCGAAGAATGGGGACCAACACTTGGTATGTGGTCGAGATATTTAGGTTAAAATATCCTAGTTTTGAAGTAACTTTTATATGTGTCCTATAGAAAAGAACTGAAAATCAAATATTTCCATTTAATCCGTTTTTGCTTGCGGCCCGAAGTGGAGTTTGGGCCAGGCGATGAGCCAAGCGATGGGCCAAGTACTACGTGCAGATAGCAAGGGATCAAGGATTTCAAGTTCGACTTTTGCAATCCAATAATATCACACTCTGTGCCAGCTGAGATCAACGCGGCCCGCGCTTGACCTAAGGTGATTCTCTCACCTTATTTATAGCGCACTCGCTCTTCTCATCCTTGGCCGCGCGACGCTAAAGCAGTTCTCACCTTTTTCTGACCCGGATGACACTCACCGCACTATTAGCCGCATATGAACTATACGCCGGTAAGTTAGTAGTTAGGTGAGTGATAACTAGCGAATCCTCACTGTGATCTGTTTTGTTGTTTTTGTCACAAATCTTTCTTTTACCGAATTGGCCCTAGTCTAAATAAAGTCTCGAGAAATTCAGTATACCCAAGGTACAGACAGACCAGCGTAGCTCCAAATTCCTAGGCTTCATTCGTGAGAACAATGCTACGGTTCGATCTTATCATACCAGCGCCAATATCCAGATAGATGAACACGATAACTAAAACGTATACGAGGCGCCTAGGGCGCCAAGAGGGCGAGTAATAGGTAAATACTACAATATTGGGGGTGAGAAGAGGTTAGTTTATGCTAATCTTTCTAGTTTTCAATCTCATCCTCTTACTCTCACGTAACATCACATTCTGTGTCTAATCATGAAAATCCTTGTTAACCCCACACTAGGAAGTCTACCATTGAGTCTTCAAAGCCCAAACATCACTGCAGTCGAAGGGACCCGTGATCTTCGACTTTGTCCAGCGCATCGGCAATGCGCGAACCCTCTCCTTCGAACAGAAATCCGTCGTAAGTCGCCGCACCTAAAACGCACCCGCCAATTGGGGCGAAGAGGGGAACAAGGAAATAGTAATTGGCCGCGGTAAACACCTCTCGACCATAGATGATAGCAGAGAACAATCTCGGGCCAAAGTCTCTAGCTGGGTTGATAGCCTAATTTTATTATTAGTACGAATTCCTAACCGAATGAGCTGGTGAACATACGTAGCCAGTTTGCCATCCCAATGCTGCTCCGATCATAAGAAGCAACAAAAAGGAAGCGAGCTGTGGGGCAGGGAATCGATGGGCGTTTCCCGGATCGGAGATGCTGAGACACCCAAACATCAACACAGCCGAGCCTAGCATCTCAGAAAACACAGCCTCCCAGTTCGACTCGAAGAAGGCACCTGGGTAGGTCGAGAAGATGCCTGCGGAATGGTGACCGACCGGGCTTAGGATTGATCCACCAGGAATAGTGTATTCGGGATCCCAAGCTTTGATTGCCGAACGGTAATTGGTATATACAATCGCAGCGCCGACAAACCCGCCCAGGAACTGCGCAGCCAGCTTGCCTGGGATTTGCTTCCACTGTCCTTCGGATGGACGCACAAGGGCAAGGCAAATAGTCACGGCCGGGTTGATTGTCGGGCTGGGATCAGACAAATAGCCCGAGAGAGCAACAGCAGAGGCCCAGGCGAGGTTGATGGACAGCCAGGTGCCGTAGTTGTAGTCGGACAGCAGGCATTGGGCGACAACTCCGTCCCCGATAACGATCAGGAGAGCGGTCCCGAGAAATTCAGCCGCATATGGCTTCAGTATCCGACGAGGGATCATTTTGATGAAGGTGATATTGGACTCTGCCTGCCTTACCTAGATACAAGGTGAGATGCCAATCCTGGGAACCCCCTGATTTCAACCAAGGTTGGTGTGGGTGTTTACATAATTAGATAAATTGGGGCGGTGACGTCATACCAATAGGATCGTCCTCGGGCATGCCTAATTCGGGATGCCGATTCTCCCGATATCTCCAACTACATGCATCCAATGTACCCCGTACATGCAACATAGATAGATAGCCGAGTCCCCATAACGGGGGCATAAGTACCCCATCTGTGTGAAATGCATCATTGTATAATTGCGCGATATACACCCCACTTCTTCTATTACTGCCTAGATATCCAGCTAGCTCGTGGTTCACTTTTCAACCTACGGTCGAAGTATATTCGGGATCTCCCAAGAAGAGATGAGAGTTTCGCGTTTGCGCAATAGGGAAGGTGGAAGGGTAACTAAAATCGGCTACCGTGCGGATATAGATATCATCAGTAAAAAGCGGGGTGAGATCGACGAAGTTTGGGGGCCTAGGAACACCGGGAACTACGCAAAATACAGATACGCAAACCACAGGAGGAGCATTGGAGGGAAGCAAAATCTAACAGGACTAACTAGTATATATCCACCTAAGCTATACATATCCAAGGTCTCTAAACGAGCCCAGCAAATACCTAAACAGTCCATAGCATAACAGTAATGAAGGAAAAGTTATCCCCAAGGCGATTGAGTGGGCTTTCTATTGCTTTTTAGACTGTCCTTCACCGACAAAGCGGGCGATCTAATATCCATGTCTACATTATTATAAGCACATCAAATGCTAATATATGATTTGTCGTAAGTGAAATCTACTACACAAATGGCACTCGTGTTAAGACAAATTGAAAATTCCAATTTCGTTCATGTTACTAACTTGCCTAAATCAATCGTTCAGTAAAATGCTCTCAAGACTAGCATCACTGAATCAAAAGAATAAAGACTGTAAGTACTGACCTGTATACCAAGAATTCAAGGGATAACTATCCTCGAATTTCTTAAATATCTTCGATGTCAAACCGCATATTCAGTCGTTGAAGGTATTCACCATTGTGAAAAGTAATTATCCTTGCAATTCGCTTCGTACCTTGGCCCCATGCACACAGAACAAACGCTGCAACAGCCTTACCCATTGTAGTACCCAGCAGAGCATCAAACTCGCGCGAGGGACTGTCCCAGATCTCCTGTTCGCTGGAAGGGTACGCAATCCCTTCAGATTTATACACCTCATCACGAATGCATTCCACAGTGTCAGTCTCTGATATATCAGTCACAAATACGTATTTGAGGCTTCGGAGAGGAAAGTCCATCTCATAGGCAGCCTTCGTAAATTCCGACATGTGTGGAGCAGCGCTTCGCCTTGATCGGCGGATCCAGTCAAGGAACACTACTCCTTGTCCAGTGCGTCCCTCCCATCCCACGGGTGGGCCTTTGCGATTCTTGATTTCTATCTTGTTAAGCTCGGTCGGTAGATCGTGCGGGTAGATCCAGGTATCCCACGTTGAATCCAACGATGCAGACTCATGGGTGACGGAATAATCCCGGGGCTGGGGGTAATATGTCACAGCAAATGTGGATTTGGGGTATGGGCACCCCGGTTCATGGTAGCGTTCAATCCATCTCCTTAAGCTTCGCCCTTTTTCTTCCCATGGAGAGTATCTAGGCATGGTGAATTAGGTGTTGGAGTGCTGTTTTGGGCGTGTGGCAAGAGAAAAATCTGAAACAATACTCACTCTCTCGTAGATTTAACAGGATTAAAAGATGCTGTTCAATGCCCAAGTTTATACATGCTTGATATTTATCAAAAGGTAATGACAAAAAGGACGGGCAATACCATTGTTTGAATAACGCCCAAGTAAAGAACGACTATAAAGCCAAAGCGAACAATGAAGCCTAGTGAGAAAAGAAAGCCATTAGGCTATGGAAAACAATATGGCTGAGGACAAAGGAAAAATTACCCAAGAGTGAAAAAGTGAAAGAAGTGCAAATCCAACAAAGCACTGGTATATATTAGAGCTAGTGATTATTTATCGTTCTAATTTATGCCACTCTGGGCACCTCAAGTGGCAACTCTGGGCAACGAGACCCTCTATTGGAGCACGCAATATAAACCTAGTGATACGTGATATACAGTGTATTGATTCTCAATCGAGGATTCTTTGATACAAACACCTATAACACGATGCTTTAGCAACAGGCCTAGTATAGAAGTAACCGATGCCCGGGATTGACCTTCTTTTTTCTATCTTCGTTCTGTATTCAATATGAAGTTCCACCTATGTTGATGGATAGGGCTTGACTAATGAGACCTTAATACAATGTCAGGCTCTTGAGGGTTGAAAAGCAAATTTCAACAAACTGACGTTTGGACATTATTTTTGAGATTGGCGATTGCTCAACCTACAAGGCTCATTGATATTGGAATATCCCAATCGTCTCAAGCAATATGTACCGATCTTCTCTCTTTTTACAATCATAGGTAGAACTTGCCTTCTAGGGTTGGAATAGAACCTCGGAACAGCCTCGGGATGACATCATTAGTCGGAAGCGCCGCGCCGTGGACGGGCCGCGATGTGCCATAATTCTCCGCATCCGAGCTTTTTAGCCAGTTTTTCTTGACATAGCCGAGATCGGACTCATTCAATGCAAATGGGCAAGGACGCTGGTCAGGAGTTGACCCTCGCCGAAAGAGTAATGTTCCTCAAAAATATTAGTGATCAAACATGACCGCTTGTAATGTTAGCGGAATTGGACGGCGCAACCAGAGACGAGCTCGTGCAGCGATTACGCCCTAATGCCAAAGACGACAAATACTCTTCGACGCGAAAAAATTGTCCAACCGGTCATATATGTGCTATCGGATAACTTGTACCCCCTCAAGACAGTGCGCCGCAAGTGGACTCAACTCAAAGATCTACCTAATCCTGGAATGCAAGGAATAACTTTTGCTAGTGTCCCTACTCGGGATGCGCACGTTCAATCTTGTGAAATGCACCGGTTCAAGAAAAGTGGATACAAGCACAACTTGCGGCACTTTATAAGGCCGACTTACAACCGCACAGCCGACTTAAATATGGATATGGCCATGTTGATGGAGATGGTATTCCTATTGAGCTATAGGATAATATTAAACTATAAGAGGAAGAGGACAGCCCTGTGGGGACAGATGAAGACGAAGACGGAGAGTCGTAGACTGGGACAGAATGAATGTGGGAATATCATATGGGGTTTGGGCCCGGCTTTGGCTATTAGAATACACATTTTAGTGGCAGTATCACACATGGAGGCAATATTTCCCGAGGGGTCGAAGATCACCATTTGGATGCAACGTACTCGGGTAGCCATCTCAGCTTCGAATTGATCGAGGCATGGAAGCTCGACGACCGCCCAGACGACCTAACATATATCCATGGATGGATCCCTGGACGTCTTACTGCTTGTGACATAACCATGGACTTCAACTTTTGGAATGAATGTTGAAGCCATTCAAGGTTTGCCATAGCGTCCTGTTGATACTCTGGACTCTGTATACTATCAATGTCTTCTAAACTGCTGGTCCGAAAAGATTATCTACCTAGATACTGCTCGAAATTTTTATACGTTTCTGTCCCGTGGTACAACAAGTAATTCAGCAAGCATGCTAGAAAAGCCAAGACTTATGGATCTATTTTGTGTGCATTGATGGCATTTCATAATGAATTGGGCGATATCAAGTGTGGATCGAGGAAATTGTTGGACTACAAAGTAGTAGAAGTGAAAATATATATCGAGCTGTAAGTCAAATTTTTATAGCATTCTTTCAGCGATGCCCTAGGAGCTGAATGAACCAATTTACAAGCCATTGCTATTTTGATGGGAGCACAGAAATAAAATTGACGTGGAAAGTCCGGTCTAATATTCTGGTGTTCTGGTGTTCTGGTGTTGTGTTCGTTTGTTATGCTACGTGGGCACCTATATAAATTATAATTATACTCGATGTATATCTATTTGAATCAACAGGCAATTTTTTCCTTTATGTATATCCTCCTAATCACATGTTAATTTTCTTTTAGCTGACATTCTCAATGATGCTCACGAGAACTACGTTCTCCTTGAGGGCGTTATTATCTGGCACCTGGGCTGGTCTCTTCCTCCAGTACATTCCTGCGAGTATGTAGTTCCACAGGGTTTATATCAATCGCAGCCTTAAGAATAATTGAATATTTACAGATAAATTGAGCAATTTTTGAGAGATTTCCATATATTAAATCGAAACACAACTAAAGTTCTTAAAAAATCCCAACGTTCATACTACCACACCGCCGTGGCAGAATCAAGCTTGCGCCAAACCCCTTTAAGCCAAGCGCCCCAATGATTGCCAAACATCCAAACAATCCACGTAGATTGCAAGGAGAGTCCTACAAGCATCCCACAATCATAATTCTCTCTGCTATCCAGGTTCAATAAAAGGTATGTGAATAACTTTCCCCTGTTTGGAAGGAGCTACCTGCGTCGAAATTTGCCACCAATTGCGCCCCTTCTCCCCGCATTGCTCCGGGGTCGCGCGCATACCCCGTGGTATTTGGGACATGATGTCAACCCAATGGTTTACACGCGTTAAACTTTGTGTCAATCTGCTCGTATACTAACAAAATTCTCTGTATAGCATATTTAAACCCTCTTAAAACCACCACTCTCAGTTTATTCACAATGTCTGCCGAAGGCGTCTCTTCATCGGTACGTTGATCGCAAGTGACACCGTGGCTGTGCTATATCGATGCGCAATGATGCTGTGCAAACATTCCACACTGGTAGTGCATTGTCACAAACTGTTCTAACAACCATTCAGCCCGTCCCCATCGAGGATCTCCAGAAGATCACCACCGAGGTACACCCGCTTCCAAGATAACCCCGTGGAAGTAACCCCGCGCTAACATTTCGCTCCAGGCCTGCGAGAATGCCCTCAAGACCACCAAGACCTACGAGCACGACAACGTCGGAGACTGGAACTCTCAGATCATCGTAAGCATCGCCACCCAATTGCGTGTGGCAACACCGATACTAATAACCCCCCGCACAGAACACTGTCCTCAAGGCCCTGATCACCGCCACCGCACCCGAAGCCTCCAAGCCCCCTCCCTACCGCTTCACTGTGAACAGCACAATCGTGCAGCAGGGCGTGATTGATCCCTCCGTTGCTGCGGATGGCGCACTCAGCAATGCCGGCAAGCGTGGTATGCACTCCGCCTCCGGAGCCTTCTGGGATGTCAACCGCGACGGCATGTGGACTTTCAAGTACACTGGTGCTGAGGAGCGGGGGATCGATGTTGTTGTTTGTGTGACGTGGTTTGCTGTCGTATAAGGACGAGGCTAAATATTAGTTGCCTTGTTCAATGATGAACATATCCATGGATGGCATAAAATTCCATAAGCGGAGGTAGTGACTTTGTCTGTGAGGAGTTCCTTGGACTCCTTATCGGGTTTGCGCCACAGGCATCATCTTTCTTTTTTCATGTACTTGAACATTTGTTTTAGTTCTCTGGGTATGTTCAGATCTGCTCTTTTTCGTGTGATTTGATTTGAGTTCAGTCTGAGCGTGGTGTTATGTTTTTTTTTAGTTTATGGAGACTTGCCTGCGGCGTTCGAGAAATTGAATGGCCTTGTAAACCCATATTAGACTATTACACTGCCAGGAGTATGTAGTGTAGAGGAAGAAAACTTGGAAGGCATATTTGATATTTTTAGTGGTATCTCAACACTATGCAGTATCCCCTGTAGGATGAAAATGGAACGAGCAAGAAATTTGCAAAATAATCCGACAACAAAGGTCTCCATTGACCAACCCGAAACACGCCATATAATCGGAGAAAACATCGAAAACACCCATCATTAATTACGCCATGCCATGTGTAGATTACCTAGAATAAGATCAACGCCAATAGAGACCCATCAACTCATTAAAGCAAAACGCCGGTCAGCCGAGGCAACTCAACCTTGCATCTTGCCCTTAGCGAGGCTCGGAATAGTCATTCAAAGCAACACAAACGGCACCTCGATGGTGGCCGCTGTACTGGCGGATGATATTTCCAGTGCCGAGCTCCCATAGACGAGCGTAGTGATCACTGGAGACAGTCACGAGGTATGCACTGTCTGCAGAGAAGGCGCAATCCCAGACCCAGCGCTGGTGATTGGCGAGGGTGGTCTCCAAGAATAGTGTGTGGTTGACTGGATCCATAGGAGGCCCGTCAGGGGATGAGGTGAATGTCTGTTGTGGTGTCTCTTGACGAGGAGGGTTGTCGGTGATACGGAGGAGATCACGATCTTGGATGGGTGCGTCGAAAATGCGGAGCAGATCCCGAGACTGGGCGGGAACCTCGACAGGGGTTACTGGAGCTTCAACCGGTGTCTCAACTGGAGGGTTCAATGCCTCTTTCTCCTTCCATTGCTTCAATGCCAATTTGGCAGGCGGGAATTCGGCGTCGAGATTCCAAACCTTGGCAGTATGATCCGCAGAGCAGGTTGCAAGGTGCTTGACATCAGGGGAGAGTAAAACACGAGTGAGGTAGTCCTTGTGAGCTTGGAAAGTACAGACGGGGATGATGCGGGTAGTTTCATCGGTTTGAACCATGCGCCACAAGTAGACATTTCCCTGTCGAGATATTAGTAAAGGACCCTAATATCTTCCAGAAAGCCAAATCTCTCACCTTCTTATTTCCAGCGCAAAGCAACGATCCATCACTGGCAACACTGACACTGAGAACCGCAGTGTCCTCCTCGGGAATCAATTGATGAGTACAGACGCTCTCGCCCAAGTCCCAGACACGGACCATACCGGCGTGGTCACCACTGATGAGCTCCCCTTGGTTGGGATGAATGACCACATCATTGACCGCAGCCCGGTGGACGTAGTTCCGCTGCAAGCTACCGGTACGGGTATCCCAGACCTTCACAGTTCCATCCTCAGAGCTGGTAACCATCCATTTCCCCTCACAATGAAATGCCACACCGGTGATGTTATTCGTGTGACCTTCGAAGGTAATCACAGGATTGGGATTGGTTGACTTTATATCAAAGAGCTTGACATTGTTGTGGCCCGCAGCAGCCAGAAACCTCTTATCCGGCGTGATACAAAGACGATTGACTTGAGAGTCTGGATGCTGAATTGTACGCGAACAGATACCCGAGAGCGCTTCCCAAAAGCTAGCAGAGAAACAGTCAGCAAGAGTCCTGGTGCAAATTGCCACTCTGCAAGTGCTGGACAAACGCTGCGCGCGGCTAGTTGAGCCTCAACTTACCGAATGGTATGGTCGTACCCCGCTAAAATATGCAACCAAGGTAATTAGCTCAATGCCTGGAAGAATGCGGGGAGCTCCTTGCGATGTTCCACGTACCGGTGCATAGAATGACACTCATATTCGCCAGGGCTGAGGCCAGTGGAGTATAGTGGGAGAAATAACCGATCTGCGTGATATCCTCGTTCTGGGTACCACTGGAGTCCCTTGAGGCGTTAGGGGAGCTGTCAAGATGAGGCGGCCTAGGCCGAACGTCGGATGGAGTCCCGTTTTCTGCCATAACTACCACGTGATTGTGCATCCACGTGAGTAGAGCGGTGTCGCTGTGTGATGATAAGTCGATAAGCTGAGGGCGGTGGGAAGATAAGATGGTAGCACCTAAAGGGGAGGCGGTCAAGTAGGTGAGCAGAACAACAGTTAAGTGTTGTTTTTTGTCTAATGAGGTCTATTCATGATTTTTGAAGTAAGGTGATAGCTCTTATTTTGTCGTATCTTTTGATTTCCGCATTTGTTCGAATAAAATTTTGGGTGAATCTTTTGTGCTCTCAAACTTGGTTAATCTCAAGCCTGAGACTAGATTGGGCGGTACATTGAGCGGTAAGTTCAAAGCTGTGGTATTGATGTATTATTGGTCAGAAGAAATAAAGAAATATGGCAAAATAATTGATTGGACGGCAGAAAAAAAAACATGTCAATGCAGTTGAACATCTGCACTATGCGTTTGTCGTCTCTATTGATCCCTATTGATTCCTATTGATCTCTATTGATTAATCAGGTAAAATAGAAATGTCACTTCCTTTGTTCTTGTTTGCTCCCTTTGTTCCAATCTATGAGCCCTAATTCCTTCCTCGACGGTTATTACCATCACTCCTCGATACTGCTCCTTCCATCTCTTCTTCCTTTCCGCAACATCTTCTTCTATTCTCAAACCTCATGACTACCTTCCAATCTTGATACCCATTCTCTAGCAACATGGATCCAATTGATCCCAACGAACCGCCCTCTGGGCTTGACCAGCCTGCTTTCGACTCCCAGGCCTTTTTCAATGGCCTTGCCAACCTTGACGCCGAGGGACCTTTCAATGGTTCCAATGACTTCAACTATGAAGTCCCCGAACTCTTGGGCAGCTTTGACGAGTACTATGCCAGTATTGATCTTGACGCGCTTGACCAGTCTGGTTTTGACCAGCCCAGGTTAACCACACCTATCAACCCCTCTGTCCGAGCAGTATCCAACAATCTCCCCGCCCATGCACCATACAGTCAGATGACCTACGACCCCTTGATTGGGATTGCATACACCCCGGTAGACACTGAAGCCGACAAGATCCGAAAGTGGGAGAACCTCATTGCCCATGCCAATTTGGCCAGCGCTGGAGTGCCACCCTCTGCTCCTCAGTCCATTGAGGAAGAGCTGGTTGAACAAAACCCTCCGGCTGTGGACTCGCCCAACTCCCTATTTGAGTCTCCTCGCTCCCCGTCTGTTGACGCCCTTGGGACTCCCAGCACCACTCCGTCGACTCCCTCTCCTCCTCAACCTCCTGCGGCTACAATGGCATCTTCGAACCCCGCGAAGAATTTGACTGTGAGTCCCTATTCGTAGTTGACTCGTTCATATTAGGGAAATGTTCTAATCTTGTTCACTAGGCAAGCACCATTCCTCGCACCGTGCACCTTCCGCGAGCGTTGACGAGCCACAAGGGCTATGCTCAGCACGTTTCACCATTTGCCCCCGTTGCAACAATCTCCCCTCCTGTTCACTCCGCCCCAAATTCTCGCGAGCTTGAGAACGCCCGGTCCCGCATCCAGATCCTGTCCAGGGAGCGAAACTACTATCAACGTTGTTTACGAAAGGCAACTGCTATTGACCCTAAGACAGGCAAGACAAGCCTCCAGCTTCTACAGGCGGAGAATGCGGCCCTTCGCCGGGTCAATGCCAAACAGGTCAAGGAGAATGAGAGTCTCAAGCGGGAGATTGAAGGGACTCGGAAGTCATACGCCTCCCTGGTTGACAACTACAATAGTAACATCAAGCAGCTGCACCGAGCACAGTTTGAGCTTCGACAGCTAGGGAAGTAGGGGGTCCACTGAACATCTGTATGTAGCTTGACAAAGATGACAATCTAATCAATGGCATATATGCCTTCTGAGCTGCAAGTATGCCTCCTTGTCTTTAAGCTTAGCCTTTCTCCAGTATGCATTGCCGATCGGGGATGTTTCGATTCGAATTGATACGGGTCAAGCGTAAGATATAGGTGAAATTTAACCATTGGGTGACTTGCCACGTACTATGTTCTGCTACGTTCTGATATACGGGGTCAGTAAGAATAGTATAGCACGCTATAAGTTTGAATTTAGTGCAACTTGACAGATTCCTACTGATTGTCTACACCGTCAAGTTCAGGCACAATTATCTGCTCAGTTAGAGCAGAATACTTGTCAAGCATGAAAGAAATCTTAGTTGGGCTCTTGCTTTGGTTCTCCTGCTTCCTTCCGTTGTATTATGTTGTCCATACACATTTCTAATTCCCAGAGGGGTTAAAAGCTAGGTAGCAATCTAGGATCAGACTTGCCAAATAAATCTATTTCTTTTAGAGAGAGAGAGAGAGAGAGAGAGAGAGAGAGAGAGAGAGAGAGAAATATCAAAATCCATATATGCAAAGTAAACTCAGGGTAGTGGAATTTGCAGCAGATGAGCAATATTGAACCTGAGTTTGTATATCACATTCACCTTGAGATCTGAATTTCAAGGTCCGAATGTCTGTTCCTCCAGATATTGTGGAGATTCTACGCAGATAGGATCTTGCTTCTTTGCCCAAGCACGATCTCTCTTACCTTTCTCGTTCATTCTCTTATATCCACCTCTTCGCATCTCTCTCTCGCCACTCATTTTACTCCTATCCTTTCTCATCGTTGCACCCCTTCGCAATTTCAGAATTTCTGCCACTACAGCTACTTCATATAAGATGCCTGGAAACTGCTTGCAAGTCCCGATGGAAAATTTGCTCCTTGTTATTCAGAAACCGTGCTAACTGTACCCAGGTGATTGGGGCACCTTTATTCCATTATGCAGCCCCCTCGGGCCAAAGAGGGGCTACCTATCAGACACCAGAGTTTACTTAGCCAGAGCAGTACACCCAAATTTCCTTTCATCTCATTCTCCCATGTACAATTGTTATCAAACATACGTACGTAGTTTGACAAAGATAATGATTTAGTCACCAGCAAGTATGCCTTCTGAGATAGGTTGGGAGATTTTCAGTCATGATATAATTGTGGAGGTTGCATTGGAACACAATAATCCCACAAGCGGATTGGCGGCCGTAGTGAGATCCGGTAAATTTCCTTTTGGAAAAGGCGTCTTGGTAGATGCGAGCCAATGTTCTTTCAGATTGCCAAAGATATAGCCGCAAGCTATGTGGCAGGTCTCGAGAAAGCCGACTCAATAGTTCGACTCTCACTTCGTCCCCAATTCTCCATACTCCCGAGCTAAAAAGCCCTACCTCAAAGTGCACAGTGCTAACAAAAGTCAAGAAAGAAACTTCATGCATAGTCACTACTTGTATACGAGTCACTTGTCGTGAATACTTCATATCATACTTCTACTAGCTTCAAGGATATCTTAACCCATTGGATTGAGTGTTGATCAATGAAACTTCCACAGTACATAGTAAGGTCAGAGCGTTGTATAAAATCACCATGTTCTTTAATGCAGAAAAGTCCGAATGCGGGAATAAGTGGGTCCTTGCCGTTGAAAAGTCTGCCTCCGCTTATGGTGCACATTTTCACCAACACTCACAATAACAGCGGCCGGCTGGCCCAATGGCAAGGCGCTTGACTACGAATCAAGAGATTGCAGGTTCGATCCCTGCGTCGGTCACTTTCTTTTTGCTTTCCTGGCTTTGTACGACTGCTACTTACTTGCGTCATACTTCAACATGTGTAGCATCTGATTTTTTTGTTTTAGTGTGGTTAGTTCCGATATTTGCACAGTACAAAAGGGTGGCAGAAAAGATTTGTCTTTTTTACATGCTTTTGAATCTTGTTAAAAGTTAACTGGAATCTAGCAGTACTACTTTGTAACACCGTTGGGTATAAGCTTTAAGAACTAGTATCAAACCTAATATCTTCCGGCCTGGAATGGTTGTGCTTCAAAACATACTGCCTCGCCTCAATGGGCATATCAAATATCCGACTTGAACCGAGCAAACCAAACAGTGTCGAATATGACGACACCTTGCAGAATTTGAAGACCCCAGTGGAGGAACTTCGGACACACAAAACAAGGCAGAGCATGGCTAGATCTGGTTCGTTTACAAACGGACATAAAACTGGACCAAAAACCGGGAGCCATATGTCAGCGGCGTTAAGAAGAAAAAAGAAAGCTCAATAAAATCACATCAAGTGGGTTTAGACTCGGAGTGGATGCAAGTGGGCGCCAACCAACGTTCGCCATCCCGACCGGGTACCCGATGTGGATGTCGGTTCGTGGCTTTCGGCATGCCGATTTAGGTACTGGGTTCGGACATATCTTCCACCAGGGCAAGGGGTTCCAAGGTTCTATAATAATTATGTAAGGACTCCTATCGCCGATCTATTCCGACTGTGGTTCTTTTTATTTGCGTCTTGTCTTTTGTTTTTCTTTTGACAGGTTTGACATTTCAACCCGTTGAGCGAAGGGAAGCTTTAGTAGTTTGCTCGTCATGGCGGATCAAGATGAGATTCGTGGTAATTCGGTCTATCAGGTTGAACAGCCTGTTACCGAAACTCCCTCACCGGTTGAAAAGCCCGTTGCTGCGAAGGAACAGAAGTCCGGTTTGATGGCTAAGTCAGTATCCCCATACTTCACCCTCCATGTTTCCCATATACAGCGGAGAACAAAGCCAAAATACTAATCCCCTCGCAGAATCAGGAGAATGTTCAACCAAGATGTCCGGGAGGAAATGCCCGCATACAAGGATATCGAAATCCACACCTGGGATGGGCCCGACGACCCCGAGAATCCCTTCAACTGGAGCCTCAGATACAAATGGCTGCTAACGATCACCGTATGCTTCATGTAAGATTCCATCCCAAAGCACATCACATTACCTTGAAAACATCCAACTAACAAAACCCATCAGCTCCATCCTCACAGGTCTCCCCGCAGGAACCTACGGTTCCGGCAACGACTGGATGGAGAAAGAATTCAACGTCCAGAACTCCCCCTTCCCAAACCTGTACTGGGCCACCACCTCCTGGAACATGGGCGCCGCCTTCTGGCCATTGATCTTCGTCCCTCTGACTGAGGCCTCCGGCCGCATGCCAGGATACTTCGTGGCATATGTGATCCTGGTCATCTCGCTCTTCCCGTCTGCATTCGCAAAGAACTTCGCGACACTCGTCGTGACGAGGTTCTTCGGTGGTGGTGCTTCTTCCGTCTCGATTAATATCGTCGGTGGAAGTATCTCCGATGTGTGGCTCGGTGACCATGCCCGCAGTCTGCCGATGTCTATTTTCGGGTTTACGAGTGTTGTTGGTATTGCACTTGGTCCATTTATTGGATCTGCTATTGTGCAGATTCATAAATCGGAGCCGTGGCGTTGGTAAGTTACAAACCCTTTCTTAAATTTTACATACTCCAAATATCCAAGAAACAAGCAATCAGAACCCACGATACTAACAACCTCCTGATAGGATCTTTTACGTCCAAATCATCTACAACGCCGCTCTGATCCCAGTCTTTTGGCTAATCCTCAACGAAACCCGCCCAGACGTGATCCTGAAGAAGCGCGCACGCAAGATCCGCAAAGAAACCAACCGCCCCGTCTACGCCGCCTCGGAAATAGACGCACCAAGCAAACTCCGCCTTCTCAAGATCTCCTTCCAACGCCCGACAAACATGCTCCTCACCGAGCCAGTCGTAATCTTCTTCACACTGTGGATCAGTTTCGCCTGGGGAATCCTCTACCTATTCTTCTCCAGCGTCGTTCAGACCTACTCCACAAACTACGGCTGGGGCACGATGGGAACCGGTCTAGTCCAGCTCGCCATTTCGGTAGGCGCAATCATCGGAACAGTAATCAACCCACTGCAAGACTGGTTCTATCTCCGCTCCGAGCGACGCAATCAAGAGAAACCTGGTAAACCCATCCCCGAGGCAAGACTGTACACGTCCATCCCGGGTAGTCTGCTCTTTGCCGCGGGTCTGTTCTGGTATGGATGGGCCAGTCAGCCTGATATTCATTGGATTGTACCGACTATTGGCATCACGGCTGCGGGCATTGGGATCTATTCGATTTATATGGCTGTTGTTAATTATCTGACTGATGCTTATGAGCGGTATGCGGCGTCGGCTTTGTCGGCTGCTTCGCTTGGTAGAAATGCTTTTGGCGCGTTTTTGCCGCTTGCTTCGCCGCAGTTGTTTGGAAATCTTGGGTTTGGATGGGCGGGCACTTTGCTTGGGTTTATTGGGGTTGCGTTGTCGATTGTGCCTGTTATTTTGGTTTTCAAGGGTCCGCAGATTCGGGAGAGGAGTAAGTTTATGAGGGAGGCTATGTGGGAGCCTGAGGAGAGGGTTCAGGTTGATCGGTCTGGGAAGGAGGATTTAGGGCCTACTTCCGAGGGAATTGCGTAAGGTTGTCAAGTGTATGCTCGAGGGTGTTCTTTTGTGTTGCATTCCACGGTTGAGTGTTTTGTTTTACATGTTGTCTTCAATTTTGGCAGATTGATATGCATAAAAATTGGTGTTTTGGTAGAAATAGACTAAACACATGAATTTATTGTTTTAATTTGTTCTTATGTCCATCTAGTGGCCTGCTCTATTGTATAATGCCAAGAGGGTAGTATAGAAAGACAAGAAACCAAAAACCACAACTTCCTCCACATGTTCTATCAACTATGAATCCAAGGTAGAAAAGATAGTTGAAGAGGGTATCGGGGCAAAGGGGTCAGGGTCAGAGGTGAATGGCCATTCACATGGATGTTGCTTTTGGGAAACACTTCGCTATCAAACATTCAACCACAACAAGCGCGAAAATTTTACTTCTCATCGCGCATCTTGCGGAAGAAATCCATGACACCGGTGTAGACAACAAGCAGGATACCACCGCCAGGGCCGAGACGCAGCACCTTAGGCGTGAAGCCCTTGTACAGGGCAGCGAAGCCCTCCTCCTTCATAACGGTGCCGAGAGCAGGCCAGGCCCAGTTGTACTTGGGGACCTGACCGGGAACCTTGGTGGTGTTCTGAATACGGGACTTGACGACGTCCATAGGGGTGTTGAGGAGAGTACCGGTGATACCACCAATGCTACCAGCGATCAAGTCGTTACGGGTCTGCTGGTTCTTGTTGCCGGGCTCGACGGCAGGCAGCTGTGCGCGGACCTGGAAGATACAGCCGAAGTAACCTGCGTTCCACAGGATGTGGCGCCACATGGTCGACTCGAGGCCGTTGTACAATGCCAGCGGGCCTTCTGCGGCCACGATCTTCTTCACAACGTCGAACATGCCGTTGTACTTGTGGGCCTGGGCCTTATCCTGCAAACGAATCTTAACCAGTTCGAAAGGCACCACCACGATGGCTTCAGTTGCTCCAGCTGTAGCTCCGGTCAAAGTAGCCAGGCCTTGGGTCTGCTTGTCGACACCGAACAGGTTGCGGTAAAAAGCGCCCCAGCTGTCGTTGGCGGCAAACTTGGTCGCACGCTTAGGTGCCTCCATCAGGATGGGCGCGGAGATACCGCGGTATAGACGGGAAGCACTATATACGTTGTCGCATGTTAGACCGAGAACTGTGGCTGCTTCGCTGGAGTGATGACATACCCCTCGTTCTTAACAATCTTGCGGAAGCAATCGAACATGCCATCGTAGTGATCGACACCAGGAACAGCGGGTCCGGTCTGAAGCTGACTGAAAGAGGATATCGTTAGCTCGTGTCATATGAGGTCGGTGTTTATTGCGACCGGCGGCTTGCTTACATTCGAGTCTTGAGCACGTCCAGAGGGTACCTGCGAGTCACACATCGTCAATTGGGTCCAATTTTTCACACTATACCAAGGATATCTCCAATAGAAGTGGTCATGCGACCAAAGAAGGGAAGTGGAGAGTCGTACATGATCAGGATCTGCTCGTGCGGGGAGAAACGCGTTAGTCAACAGAGCACCTCGTGGGGGTTCCGACACAACGAATTATGTCGGAATCGCTTTCCAAAGCAAAATCAAGAGACACATACCTCTGAGACACCAGCCACCGCACCGGCGGCGAACTGGTAAACGAAGGGGAGGGGCTTCTGGGGAGTTTCGGACATGATGGCGGCTTGAGGTGTGGAATGTCAGTATGGGGCCATACTTGGATAATATTGGGATCGCAAAATGATCGAAAAGCACATTTTTACGATCAAATCACATATCAACTCACCAGACCTAGAAAGAACGAGGGTTGGGAGAAAGAAGAAGTGAGAAGAGCGGAGGTTGCCGGTGTCGGCGAGATTCGGTGGTCAGGTCCGAGTGCAGCAGCCGGTAAGACTCCGCCTGTACGTTTAGCCCGATTACTAAACCCCCGTGGGGAGAGCTTCTATAAAATTCACATTCCAAGCTGTTTGCAGATTTATTGTCATCAATTCATATTCATGTGTATCATGTCTTTTCTTGTCTTCATAATATCCAAACTCCCACACTCATTCCCAGCATCATCCCCAACCTCATTTTACTAACCCGAGGCATCATACCACCTCCGCTAGCCGCGGTCGCTTGTTCCTTGGCGACAGTCGTCCCAAACGCAACGTCCCTTGCAGTACAGCTAGCACCACAGGCAAATCCCATGGGACAACATCCTCCACCCACGGTGTCAGCACAGTGAAACCAGCCCTGGGCGCACCGGTTCCCGCCAGAGCGTTGCGTCGTTGTCGCGACGGGCGCTACAATCGTCACGCCGTCTGATATCATAGTTGTGGAAGATGCAGTCGGGCATGAGGTCTTATCACAGTCTCTTCCGGTGCGGCAGCAACCACCCTGGTAGACAGCGGAGCAGGCATAGAAACCAGTCGGACAGACATCGGCGCCGCGAGTAGCACTGGTTACCACTGAGAGGTTCGTAGGTCGTGCTGGAGGTGCCAAGCTATCATTTGTTGTAGACTTGCTGCTATGGGAAGAGGCTGACGGGGAAGAGCAGAGAATAGAAGTGGAAGTAGTATCCTGCGGTTTGGTCGAGTAGGTCACAGTAGACAACACCACGGTCGAATGAACAGTCACCGTAATAACAGTGATATATGCACCTAATCGAACAATTAATCAAAATTCTTGTATTCTCAGATCCCAATGACAATATAGGAATGAGAAAATGGAAAAGTTCTCCACTTACATCCCCCTTCAACACAATCATACCCCGGAATACAACATCCACCCCCCAAAGCCTGCGAGCAAGCCGTATACCCACTCTTACAGGACCCAATCGTCCCAGAGCACGTCTTCCAGCTAGGACAGCAGCCCACATTGCCGTGCCCCGTATCAGCGACGATCTCGCACGTCTCCCCGGACCCACAGCAGCGATCAGATCGACCGATGGATGCGCATGCCCACGTCCCAGTCGGGCACTTAAAGTCTCGTTTCTCGAACAAATTGTCTGTACTGTCATTGTATTCCCGGGGAAGCAATTCACTGTCTCCATCCGACCCCAATGAATACGATGGCCCGAATGGGTATGATTGGGCCACAAAGCGTGCGGGGGAAAATCCTTCTTCATCGGAGAGGTATCGTTCAGATATGTTCACTGACGAAAAGACATCTCCAAAACTCCAGTAGTCGAGAAAGAATTTCTCGCCTTCGTCGTCGCTCATTTTCTTCACGCCGAGGGCTGGTCCTGCTGCAAGCTGGGATGTTATTGCGGCATTGCGCTGTAGGATGATGTTTGCTGGCAGTGATGGAGAAGTATCAGCCTCTTTAGAATCTAGATCCGTCGATCCACTTGCATTCTCTGCTGAAACCAGTGTCGCAAACTGGGGTAGGGAGCAGAATATGGTGAGGGCGTGGAGGAGCTGCATGCTTCCGCTGAGCATCGTGACCAGTATAGATCTCGAGTCTGTTTAGGTTGAGACTAGTGAAAATAGTCGGGTTGGAGGCTAATTTGTAGTCGGATAATTGTTTCAGATGTGTGTTTCACTAACAAGGGCTGTGGATGAGTTGGTTGGGAATGAAATTTCGGGTTGGGTTGGTGGGTTCATAGGTGCAGATATATGTTCTTGTCTCTCAACATCCAACCCAGTCGAGTTTGACAGATTTGAGACGGAAAGATGTTTGTCAATCTAGGAATAATTCAAGGGCGCATCGGTTTTCTATAAAGCTGCATAGCTGCATGGAGAGGTGGCTGGGTAGTGCAGGATGCAGGAGGCGCACACCGCTACGCATTAGCTTGCAGGACAGAGAGGTCAAGGCACATAGTAGTAGTACTTCTTGGGCAAATTTATATCAGCTGGTTTGAGTATAAGGGATTATTCTCTGTCTCTATATTACTCTACGTAGTACGATATCAAGAGACTACTTGCAACTATTACCACTACAAACTAAAGAACATCCCAACGCTAACTTCAAATTTGCTCATATCATTCGCAAAATCAAAGACCAAATGCTAGTAGCACACCACAGAGTATGGCAGGGTATCGTCAGTAAATGACATGAGGGGCTCTCGCACAGGAAACACGCCAAAAGGTATCAACGGAAATGAGGGGGACAAAACCAAGGCCCCGATGCGATGTCAAATGCAATAAAACAAAAAAAGAAATGTGTGAATCCAATCTCACTTGCGTTTGGCAATGGGAGGTTCAGCATGAAACTTCGTAGGATCGGGGATGACTAGACTGAGACTAGGTTGGAGGATGAATGAACGTCCTTAAATCAATAGATGATCAAGCAGAGGGTTGTTCCGAGGTGCCGTTCTCTTCCTCCTCCGGCGCCTTGGGCAGTAGCTTCTCCGCGTCGGAAGACGGCGATTTGGGCTCTTCTACCTTCTCTGCCTCATCCACATCCTCCGCATCCTCCGCATCCTCCGTGTTCACCTCCTTTTCGCCTTCTTGGTGGTTATCATCGCCTCCACCCTCGTTGTTTTGCTCCGCTGCCTGCGCAGCAGCAGCTTCCGCCTCTGCCTTCTCCATCTCCGCATTGCGGGCCTGCTGTCTATCCCAAACTTCTTTACGGATGCGTTCGTCCTTGGCAGTACGGAGGCGCTCAGTCTCTTCGAAACCACCGCTCTTCTTCAATTTGCCTTCGTCGACAAATGCACCAAGTTCCTTCTGGAAAAGACCGATTCGCCGAGTCTCAAGCTCCTTCTTCCGTGCTTTCTCGGCTCGCTCAATGGCCTCGAGTCGGCTTTCGTGGTTGGGTTGCAAAGCACGGACTTCACCCAGGACACCATCCTTGGCTTTCATGGGATCAATAGTTGGGTCGATTCCAAGAGTCCTGGATGGAGCGCGGACAGCGGTACCACCAGTTGTATTCGTCAAGACCTGCTCCTTCGTAGCTTGCTCAACCAGGGCGAAGGTTTGGGTTGCTTTCTCGAGATCGTCTTGCAAATCGGCAGCGAGGTCCTCCTGCATAGTAAGCTGGTCTCGTTCTTCGCAAACGAGCTGTAGCTCCTTCTCCCAGATCTTGGTCCAGATGGGCTTCTCGCGACCTAGGAAATCCTGCATTTTCTTAATTTCTTTCATGACCATGCTAATATCGCGGCTGACACCCTCCAATTGTCTTGGGAGAGGACGAACACCGCGGGTCACAACATCCTTCCGAAGATCCTCAACCAGATCTTGGAGATCATCGACGCGAGCGACAAGCCGCTCTGATTCACCTGCAAGTTCCTTCTTACCAGTGTTAACGCGAGCACGGCCAGCATCACCTTCGTAAGAGGGAGTAGCAACGTCAACAGCGGCGGTCTTGACCTTGCTTGCTTTGGCACGGACAGCGCTCATAGAACCGGTGATATCGGCAGTAAAGTTAGAGTAGGTCTGACGCAGGACAGCCAAGTCACGACGCAAACTCTGAAGCTCTGCAATTTGACTTCCGCTGCCGGCAATCGATGCCTTGGAATTCCCTCCAACAGCAGCCGGACGGGAGGCTGGAGGAGAAGCAGCCAAGCGAGCGATTTCTTTGGCAGCTTCAAGCTGGCGATCCGAAACCCGCTGGATGATATTTCCTTGGCCAGAAAGCGTCTCTTTGACGCCTTCGACTAGGAGGCGCACGCTTCCAAGGCTGTCGTCAAAGTGTTTCTTGACCTCATCGAGATTGTCAACGTTAAGCACTAACACAGATCGATCTTTGACGTCGGTAAGATCTTCTAGTTCATGTCGGATGCCTGAAATTGGGTCTTGGATATAAATTTCCGGCAAATCAACGCCATTGTCGTGGGTATTCCAGGCAAACTTTTCAATGAAAGCAAGCTGCAGGCGCCCAATGGTGAGCTCCGCAATGCCATCTGGGAGCACATACTTCTTAATTTTGCTTTTATATTGTAGGAACAGCGTCAGCTCTTTGCCCGGCGACGGTTGCTCAGTGCCAAATTGAATAGCCGATAGAGGGGTTGCGATCTGGGTGGACGGTCCGAAGGAGTCCGCCTTCGGGGTTTGGGGAGCTGGTTTTGCGGGCTCAAAAGCGTCATCGAGTGTCGGTCTCTCTTGGGGTACGGGGATGATCGGAGGAGGAACGATGGCAGATTCCACGGTACGATCCTTCTCGTTATGAGCATCGGCTTCGCTGGGCGCCTCGGACGGCGTGGTATCGGTCTGTTGTGGCGCTAATGGAGGTGCAGCAGACGGAGGAGTGCGTTCTTCTTCCACGACATTTGGAATATTTGCAGGTGGGGGAGCTTGCGCGCCTTTGGCGACTTCTTGTAAGCGGTTGTTGGATCGTTGTCTTGTATGAGTAAATGAGCCCCGAAGACGAACTGCATTCAAGGATTCGCGGACATCACGACCGCGATTAGGGATGGGAGAGTTCTGAGTAGGCAGGACAGGAACGCCGTTGGTAGATGTGCCCAAATGTTTCTGAATTTGATAAGCAGAGAATCGACGCGAGGCACGTCGCTCAAGCTCTCCACTTCTTTGCAAAGCCCCCAATGCGTCATCCTCCTTTGGTGGAGGTGGAGGCGGGGGCGCAGAGAACCCGGCGGGTGTAATATACGTTGAAGGCGCAGTGGTATTAGATGCGGTGGCTCGAGGGGTTGTATCATTGTCGAAGGGGCTGGGTTGGGATAGCATTTGCTGGGCCTCTCGCCGCGATAGTTCTCTTTCGGCGTAGTTTGTCATGCGCGGCTCTGTTGTCGAAGGTGCCGAGGAGGTTCGAGCAATAGCTGGTTGATCCTCCAGCGATCCACCACTACCATACCGTCGGTTCGATCTTCTTGGGGACTGGGCTGTTGATGGCATGGTGGATGCTGCAGCATCATCATACAGCTGGCCAATTGCCTGCCCATTAGCGATGCTTCCTGCACTGGCTTGCCGTCCTGGTGCGGGCCGGCCATCTTCGCGCTGGTGCCGGGACCTTAAGCGAGCTTGCTTCTTCTTCAGCCCTTTTAACAAGTTGATGATTATATCTCGAATTCGGGGAAGGTATCTATCGAGGCTCTGGGAAGATGCGTCTTGACTAAGAGTGTCTTCAAGTATGGTGCGGAGCAGATCTGGTACGGGACCGAGGTCTGAGGTGTCGACTCCGATGGCACTAAAGGCCCGACAAGCCAAGTTAAATTCATAGCCCAATCGAACATATACATCCGACACATCATTCTCTGACGCTTGCTTCCGAGACCATTGTGTTAAGGTTTCGAGGAGTTGTTTTGTCGCAACCAAGAGGTGCGTGACGCTCTTTTCGATTTGGGATATTTGCTTGTCGGGCTGTGCGGTGGGGGGAAAGACCGGTTCATTAGCCACCGAGTCGTATGTGATTGACAGGCAGCCTGAGACTTACCTGAGTCTTACTGGACTGGGATCGAGACGAGGCGGAGGAACTGCGGCCGGACTGCTGGGAAGCCATGGATGTGTCGGCACTGCCAGACCCCGAGGGTCGTTCGGGGGATGTTTGATGCTCCAACTGTTCAGGATAGGGGAACTGGGTTCTTGGGATGCCTGAGGACTGCATAAGTACGATAGGCCAAAGTACCGAGGGAGTGAGAACAGAAAGTGAGAAATAGGGCAGAAGCGAGCGAGGGTGCCAAGCATGTGTGAAGATGATGCCCAGCCTCCTGTCAACTTGGCGCCTTACCGCACCCGAACCGATGATCAGCAGCAATTTGTACTACCAATACCATAATTACCATACAATACTGTATAGCCCTGTAATGAAGTACAAGGGACCAAGGCAACGCGTTACTCGAGTATTCAAGCCGCAGTAGCTGGCACATACAATGTACTTCAGATCCATTGATCATTGACAATTGACCTCCAATTTGATGCCATAAAATCACATGCTTATACTATCTGTAATTTAGAAATCATAATACACAAAACATACAACATACATAACAACTTGAACATACAACAGAACAGCCCATAAAAAGGGCTCATCCCTCACCGCATCCACTGATAAGTACCCGATTGATAAGACCCTTGCCTTTGTCCCTTTCGACTGTTCCACTTCAGCTCCACTCCGGCTCTATTTATCTATTTATATTCCTACATAGTACACTCTTTGTGTTGTAGGACAGTGAAGTCGTTTCTTTACTTTTGTATCCCTGCACCACTTGTTAGAATCTTTCGTACAGAATTCATTCTCCTCTTCTGTATAGGGGGTTGAATATCAGGCCCACCAAGCACAGAATGAACAACCCTGCTAGCCCACAATTTGGCAGCCCAACCAACGTGACGCCTAACTCCATTCCCATCTCGAACAACCATAGAAGGATATTTCAACAATGTTATTCAAGAGCCAAGAAGATGCAAGGGGTGACATAGGTGAGATCTAAAGTTATTAGGCTCTGCTAACTCCGTACGATTGACCTGGAGTCACAGCCTCATTTTGGTATGGCCAATATGTCGGGTGTGAAAAGTGGGAGAGTTAGAGCGACTATGTAGGTTGGAGGTGATCAAGGCTGGAACCTGAGGTGAAAATGATGCGATGGAAGTAGAAATAGCTAGCCCGACAGAAACAGCAGCTCCCCTGCCGATACCATAAGGCAGAATGCTGATGCCCTCTTTAAGATGTATTAGATACAAGGATAGTTAACCGGCCGTGTTTGAGGTTCTGTGATGTCTTTTAAAATGTCTTTCTTCCACAGATATTTTGCCCTCCCTTCTCAGTTTCATAGAAAGACCACAGAGAAAGGCGGAGAAAAGACTAAATTTGTGGGAATCAAAATTTTCATGTACATGTATATAATTTTTTATCACATCATTTCCTCGGGTAGGTGTTTCTTATAGCATACCCTAGGTACCCGTTGAATTAATTTGCTAAATCTAACGGCTTTAACTAATACTAAAATTCAACGCGGATTGAAAATTGAGTCTATCGAGGGTCTCATGTAAGAAACAACTTTAACATATATAGATCGGCGATCTGAGCTGTGCGGCTCAACATCATTCCCCGTACACCGATGATCCAAGGCACCCAACCCACTGCTTCATGGCAGGCAACTTCCGATGTTGTCTCGAAAATACCGACAAGAAACCTTCCAAGGTTGAAATATTGAGGTTGCAACCCAGGAGCCTATATTGTATGTAGGTCTAGGTCCACCTGGACCTGGAGCCCCGGGGCCGCTCCGATGCCCCCGGGTGCATCGGTTTACACAAGATGATTTCATGATCTCACCACAGGTCAAGGTTAATTGGGAATATCCAATTGCCGCTGCAGCAGTATACACATTATACCCTACTCTGCGGGAGACATTATTGAGTTACGGAGAGTTAGATATAGAACGGCCGCTAAAAGAGGAAAGCCCCACCCGACGGAGGAAGTTCCCATGGAACCAGATATGGTAGTGACCTCGGGTCCTATGACCTCAGATATGACATCTGGAGGTAGTGTGTACATATATGAATACTGACCCCAGAGAGCGGCAGTTGAGGAGAAGATACGAGGTAGCATGCTCCTAGTATGATGTGAACAATGAGACAAGTACTTGGAACGCCGTGAATGGCCGACAATGCAGTCGATCGTACAAGATGATGTATACATACACGTATTTCCCATGCGGGTTTGCTTGTTTTTATTGGTAGTTCCATTAGCTGCTTTATGCGTCGGAAGTAGTTAAATACATTTTAATGGGTTTATGGGTACCCTATATCGCACAAATGCCATCATTCTGTATTATGGGCAATATAGTCTCAAACTCTATGAGGGGTCAATAGTATGGACGTGGGAGCTACCTCAGCCTGACCCGTACTCTGTCAGTAACATTGGCAATTGGCCTATCCTAGGGTTGGAGGCCCAGGAGCACAGAATACTTATAAGAACAATACATATTATTCCTTTGTGAAATCAATAAGAATATTTCTATTGGCACATTTGAAGTCATATCGCCAAAAAAAAGAAAAAGAGAAAAAAGAAAGAAAAAGAAAAAGGGTGTAACACACAAATACAATACCATACGCGTGACTTCTCTCTCCAGAGTTCCCTTCCCCCATCAACTTGCGACAAGTCCATTTCTCTTTCTTCTATTTTTTCTATCCTTCTGTTCTTTCTCTTTCATTCCTCTTTCCTTATTTTCCTGACATTGGTATTCCGGTATCTCCGCAGTGTGGTGGTTGCTTATCCTCCCCCCTCACTTTCCCCCCCAAGTCCTGTTTGTGCAGGCGGTGTGTTGTGGCATCGTGCCTCATCCTCGCGGCTTTCCGCCGTGCGAAGTTCCACGACGCAAGCTTGCCCTGACTGACACCAAAGTCAATCAATGGCTTCCGCTCTCAACTCTGTGCCGGCCAACAACGCGTCTGGCAATGCCAGCGCGGGTGCCCCCAACCCCGGTCGATCCACTCTGAGATCCAGTAACAGCACCAAGGGGTCCGACAACCGACGACAGTCGGGCAGCCCCGTCGATGGCGGGCAACGGTATGTTTAGCTCTTCCTTCTAGACAATATATTATTGTGTATTCCCATCTCCTCTAGACTTGGAAAACCCCTCATTTGTTCTTATTGTGCTCTTTACTTGTCTTGCTGGCGATTGAGCTCGCGCACGCGCCTTCGAGCCGGTGAGCTCAGTTGCAGGCTTGCATCGAGTTGTGCGCCAACAAGAGCCAATTGAAGCTGTCGGATTCAATGACAGAACTGTTTTGTCGTTCTCTGTTTCGTGACTAGTACCGCTAACGCAAGCATGTTCTACTGCATAGGCGCACAAACTCCCACAAGGCCTGGACCCAAGGGACCAACCCCATCACTCAACGATCTTCATACACTTCCTCGAACGGCAACATGACCCACCAGAAACAGTCTGGGTCCCCAAGACCCAACCAAAAGGAGTCAAACACCCCTGACAACCATGCTCATGACCGCCTTGTCTTCTTATTCGCCAGCTTCATTGTAAGCCAAGTCGCACCACCATCCTGTCGATTAATTCTAAACTGCTATCTAGGGCCTACACGCCACCATTACCACCAAGACCGGAGAGAAGTTTACCGGTATCTTCTCTTCCTCGACCATGGAGCCCAACGAACTTTCGTTCCTGCTCAAGATGGTCCAGCGAACCTCGGAAGAGGGCCAGCCCCGGGCAAACGGCATCAGCGATGTCGCGACTCCGTACATAGGCCCCGCGCCTGAGCATACCATGTCGTTCGATATTAAGGATGTCGTCGACATTGCCGTTCCAAACGTTACCACAGCCGAAGTTTCAGCCAAGGAACCAAACGGTACGGGTTGCTTTGTTTAGTCAGATTCGTTTGTGTATGTACTAATCTAGACCACAGGTGCTTCCCAAGGTTTCAGGACCGACACTGATATCTCCGGAAATTTGACCATGCGAGAGCGCACCTTGCAGCGCTGGGAACCTGCCGAGACTGACATTGATATGTCACTTGACACGAGCAACACTTCTGCAGGATGGGACCAGTTTGAGGCAAACGAGCGTCTTTTCGGCGCCAAGACCAACTATGATGAGAACATCTACACCACTCGCCTCGACCGTTCGGATCCCAACTACAAACAGAAACAGGCGGAGGCAGCTCGGATCGCCCGTGAGATTGAAGGACAAGATGTGGATAACGCCCACATGCGCGAGGAGCGTGGCCTTGTAGCACCGGATACTGGCGACCAAGACGAAGAGGACAAGTACAGTGGTGTTCGCCGCGAAGACAAAGCCTTCCCTCCCTTGCTATCCGGCCAGCCAAACAAGTACATGCCCCCTGGACGCCGTCAGGCAGCTCCCCAGCCTGCTGCGACTCCCAGTGCACCTACCAAACAGCCTGTTCCTTCTCCAGTCCCCACCGCTCCTATCCCCATCCCCTCTCAGGGTGTGGCAAAGGAAGCTGCACCTTCAGACCAGCAAGCTGAGCTGGTCGCATCGCTGCAACCCACAACAGATACCGAGAAAAAGAGTGCCCTGGGCAAGAGTGTCACACCCGTGGTACCTACTACATCCGCTGTACCCGCTGCAAAGCGGGCTGCACCTGAAAATGCGACCGCAAACGTGGAGGTAGAGGTGCTGGATCATTTCCGTCAGTTCGCAAATAGCGAGAAAATCAAGATGCAGGAGCGCCGTCGCAACCAGGCCTCATATGATCGGACCATGAAACTCAACGAGCTGATGAAGTTTTCCAAGAGCTTTAAACTCTCGACTCCTGTGCCAAAGGACCTTGTCCCTATCTTAGCTAAGGACCGGCTCAAGCAGGAAGCAATCATGCAACGAGCCCTGCAACAGGGTGACGACAAGACTACGGCGAAGCTTACCACACCTCCCACAGAACAACAGCCACCTGCTCGTGGTGCTGGACCTACTGGAGCTGTGCCACCATCTGCACCCGCTGATCGTCAAAATTACAACCGCACTCGTCAGGGCTATCCTCCCACTGGGCCGCTCGCTGGCGCTGGTGGAAGATTCCCTCAGCAAGTCGTTCCACCGGGACGTCCTGGTGTTGGTATGCTCAGTCATCGACTAGCGGACAATCTGCAGCAACGAAAGGGCGCGGGAATGGGACCTGTTCCAACTCCTCTTCCCATTCAAGATGCCCGTGGACCCCCGACTGGTCCCGCCAGCGACCAGCAGAGAATTACCAGCCCCGTCAAGTCGCAGGCTGGGTCTTCCGCGGCAACTAAGTTCAATGTCAAAGCTATGGAATTCAAGCCAAACCCCGCAGCGAGCACGTTTACGCCTGGTACTTCGGCAGCTGCTGCAAGCCCACGACCTTTCTCTCGTAACCGCTCTGTGTCACGTGCCACAACGCCGACTGCATTCTTTGGCCCAAGGAAGCCACTGCCTGTCTCTGAACGCCCCTCGATCAGTGACCAGTTTAATCCCATCAAGCGCATGAAGAAAGAAAATGCAGAGTCCGCTGAAAGGTTGATTACGTTGAATGGAGGTATCCCACCCCCTTACAAGACTTTGCCAACTTGGGACACTGCGGATGGCAGCGAAGATAAGACATACGATCAGATGTTCAAACAGCCTGTCGGCGTGCCGACAGTATCACCCCAGGGTCGCTCCGTATCCAACAACACCAACATTCCCCAGCAGCATCAAGTTCCCTTCCACTTCCAGCAAGGTAACCCAGCTATGCCGCCATCTTCTGGTCCTTCGAATGGACCTCATGGCCTTCACTCTCAGGGTCCCCATGGCCCCTCTCATGTAGATGATCATCACCGCATGCAGTTGTCCGCGTCGAACTCCCAGGTTTTCCCGTCCCCACGGATGCAACATGGCTACCCGTCCCCTATGGCTCCCCATGCTCAGCTTTCCTTCCCACAACCAGTCCCGCAATTTTACGGTGGCCCCCAACCAGGCCACATGAGACCTTTCCAAGGTGGCGGTCCTCAATTTGTGAATGGAGCTCCTATGATGGTGCAGCAGGCCTCGAATGGACCCTACATGGGAGTCCCACAAGGCATGACTCCGTATAACGGACAGATGCCCATGTATTCCCCAAACCCAGGCCATGTCTATCCCCAACATACACCTCAGCCGCATAGTGGGTACCCAAGCCCGAGCCGTGGTGCGCCGATGATGATGCACCAGAACTCGCAATCTGGACAGCCTCCTCAATCAATAATGTTTATGCCTGGCCAACCCGGATATCCTCAGCAGTCGGGACATAGTGAGTGTGGCTACAGTCCCCCATCAAGCATCTCCAGTTTTTAACCAACCCAGTGCCTCCCAACCGTGGCAACTACCCACAGCAGCCTCACTTTTCCTCAAGTCCTCATCAATCGCATCATTTCCCACCTAACCAGCATCGGACACCCAGTAACGGCTTCAACCAAATGCCCCAAATGCCACCCCAGATGTCTGCTAATACCCCAGCAACAACCCCTGGAGCTTCCCACCCGGCTGAGGCAACGGATGAAGGAAAATGAACCACACGAATCATGAAGCCGTGAGCGGTTCCCTCGAATGATGCTACATCTTATCGCTTAGCTGTGACTTGTCCGCGCTCTGCATTATTGGCACCTGCCAACTCAAATACCCCGGTTACTCTTCCATGACCGCGTCTTCATCTGTTTCCCCGTCATCGACGCGGTCTTCAGAACATTTGAATTCTGCGGTGAACTTCATGTCGTCTCAAGACTTTCTCGGTGAGTGAACAGTTTTGTGGTGTCGCGCAACATCCGCTGACTCTATGCTCAGACATGACAGTCTGCCAGTTGTGCCTATCTATTTTCCAGATCTCGATCTGGTGGTGTACATGAAACCCGAATTTCTAGGCGATGAACTTGTTGAAATCAAGCATTTGATATCCAACCTAGCTCATCGTCGTATGCCTACCTAGTGCACAACATATCCACATGCGTCATCATCGAGCTGAAGTCTCGAGGGTTTCTCTTTTACTTGAGATGTTCTCTTCCTTCTGGTTTTCTCTTATCCTGTTTCTTTTTTTTCTCGTTTATCTGTTCTCTTGCTTTCTTCTCAGTTGTTGGTTGGAGGTCTGTGTGTGCCCTTGGTGGGCCCACTGGCCTCTGCACCTCCATGGAGGGAAGTGAGCTCTACAATAGGTTGTGTCTCGGCTTGGAGATGATTGGTCGAATGGTGATGTGAATGCAGGTGATCATTCTGGGGAGGAAGCGGAATAGTGAGTGAGGCGTGGTTGAAAATGCTTGAACTTGACAGTACAGATAGCTCCAGCGGACCCATGCCCACCTAGCAATGAAATGGTTATATGAAAATCTCCTCTGCCATTCTTCGTAAATATACAAGAATAGCCGGCCGCTTATGCGATCTTTTCATGTCTTTTTCGCAGTCTTTTGTAATTATCTTTTCTCCATTCCTAAGTCTTCTAGATACATCGAAGCAAAATGAAGAAAAGGCTCAAAAAGTGCAGACGACTTGTCAATATGTAACATTTCATGTAGGAAACGTCCGAAAGCCATCACCCATATTCATGCTCAAAATCCAAATCCCATGATGAATCCCAACAAATATTAGCAATACTAGATAACTTTGGCAGATGTCAGCAATTGCAAAGCACCCCATTTCGAATGAACAATGAGTCGAGTGCAAGGGGAAGCATCTCCTCAGGTTGAATTTCAACAGTGTCATCATCCAAGCCACAGACACCAGACATCAACCCACCGCGGTGCTTCACCCCATTGCAAATTCTTCTGACCACACTCCAGCCATAAACAAGCTCCAGAATAAACCCCCAAAACACCACCAAGCATCACAAAAACCAAACACCTCCAGCCCACACCCCAACCAACACACCTCTCCGACTCCCAACTCCCAACCTCCCACAACAACATGCCCACACCACTCTTCACAGCAGATAATGAAGAGAAAAGGAAGAAGAAGAGAGAAGGAATAGTCAGAAATGTCACTCCCCAAGCAGTAAGAGAGAATACTACAGAGAGGTCCGTATTTCGCACAGCCAACAGAACGCCGCCAGCAAGAATACGTCCAACTCCAAGCCTTCCCAAAGAACACTAGAAGAATGTCACTCAACCGCCCAAATCTCTTCCTCCTCCAATCCCCAAACCCTCGTACCCTTTACGCCACAGCCATTGGTCGCCGACCCGTCCTCATGGAAGCGAAGCGGACACGGCAACCCCAGATAGCAGCGCCACCTCCCCGTTTCCCGTACTTTCTCGCGCCATAGACCCAGCAGCGTGTACACAATCACCCAAACACCTCTAGGATATGATCCCGAGGCGGTCCTCAAGCAATACAACACCGCAATATGCAAAGATATTACAGTAATTGCACGCGAGTTCTCAGCGGAGCGCACACACGCCAAGCCCAGTCACGGTACCGGTTCAGGACGGACAGAAGTATAGATATACACAGTATCTCCCACGATCCAGGACCAACGCCACTTTGTCTGACGTGGCCGCGAGCCATGGGGGTATTGGCTAGAATCCCGCTGCTGCCTGCCAGCGCTCCGACGGGAGACATTTGTGTTCTGCGGGAAGAGTGGGGGGAATGGTGTTATGTGAAGTTGGTTATTAGGAGCGTGATCGGAAGAGGCTGTCGTCGTGGTCTGGGCACAGCTCTGTGATGGTGTGGCACTATCATGGCTGGTCCAATAGACGTGAAGTCTGTTGGAAAGAGATGGTTGGTTCGTGCACGCCTGGTAGTAGCTCTTGAAGTTCACTCCGGGGTCGGTTTGTGGTGTTTTGCGTGGGTTTTGGAATTTGCGGGAGTACCATCGGGTTTGTTGGGTGAGTCTTCTTTTGTGGTGTTGGGTCTTGGTCTGACCTTTTACCAGAGTTCACATCATTGGAGAGGGAGGGGGGGGGACTTGCGTCGCTGGGTGAATTGTGTACTGTGTGTACACGTGTGAGAATGGAATTCGGGGACTTACTGATTAATCAATAGGGTTGTGGACTGTCGACTGGTGTGGGGGTGAGTGTTGACTGGAAGGAGGTAAGTGTAGTAGCATGTGTATCATAAGTTTCAGTGTCATTTGGCGACAAAATTAGACGCGTGGGATTGTGGCATGGAGATGAAGAAAAGGAAGATAAAGCGGAGCTTTATTTATAGGAGCACGTGGTGGCCTCAGGCAAGCAGTGTTTATCACGATAAGGCGGGGGTGAAAGGAGGTTTGGCATTAAATGTGTCTGGCTATTCCGACTTGCAAGAACATTGTATCTGGTCTCTGATAATCTTCAGTCACTAATCCGACCTATTGATCTAATCCCGACAGCCCGCCGCATATTGAACCCTTGGCTATTGGCCGCCCCGACTCGCGCACCCCGGACACCCCAAATACTCCCCGAGCTGCCACATCGGCCTCACCGCGGCCATGGATTTCCTAAAATCAGCCATCGGATCCGCTATCGCGAAGGGCGGAGGTCTTCCCTTCTCCCTCGGCGACAGAGTCGACATCGGTGATTCCGTCTGGGCACTGCACAACGGTACGAAACGGGTACGGTGGCTTTTTGGTTCCTTCCCCCATGCGGGACGAGCTTCAATAGCTGACGACGACGTGCTACATATAGGATGACGGTTCCGCTTGCAGTGTTTTTGCATTTGATGTCAATGCGAACAAGTCACGCCTCCCTCTTGCGAAAAATGCGGTCCGCAAGTCTAGAACGTTGCGCCATCCTGGTGTTATCAAGGTTTTGGATACGATTGAGGTATACTTGGCACTCGTACCTTTGGTCTCAATATGGGATAATGGTGCAGAAGCTTACAACTTGACAGACGGAGCACAATCTTTACATTGTCACGGAACGAGTCGTGCCACTCAGCTGGCCAGTGAAGCGGAGGAGCTTGAGTGAGGAGACGGCCAAGTGGGGGCTGTACACTGTGGCGGTACGATATTCTTGGGAATTTGGTATCATGGCATTGCTGACAGGACTTCTCTGGGCAGACTACTCTCAAATTCATCAATGACGATGCTTCCTCAGTTCACGGCGCCGTGCGCGCATCATCGGTGTTCATAGGCGAGAGCGGCGAATGGAAGCTAGGAGGGTTCGACATTCTGAGCTCTATGAAGGAAGACGATGCGATTATATATGTGAGTTAACATGCCTTGGCTTATTCAGAAAACACCCCGAATGACATCATGTACTGACTCCATGCATAGACGTACGGAAGCAGTGTGCCTGATGCCGGTCGATACACGCCCCCGGAAGTTGTAAAAACTGGCTGGGATACTATCAAGCGCAATCCTTTGGCAGCAGTCGATGCCTACGGGCTGGGTATCTTGATCTTCGAGGTCTTCAATGGGGGTTTCTCAGGCGGCGACCAAGCTGGCAAGACGACAAACATTCCTCCCAGCATGCAGCAAAGCTATAAACGTCTTTGCACTGCCAACCCGAAGTTACGACTGAGCCCGGGGCATTTTGTGGAGCAGGGAAAGAAAGAAGGTGGATTCTTCCAGACACCACTCATCCGACTGACTGAAGATATCGACAGCTTGGGGCTCAAGAGTGACGCCGAGCGTGAAGAATTTATCAAGTGCGTATCCTCCCAACATCTTGCATATAAAGATTTTTGAGCTAAGATGTCCCCACTTGCAGTGAACTTGATAATCTTTCTGATGACTTCCCAGAGGAATTCTTCAAGATGAAGGTGCTCCCCGAGCTACTCAAGTCCGTCGAATTTGGTGGCGGCGGGCCGAAAGTTCTTGGAGCTACGCTGAAGATTGGAGCAAAGCTTTCGGCAGAAGAATTCAATGCCAAGTTGACTCCTGTTATTGTCCGCTTATTTGGCAACCCTGATCGAGCATTGCGGGTCTGCCTCTTGGATAATCTTCCGTCAATCATCGATAACCTTCCCCAGAGAGTTGTCAATGACAAGATCTTCCCTCAAATGGTAAGCTATCCGATTCTGGGTAATGCACGTTCTACTAACATGGCATAGACTTCCGGTTTCACCGATGTTGCCCCGGTGGTTCGAGAACAGACAGTGAAGGCTGTCCTGACTATCATCAACAAACTCAATGATAGGATTGTCAATGGAGAACTCTTGAAGTTCCTCGCCCGCACTGCTAACGATGAGCAACCTGGCATCCGGACAAACACCACAATTTGTCTTGGTCGGATTGCTAAGAACTTAAGTCAAAGTGTAAGTGATTTATCCGCAATGCCGGGCCATGTCGCTAACGTTTCTTGCAGACTCGCTCCAAGGTGCTTATTGCGGCATTCACAAGAGCTATCAGAGATCCCTTTGTCCACGCTCGAAACGCAGGGTTTTTGGCTCTGTCCGCCACTATCGATGTTTTTAGCGAGGAAGACTGTGCTGTTAGGATCCTACCTGCCATTTGCCCTGGACTTCTGGACAAGGAAAAGTGAGTAACTTGCTTGGTCCCTGCCTAACTCTAGCCCGATCCTTACCGTTCAACAGATTGATTCGCGATCAAGCAAACAAGACATTTGATGTGTATGTCCAACGGACACGGAAATATGCCAGCACGATGCCAGACACCGTCATACCGCCTGCCGCACCTGCAGAAGTCAACAAGCCCGATGCTCGTGTTGGGACCCCCAATGATAATTCCTGGGCCGGCTGGGCCATTTCATCATTCACAAACAAAATCGCAACTGCCAACGGCGAGATTGAACCTACCGCCAACGCTACCAAGACTGTTGACCCCGAAACTGCCCGCTCAGCGTCAGTTCCTCGTCCCGCCAAACCATCACTTTCAACCCCAGCCGAACTACCTAAACAAGTCCTCCGTCCCGCAACTCAACCCTTGAACCGGTCAATGTCAGATCGCCCGGCCCCAGTAGTCCACGACGAGCCCGAAGAGGAGGGCGATGACGTCTTCGATGCCTGGGGTGCCATGGACGACGACGAAAAAGATGACGATCCATTCACTGCCGCTGTAACCTCTCCCAAACCCACATCTCCAGTTCCCTCATCGACCAAAGCCCCCGCGGTACCCTACGATGATGGTGGTGAACCTGACTTTGCCGGCTGGCTGGCCGCGAAGTCTCAGACCAAGGCCAAAAATCCCCTGCCAAAGGGTCTGACCAAGGCCGCTTCTTCTAACAGCGTTACCACAAGGTCGACACTAAGCTCTGCCAAGCCTAGGACTGTAGTTGCACCGAAGAAGATTGATACTAAACCCAAAGACGAGGAGGCTGATGATGATTGGGGAGATGCATGGGAGTAAGCTGGAAACATAGCTTGCTCTCTTTTTTTGGTTGTTCGTGTCCATATCTCGTCTTATGCGTGTCAATATCGGACAAAACTGGCATCGAAGGGTATTTACTGCCCTGGTGATGCCTTGATGATATCCCCTGTACTCGTCCCTAATAGATATATCAATTCTACCTCTTCATTCTTCTATTCCCACTTACCCATCTCAAAGATGTTAATTACTATTGTACATGATATTGTTTCTCTCCATCTGATGCTTCCAATAGTTGCTAGCGCTTCATACTCCTCTTTCTCCTCTTTCAATTTCCCTCTCCCTTTCCTTCTTTCGCTCCCACGACTTGACTGCATCGATGGCTATCTGTAACCTCTGCACCTCCGCAATACTCTGATTTCCTATAAGTTCAGGGCGAGCCTGAACCCCTGCAGTCCTTTTTTCCTCGTCTAGCATCTCCCGCAACATCGATAACACGTTTTTCGGCTTGTCCTTCGCCCTCGCCCTCGCCCTCCGTCGTTCCAACTCCTCTCTGTTCTGGCTTTCCTTCTGCTGCCTCTGCTTCTCTTTCTCCTCTTCCTTTTTCTTCTGTGCTTCTCTCTCTTCCCTCTCCTGCTGCATCCTTTGCTCTTCCCTTTGTTTTTTCTCTCTCTCCCTTTTCTCCTTCAGGTTTTTATCCCTCTCCTGTCTTTTCCTTTTCATTTTTTCCGTGTCTTCCTTCTTCTGCTTCATTTCTTGGGCGTACGCAGCCTCGACCTGCTTCTTTATCTCCCCGCCTCTCGCATATTCTTTCATCCATGAACCGCCCCAGTACTTCGGATTCTGTTCCTTGTCTATCACAACCGCCTCATCAATCTTCTTGTTAAGATGCCTGGTTCGCCATACTGGTAACTCATCCCGGATAGAAGTAGGAGTGCGCGGGTTGTCGCTCTCGGAACCCGATGATCTCTGAGGGTTCAATCTCTCGAGGTCTGATGATCTTTCAAGCACGGACAGTGGCTCGGGATCTAATAATTCAAGCTCAGGCAAAGGCTCTAAATTCGACGATCGAGCAAGGTCAAGTAATTCCCCGAGATCTATGACTTGATCCGGCTCTGAATCGGCCTCTGGCTCTGGCTCGGGCTCTGGCAATAGCTCAGGATTTGTTGACTCCTGAGCCTCTGAAAGTGACTCCTCTCGTTCTGTCAACCCTACTCTACGCCGTTTAGCCCCTGGAAGCTCAGAATCAGGGTCATCAATGTCAGGATCATCAAAATCAGGATCATCATCGGAGTTGTCCGGGAATATGAACTCGATATTCTCGTGACCACCAGCCGGAATTTCAGCGAAAAGCCTTGGGAACCTTTTGCCGTTTATCATGAGAGGAACTTTGGGGCGCTTGATGTCGCATCTGTGCCGGAGACGCGGGGCCCAGACAGTTGGGATAAATGCCGATTCCTGATCTGGCCCTTCTAGTCTAGGTAACCAGCGTTGAGGCGCGGGAAACGGAGAAAGGAGTCGAGATCGAACTTGTGAGAGAACTGGAGGTACAGGCGGAGATGACGCTGGTGTTATTGTTGTTTGAGTAGGAGACAGATCTCGAGATTCACGTTCAGATTCATGTGGTTCGTATTCTGTTTCAGACACAGATTTCCTTGATGGAGTTGCGAATCCTATTTCTGAATTTAATCGGGATTCCGACGGTGCTGGTGGTTTTTTCCACTCGCAGGCTTTGCGCAAATGCTCACTTCTGAAGTTTTGTATCGTTGGCTCCGAATAGATCGACCTTTTCAGTGATGAGAAGATAGACCAGCGATGTTCCGATGGCAAGATAGGTTCAGATTCAAATTCACGGAGACAGTCCGGTGGGGAGGGAGCTGGAAATGGCGCTGCCATGCGCCGCGAGCTCTGGTATATATTTAATTTGTTTCGTTTCAGGGCTGTCGTTTTGCATGGTGAAGGCGACGACGAGGAGAGTTCCGGCTCTGAGCTCGGTTCTGCCTCAGATATAGTTTCCCACTCAGTGTCAGCATCAGATGTCGATGATTCACGGGTCTGCTGCCCATAGTCATGGTGAGAAACTAGTGTGGTTCTTTCCTGACCCAGCACTCTTTCTGGCAATGCTGGCGATGGCAAGACAGATTCTATTTCCGATTCAGGTGTAATGACTGACTGTGACTCTGACATTGAATCTGATAATGATGCCCCACGAGGCGTGTGCTGGCGGTCATGATCAGATACTGGCGTGGTATTTTTAAGATCCACAAGCCTTTGCAGCGATGAGGGAGATGACGGTGATGGCGAGGCTGGGTTGCTTCCTCTTTCGGATTCCGAGTCTGTATCTGATGATGATACTTCACGGGCCTTGTTCCCACATTCACTATCAGAGACTAGCGTGACATTTTCGAGGCCTGCAACCTTTTGCGGTGATGATGGAGGTGATCGAAAAGTCAATCGTGACTTCAATAGTGCCTTGGCCTGAGCCGGATCTTTATATTCGAACTCAAACTCAGACTCATACACCGTATTCACTTGAAGTGGAGGCGTACGCTGCAGTGAAGTCCGTGAACGTTTGCGTGATGATCCTGGATCCTGAACCTTTACTCGGGAGCTATCAAATGAGCGTGGTTTGGCTCGCTCATCGTCCGTGAGCGGATGATCGGATGACTCCGCCTGTGGTGATTCCGAGTTCAATCCGTGCTTTTTGAACAATTGCGAAGACGAGGGTAACCTCTTTTTGGCCTTGTGCCTCTTCTTGATCTTGTGCTGGTCATCACGGCGCCGGCCTTTTTCCTTGACTGGAGATGATGGTGACGAAGAGCATTCCGGTGACTGGGTTTGCTGCACCAGATTTGTAGGGTGGTGACGACGTTTGGATTTTGACATGACAACTGGCAAAAGTGCTTCGTTCAGGGGCAAAGACTCATGTAATTGCTGGTGGGGATTGTCGGTTTTATATAGTTCTACTTTTTCAGTCCCGAAACCGTTAGCGTGACGCCAACCGGGGCGGCTATATACCTCCGGTTCACCCGGCAATAAAAAGGGCTGTAGTAAAAGATTTAGACCTAACGGGGTCTTTTTTTTTTAGGAGAAGTAAATTAGGTCAGTAGAAAAAGAATAACATACTTCCTGATACAGTAATTAGAATAAATTGCCTAGTGTGGACTAATATATGCATAATACTGGATGGAGTAGATCCCGACTGACACATTTGACAGCAACTTTATGCTCAAGGTCCTACAACATGGTTTTGACCTAGCTCACAAAATTGCACGGAGCTTTTTGTTCTTTTCTCCTTTAAACTTAAGCTACTGCATGACATTGACGCCTCAGGCCCAAAGAATAATTGCCTTTCTTTTCATTGCCCAAACCAGGTGAGGAACGAACTAAGGTGAAAGTGGAGATACCAAACACTGCCTCGACGGGGCTCCTAGAGATCAACCAAAAGACGCCCAAAAGATAATATTCATTTAGTTAAATAACGCTCAACGCCAACTATTACTACAATAAACCAAGTCAAGTCTCAGACTGGTGTCGAGAGTACAGAAATTCAAATATAAAATTCCATTTTTCGGTCAATTTTGCCCAAAATTCAAGATATCCACCAAGCAAAAAGCCCCTTAATCAAACCCCCGATTCACCAATTCTCCAATATCTCCCCAGCAACGCGCTCCCCCGAACTAATAGCCCCATCCATATAACCAATCCACCTTAGAGAAGTCTCAGTTCCAGCAAAATGGATCCTCCCAGCCGGAGCCCGTAAATAAGGCCCATACTGAGTCAAAACCCCCGGCGGCATGAAAGCACTAGGACCACCACGGGAGAACTCCTCAAGATCCCATCTCTGAATAAGGACATCAGTAGCATTTTCTACGCGAGGACCAAAGAGATTCGCAAAACTCTGCATGACTTGGCGCTTGACCTCGTCTTCGCTCGCAGTATCTAGTTTGCGCATCTCATCCGCCTCAATAAACCCCATCATCGCTCCAAACGATCCATCAGTCGGTGAGTTGTCGTATGTCACTCGGATCGCACCGGTGTCACTCACTCCTTCGCCATTCAGTCCCTCGTCTCGCCACCAGGCGCTCGGGAAGATAGCGATGGCTTTGCCAAGTGCGCCCATTGGCATGCGCTGGTTTAATTGATCTCGTCCGGCGGGCAAGAGGGGGTCGAATGTAATGCGGCTTACTAGAGTCGGGGACATGGCGACGACGACATGTCGGGCTGAGATGGTGACATTATCTGACGAGACGAGGTAGCGGGATTCTTTGAGCTGGACTTTGCGTACCGGTGTGTTGAGGTAGATGTTTTGTGAACCGAGTCTCTCGGCGAGTAATGTTGCCAGTAATTGCGTTCCACCACTCACTCGGCTATCCTGTGCACCGCCGTCGACTCCAATGAGACGGTTGATAGTTCCAGGTCCCGATTCGTCTCCGGCGGCGGCTATACACCACAGCGCATACAACAGAGACGGTTCTCCCATTTCGGTCGATAGAATGGCTGGGATGGCAACGTTGAGGAGAACGCGAGAGTCGGCGGTGGATAGTCGAGAGTTGACGTATGTTTCTAGAGTCATTGAGTCCAGTGCCGTGGCATTCGGGGTATTCCATGGTGCTTCTAGGTCGACTTTGCTCGCTAGGGTATTGATGTCGTTCATGAAGAGTGCAAGTTCAACAAGGGAGTCTAACCCCACCGGGGGAATACCGCCTAGGCTGTCTTGATAATGACGCGCCGTGCTGTTTCGATAGAAAGTAGAATTCCCCACCGTGTATGTCTTATAGGTTGGTAGACCGAGTTCGGCTGCGAGAGCCAGCACGCGGTTTTGTGTTGGTCCAACGTATGCGGCGCCTAGCTCTTGGATGCTCTTTCCTGTCATGTTGGCATTGAGCACGCGACCACCGACTCGGTCTCGTGCTTCCAGTATGACAAAGGATTTGTTGACTCCCGCGAGACTTTTGGCGGTAGAGAGTCCCGATAGGCCACCGCCGATGATGGCGACATCGACTTCCAGGATGGAGGGTTCTGCGACTAGTGCATGGCAGAGGGGGATTGCTATTAGGAATAGCTGCATTGCACTGAAGTATGACCTGTAGTGAATGAATTGCATACTGACCTTGGTATTTAAATCAAAATGGATTGAGGATAATGTCACCGAGACAACTTGCAATCGTCTAGATAGTCAAAGAATGGATACTATTTATCACTTGATTCACTTTATTGCCGACTACTACCCAAGGTCAGAAAGTACGAATACTACAATTAACCTGATTCAGTAGGCCTAGAAGTAAGGTCTTGTGATTATAGTAGTACAAGTGACAGAAGAGGACAGAGTAAAACATACCCCCGTAGGTGTAGCTATTCAAGCAAAGTAAATCAGCAAACCTGAAAAAACAACTCTACGTTACATTATTGTTGCTGGCATGGATCAATGTGTCCTTGTTTCACCTTTGCCCCTTTCTCGCCTTCTGAAATCATCGAACGAACACCCTGAAAATGACGCACAAGAGGAGCAGTTGATGTTTCACTCTATATCTCCATATCCGAGTCTTCTTCCGAGAATTTGCCATCTGATAACGAGGATGCTTCATCACTTGTTATCCCAATCGGCTCTTCGGGCTTTTTTTCTTCGCGGCTCTTTCCAAGCTCTACTTTTGTTGCCGGCTGTTTCTTTGGTTGTTCTGGTTCTTCCTCTGACTCTTCTTCTGAGGATTCATCTTCTGATGACGAATCGGAAGATTCATCGTCTGACGGATGAATTGGTTCTTTTGGCGGCTGTTCTTTTGTCCCAGGTTGCTTTGTTGGTTCCTCTGGTTTGTCATCTGACTCTTCTTCTGAGGATTCATCTTCCGATGAAGATGACGATGATTCAGACTCACTGATATCTTCTTCTAGATTAGTTATCGCTTCTTTCATCCTCCTCATCATCTCCCTGCGTTTCTCTTGCAAAAATGCTTCTGGTGCCAGCTGGATCCTTTGTTGCTCTTCAGGTTCGTGCTCTGACTCTTCGTCAGAGGATCCATCTTCCGATGACGAGTTGGATGATTCATTGTCTGGCAGTTGAATCAGTTCTTCAGAATTGTCTTTGAGTTCTTTTAGCAGCTCTTCTTTTGCTATCAGTTGCTGTTTTGGTTCCCCTGGCTCGTCATCTGAGTCTTCTTCTGACGATTCGTCTTCCGACGAAGACGAGGATGATTCACTGTTCTCTTGCCGTGATCGAACTGCTGGAATTTGCACCGCTTGTTCTTCTTCTTCGGAAGAGTAGTCATCGTCTTCCTCTTCTGATGATGACTCTGCCGAGGATTTCCCCTGCGTGGAAGACGAGGATACATCAACTTCTACCTCTAATTCGTGTGTCACCTTTTCCGGGACTCGCAACAGATCTGAAATTTTGATAGGCCAGCTTTCTTGCCTGTTCGCTCCCATTTGCAAACCTTCTTCTTCTAATGAAGATGAAGACTCCCCATCTCCCGTCGCTCCATAACCATCTTGTTCCTGTCGTATAACCTTTTCCCCACCGCATGGGTTTGGCATTGGCTTTTGTCGCAATCCCTGTGTCTGCTGCCGTTTGGCCACAGGTTGCTGCTCATCGATATCTTGATAGACTCGCTTCGAACTGGCCTGCTGCTGTGGTGTGTCCCCAATTGGGGACGATAAGGGTATTTCGAGCTGTTCGGATGTCCCGTAAAATGGATGCTCAAAGGGTTCCCGTTTTATCGGGACATTGCCATTTTGTGCTGCACGATAAAGATCCGCCTCTCTTCTGCGCTGTAACATCTTCCCCATCTCGCCTGCTGGAATCTGTTCTTTCTTAGTATTATGCACTTTCTAGTGCCAATTGTGCAACTTACCATATCACAGGGAATCTGATTGCGTAAACAATAGTTGCATGTCTGCTGCCCTGTGATAGAATGACATGGTGGGAACGGGCTTTCGTCTCGCCAGCGCACAAAGCACTCGTAACAGCTTCTGATAGATCGGTGTATGGACCCAGCTAGTACATCCATATTATTGGAGAGCTCCATATTTGCAGTCTCTACCGGCACGGTTGTTTCATGCGATATTTCTGACACCCCCTCCCCGTTGTGCAAGGTCACGGACGGCGGATAAGTATGGGAGTGGATCGCTAGTTGATCTCCGTCCTGAGAAACAGGAATTCTTTCTCGGAGTTGGCCAACTATTTGGACATCCTGCATGCCCTCGACGGGCAGTAGATTGGATGTCTCTAATGCATCCGGCTGGGCCTGCGGTCTCCATATCTGTTTGATGCTTTCTGCAAAGTCGAATGTTCCAGCAGCAAATACTTGGACAGCTTCTGCAACTGCTTGCACAGTCCGCTGAAATCTCTGATCACTGGCCATAGTGGATTGACAGGTAGGTTGAGATGACCCCCCCTGTGCTGGTCAATGTGATGTAGGTGTTTGGATATTGGTTCGGCTCCCGGCTGTGCTTATTCTCCGGGACCCACTTTGGGGGACATCAGATTGAGATTTGGACATCCTTTTTGTTTTACACACACCTTTTCAAGAGCTTGACATAAACTATCTAGCTGTAAACAATTCGCTACCATAACAGATAGGGAGTAAGTGAACGAGCTGTTTTATCTCATATCTTGATGTAGCTAGCATTTAACGTTTGACAAGGATACAAAGATACATGTAGGTATACATAAATGCGGGAAGATGCATTAGTTTTGTTAGCTAAAAGAGATGGTTCCATTATATGAACTAGTTCAATTCACATTCACATCTAATCAACTGACAAAAATGGCTCACTGGGTAGAAATTACGAAAGAAATGATCCTATATCAAAGAGAGTAGGCTTATGATCAGTACCCTCCTAGGTGGCTGTGGCCTTGCGGCGAATGCCCCACCGCTTACTGCACCTGCGAGAAGCGAAATTGGGACATAGCTGGCCCGCTTTCCAGGGCCCAATTATGCTCGCCGGTCGACCCTGCGCGTCACCGAAGCTTGACTTTCCCACTGCCTACAAGGCACTGAATGAAACCCACATCATTCAATCAATCTTTCGTTCCACTCCGTCTGCTAAAGATCATTCTTTTTTCTCAAAATAACTCTCCTATCTACAAGATTCTAGTAATATCTGACCAAACAACAATATTGTATATCTGAACTAACCAACACTGGCAAGATTCAATAACGAGAAAAAATTGAAAAGCATCCTAATCTTTTTAGCTTACTAGAGTCATCTAACTGGCTTACCTTATAATCTCGTATAGGTTCATTGTTTAACATTCCAAGGGAGCTTTCTTTATCAATCATCTCCAATATCTCTTAATTCTCAGCTCTCTCGTTATTTTTCCCTTCCAAATTGAATCACTATATAACGGTGTTGGGCTTATTGCACAGGGCTACAGGCTTTGCATTGTCCAAGTTGCCTTGGGGGTTTCCAGCTTTGTTTATCACCCATCAATATAGAACACTATCTACTATTGATGAACGCTAAACCCGCTATGTTGACATTGAAACTGTATGTGGAGTGGGGACCAATACTTGTGCCTATATATTTAGTTGATGATAAGCTTGGAAGACTGATTGATAACAGGAGTGTAGAAAGTAAGCTATATCTGAAGTGCTTGTATGCTCTAACTTGATTCTTTCTAGAGCGATTCCGGATCTGTATTAAGGAACATGGAAATCAACTAATTAATATCTAATGTTGCCACTGAAACTGAAATTTCGCCCCGGACTCGTATTAACTAACATAGCAGGGCTACCACCTCATTGCATCAAGTATGGTCGATTGGAGTTTGCCCTGGACCAGGACTAGCGCTCGTGTGTTTTCAATTTCGTCTATCCATACCCACAAAGTATTGCTCACGGCTTTGTACCCAGGATCCCGAGGGTTGCTAAGCCTAATGATCTGCATGTGACTACCATGGATTAAATAATTTTGACATGACTGGAGGATAACAGATTGATTAGACATAATCTAAATGGCGTTAATGAACAGCGGGTTTGAGTATGTAGCAGCTTAACTATACCTTTCCAACTCCTTTCACTTCAAGCTCCTCGTAAAAGCAATACATCTCAATAGTTTTGCCATGATTCCGGTGATATTCTTCTAGCATAGTAAGAAACTCCTGTGAAAGGAAAGCAAGCACCTCTGAGCCCAGTGCAACAACCTTCACAATTTCTCTATTTTTATTCCGGTGACATCTTCTAGGACTTTCTAAATTAGGTATACAAGAATAATCGGCCGCGTTTGCAGACTTATGATGTCATTTTAGATGGTCTTTTGAGGTGTGTCTTTTCAAACGTCTTTTTAGCTCGTGTTTTGAGATGGATGTGAAGGCGGTAAAAAAAGTATACTTTGTGCAAGCGTTTTTTCTATGTATAACCTGTGACTTCTGCATGACCCACATATACATAGACATAAGTGCGTAGCTCAGTAGCTACCTAGTAACGTCCAAATACGTTGTAGCTGTTTTTCGATTATAATGTATCCCTATGTACAGTCACAAGCAAAAACCCTATGTGCTGTGTCCAGGACTGCCATGGAGAAGCCCGCTCACGCTGGACATTTTTGAAGGGACCCGGTAAAGTGTCGAGTGATCGATCTAGAGAGCGCACCAATGAATGAATGAATCGTAATCATATGTTTAGTAAAAGAATTGCTGTCAGAGAGCGTCATATGGATATTGATATCGCGTTCTGCTGTCGGATCGCCGGAAACTGCTCCACCGCCGGAGTTCATAACGGATAAGTTGGAGGTAGACATGATGAACACAGTGGGTTTTTATTGTGTCTCAACTGCGAGTATTTGAATATAGTTCCTCTATCTAAGAGCCTTTGGTTCAGGTAAGGTTGGTAGAGTGGGGTGGTGGAGTAAACGGTTAAACCTTAGCTTCCGCAGTGGATATATACAATACGGAGTATATACTAGCCTAATACCAGGTGAATTACGTGAGTCTTTCAAGGACAGGTTAGTGGTATTATTCTGTGTGTGCACCCTGAAATTCCCATGGAACTATGAACAGCAAATATATGAAGTCCCGTAAATTCCACCCGTACGGAGGAGGACTTCGTACCCTGCTCCCACGTAGACCAAGGGCTTTTTTTCAACGTTATGTGCTATTCAAGTTCCCGGTCCCAACAACAACTTCGCTGTCTTCTTGGCATAGCTAGTACTACAGCAATCGTGCTTCCCGGCCATCTTTGGTGCGTTCTTCGGTGGTATAGGAAGCTTTTTTCACGGAATCACGCTGCCTGTTGTAATCCGAATTTTCTGGCGCGTATTGCGGAAGACGAAGTATGTGGTCGACTTTCGCAGGTGAGTAAATGCTACTGCAGATGGGCTAGTGATTACAGCTGCATACCAGTCAGTGGTGGCGGATTGGATATCTGAGTTATGAAAGAAGCGATGGACAGAGTCAGGGCAACGAACCATGGTGGGTGGTTGTTGCGACAGTAACAAATGCAGACAGTGCATGGTTCAATGTACCCCCAACCATCGTGATTTTAAGTTGCTATGTTAGGGTTACTTCGGTTTCGAGCCGTGGGGTGATGGCATATTCTGACAGTCATCCTTTTTCATCCTTGTCAGAACCCTCTCAGATAGTAAAGCTGGGTGTAAAATTAACTTCACCGTTCTGTACTCTTCTCTCAAGTATCAACTACACTGTCAAGGCGCTAGCTCGAACATTGGGGAAACTTAAAATTCAGAGACTTCTATACTCCCCATCGCCAACCGCCAACCCTTTTGCTCCTCCGTATTTATTTCTTCTCCTCCATTACTCTGTACGCTTACCAAAAGAGCAATTGTATGCACTTATTCTTACCGCGGAGGCTATAAGTCGTCGATTGAACCCTTTGCCTTCATGTCCATTGACGAGAAAGGGCCGAATCATGCATATGCTTTATGCCGTCGGGTCGAGTACAAACAGCCTAGAATCAATTATGGCGGCATACTCTGGACTGGTCTGGATATGCAGACTACCACTAAATACTTGAGGCAAATCTCCGTTGACCGCCATGATCGAGATTCCTCTTGATATCATGGATGCAGAGATCTTGCACTGAAACACACTTTCCAAGTTATCTGTCATCCATGCATATCTCCAGGGCTGGCCGTTCTACTTTACCGTATCTTTTTCTAGACAACCCTAGATCCCCAGAGGTATATGGATATCCATATGCGTCGTACAAGAATAGATCGCCGCACATGCTGCCTATATCCTTGATGGCATTAGAATTTGCTGGTATCATTTGTTTGGCCCCACGATAATATTAGCGATAGTTTTTATAAGAGCACACTACTGTACTTTCAGACTCTCTAAAATGTATACGAAGTCGATACAAACCATAAACCGTACAGGGGACCTTTCTATACAAAATCAGAGACACAATCTTGAATTGATATGATTGAGAGTATCGTAAACAAAACGGGCAGCAGCAGGTTATCGACAAGCAAACGAGTTACGATATCTTTGTCTCCATTGTCTCAGGCCGCACCTTCCACTTTCTTGTTCGCGAATTTGTTCTTTAACCCTCCTGTTCCTTCCTCGCCACAAACTCACCTCAGAATTTTTCTGATTTTCCAACTCCTTCTGTCGCGGACCTTCTTCTGTCAAGATTTAGGTCCCGGTCTTCAGGCCACTCAGTCTCAAGCCCAACCCAGCAGTTACACGTACAAGACGATCATCATTATGGGTCGATGGGGATGGCGTCAGTATCACCGTCACTCGTCTTCTTACTTTACCCCAGGTTTAACCAACGTCTATCTTAGGTCTGTTCGAAGGCGATCAGGACCTTGACATCGTTCTCTCCTTGTCCCACGACGGTCTAGGCATCAAGACCGGTGACTGGGAACACCGGTTGAGTACGATGGTTCATCAAACCGACATGCTGGCACCACAGGAGGCCGTCGCTCTCTACAGCACTCCTGAATATGCCCACTCGCTAGCCAATGTCATAGTCCCGTACGTCCGCCAGAGGCTCGACACTGACAACCTCGGAGAACGGATGTTCGCTGCCAGTCGTGCCATGGAATCGGAGCGGGACGATCTTTTCCAAGAGTCCAAGTACCGCACTATTATCTTCGGTGCTCGCATCAACGCAGCGGATCTACAGCATCTACGTGATCTAGTGCCCCAAGTCAACTGCACCTCCCGTCGAACAATCTTTGAGGACCATGGCTTTAGAAGTCCAGGAAAGGCTCAGTTCCTGGCTGCCTTGGATCACTATCAGCCTGGCGTTGCACGTAGCTTCCAGGAGCCTAGGTGAGTTCTACTTTGGAAGGCTAAATGCAGACACTTTACGCTAATGACCTTGATAGCTGCTTCAAGTGTGGAAAAATCGAGGACGACATCGGTCACAAGCCTCTGCAATGCAAGAAGTGCAAAGTCGCGACGTACTGCAGCAAGGTTAGCACGATACAAGCCGGCTTTCTAAGTTTCTGTTCATGGATATTGACTCTTCATAGGACTGCCAGCGTGACCAGTGGCGTGAGCACCGAGTGAGCTGCATTCCCCCGGGACAACGCCGGATGCTGAACGTCTGATCGCATCTTTCGATGGATTCCAATAACACTGGGGTTGGCAAGGGTCAGAATTCGGATGTTCTGGCCGTGTTGTGGTTGAGTGCTTACACTGTCATCCGCAATACCCGAGACCTAGCGTTGCCTGACATGTGGACTTTCTTCCTATCATAAGGATTAGTATCTTCTATTCTAGGTATCGACTCAATCAATGAAGTATTCAATTTAATTTACACACTAGTACCGTCCTGCTCTTGTGGAAAATAGCTAGAAAGTATGAGAGTTGGAAGCAATAATTGTATCAAGCAGACACATCAATATTTGCCTCCTACAAGCTGCTCGGTTGGTAGCATGGGGCGGGCATTTGTCACTGTAAGGCCTTGAGGTCCATGAATATCGGGGATTAATACCAGGCTCCATAAAATCTATGCTAAAGAGCTTGTCAGCTCCCACCAAGTTTTCCACTGACCATCGAGCATCAAAAGGCCTCAGTCTATTCGCTTTCTCCGCCTCCATCTCCCCCTCAGCTTCCGACCACCTAACTGTTTCCATCCACAGATTATAGGCAGCTCGATTGACCTCCAGCGCAATATCCCAATCCTCATTTGGAACCCAGCCATCAGAGTTGATATCCATATTAGCTATCAGCCAGAATATGGGGTTCTGCTTGACCTCAAAGTCCCCCAAGCCCTGCTTATGCTTCCTCAATTCCTCCTGGGTTGACGAGTACGGACACAATCCGTCCAATTCCAACTCTTTTCATCGAGCTGAGAGCCCAATCAGCTCTTGGCGAATCATCACTGCACTACCTGCCCATAGCAGTAACGGGTCGTATGGCAGTAATCGAAGACACTAAAGAGGGCTGGATCGAGCAGTCTGAATACGCACATCTTAGGGAATACGCACTGTCATTACTACGTCGTAAGTTTGGTTGTACAATGAGGAATCCTTAATGTCGCGCTTTGTTTCGCTAGTCTCTTGCGCCTTCTTCGTTCAAGTTCATCACGATTCAGCTATCTTCCACTCGTATATGAATGCGGGTCATCCCCTGCGAATCTGATGTCAATAACCTAGTTCAGACTTCATTTTTCTAGTTGGCCCCTATCACCCTATAACCCACCCTACCTAGAGTGCCGCTTAGGTGCCGATGAGGCACATTGATAATTGCCATGCAGAGAGCATGTGGTAAGAACAAAAAAAGAAGACAAAAACATACAACAGTGAGGATTCGCTGGTGGTCACCCACCCAACTACTAACTCACCGGCGTGTGGCTTAAGTACGGCTGAGCGGACGGGAAGCCCTGTTTTCCACACCCTATGGTCGTATGTATAATGTTACTTGTAAAAGAGAATGATATGATAACAACAGACAGGTGGTTAGAAGATGCAAAATGAGTGAAAACCAGGATTAGAGCCACCTTCAGCCGCGCAGGAAGGCACAAATTGGCATGACTCACGGGATATCTGCTCTGTGGAGGACAGTATTGGAAGTGGAGTTTTGGCCAATGAGCTTGAAAGCATGCGACTTGCTTTGCTTCCCAGATTGAAGGGACGTCGCAATTGGCGAATAGGCCAGTGGCCGCAAAAGTACACACTTTATATTTACTTGCTGGCTATGTTCCCCAAATTCAAGTACGATTTATGGGCCTGGCATTGGAGCATAAGAGGATCAGGAACAGGGGTATAGCTTCTAACTAGTGAGTCTTTCAGACATGGTTGTTGACGCATGAATGCCTGAGGCACGCACAGGATTCAGGAGTCACGTATTTACTCCAGGACTACCCACCTGAAAGTTTGAGAGAAAACTTCACATATAAAAATATATAAAAATACATAAAAATGTAAAAAGACTGTAGAAATACTACAATAGATAGGAGGGATGAATTTAGAGATATACGCATAAGAATTATGTATATCCACTTATGTTGGATTATGCAGAAGTCGGGGGCTAAATCTGCCGATCCCGTCGTTCGACGACATCAAAGCATGAACCCCATGTCTTCCAACGAGAAAAAACGCCTTCGAGATCGTCGCTCACAGCAGACACTCCGCGAAAAGAAGCTGAGACATACAGCTCAGCTCCAAGAGCAGGTGGCGCACTGCGAGCAGCATCACAGCGACCAGGGGGTGCAACGCCTTCTCCAAGTAATCGAAGGACTGCGCAAGCAGAATGAGGGTCTTCTCACGCGCCAAGAGAGCTTGAAATCACTCGTGAACTCCTGGGACACAAAACTGGATGAACCAACCGCCACTGATGACTCCAATCATGACTTGTCATCTCTGTATAAGGAGATGAACAACCGAGAAGCCCAATTCTCCCTCCAAACGGACTTCAACGAATTAATACCCCAGCATGGGATAAGCAATCTTCTCAACACGCCCATATCCGCTGTATCAACACCAAGGCGAATCCGGTCTCCATCTCTGGAACCTCTTTCTGCCGAAACCACACCCCTGTGGAACCAAATACCGCCACACACCGACGACTTCCGCACACGCACCATGGTCTCCTGTCCGTGGTTCGTCTACCCAGAGCTGATCATCCCATGCCCAGACATCCCCAATTCACCTCTTGACCTCATATACGGCACGAAAGCAAACCCGCTGGCAGATATGATCCACACGGCTCTGCAACGCCGCCCCGTCCGCGATCCGGAGCGACTGGGTACTGGCTGGCTGGCTTACCACTTCTCGAGATGGGTCATCTCGCCCAGCCCAGAGACATATGGTCGACTTCCTGCATTCCTTAGGCCTGTGCAGGGTCAGATGGCCGTTCCGCATCCGCTCGTGTTGGATTTCTTGCCGTGGCCGAGGCTGAGGCTGAATCTGATTCGGCGGTGGCATGTGTACGGCAAGGACCGGGATGGTCTGTTCGGGTTCATGGCTTGTTGTGTTAAGCTTCGATGGCCTTGGAATGAGACGATTCTTGAACGCAATGAGCAGAACGAGTTGTGTATGAAAAAAGCGTTTTATGAGACGTTCATGAGTGAAAGTGGGTGGGGGCTTACGCCGGAGTTTATTAGACGGTATCCTGATCTTGTGGAGGGGATGGATATCAATGAAGTTGTGTTTGAACTTTTCTAGGGGATGACCACGTCAAGGCAGGATCCAACCGCCAGTGCGTCATAATTGATTTGGCTTGCAGTATACTTTGTAATATTAATATTTTATACTTCTAAATACATCAATGTCACATTAATTCTCAAAATGGAGTACTATTTTTAATGCTTGTAATCTGGATTATTTAATTTAATTTATAAAATTAGAGACTGCAGTAGACCACGTTCATATACAGGAATTAATTTTCTATTAAGCTCTATTATATGAATTGCGTAGATTCACCTTCTAGTGGGTCGTTAAACATTATCCCGATTATGGAGAGAGGCAAGGTTGATGTGGAGCGAGTAAGATGCCCCTAAAGATAGTAACAGCTCAAGCCTTTTTACCATCAAGATCCACGGGCCACCTCTCCCGAATCACCTTGCCGTACTTGATGAAGACGATGGGAATCGGGATGAATGCCAAAGCCAAGAAGCCAAGCAACGAGTTGCCCCATCCGACACCCAGATTACCAAACATCTTCGGCCCGGCAAGTGGAAGCAGAGCCCCAACCAGGGAGCGAGTCGCTGTCAAAGTGGCGTTGGCGGATGCTGCATATTTGGGATAACAATCGATGATGTATGTCTGGATGGGCATATACACGCCCATCATGCCGACACCAAAGGGGAACATGCCAATGATAGGCACGATCCAGAACACGTGCTTATCGGCGGTCCAGCCGTACCAGAAGAAGCTGATTGGAAGGATACAGGCGAAGATGATCATCGTTGGGAGGCGCATCTCGGGTTCGAACTTGCCGCCGTTCTTTTTTGTAGCTGCCGAAACCATCCGGTCATTTGTGAAGGCGATCATTGCGAGACCGCCAAAGAAACCAAAGCCAATACCGAGATATGCAAGTCCCGATAGGCCAACGGAGAATCCATATGTCTTGGTGAATACGCTTGGGATAGTGGTAAAGAAGAGGTAGAGCAGGCCGTAGATGAAAGCCTGGAGATATGATGTCAGTAAACTGAATTTTGGAAAGAATCTTTCCTGTATCACGGGAGGAAAACTCACCATGTAAATACACAGAAGGAAGACAATCGGCGATTTGACAAACAGCAGAATAGGCCGCTTGAAACTCTGTATCAGGATCTGTTTCAGACCAGCATGCTCTGCATCCGTATCATAAGCACTTCGCAGATCGGTTCTCCCCGTTTCCTTGGCGAGTTTCGCAGTCTTCCACCGAATGAGGACATCGGCATATGTTTCCTTGTTGAGCACCTCAACTCCGAACGACACCACACCACCCAGAATAAGCAGTAGCCAGAACACCCAGCGCCAGCCCTCTTCCATTCCTAGGAACCCACCGGCAATAGGCCCAATCACAGGTCCGATCAATGGTCCCATAGCCCAGACAGAGGTCGCCATTCCGCGCTGCTCCCGTGGGAACAAATCTGCGATTACACCCGCGCCGAGTGTGATGCATCCCGAACCGCCGATTCCGGCGAACAGGCGGCAGACGATGAGGGTTTCAATGCTGTTTGCACGTGCGCAACCAATTTGCCATACTACAAAGAACCAGTTTGCAGCGCTAAGGACGACGCGGCGGCCATAAACCTCGCTCAGAGGGGCGAGTAGAAGGGGACCAAACTAGATCCGTCACGTTAGATGGGCTGGGTTGCATAGATGATGGGGATCGGGTGGGCTTACTGCATATCCGAGGATATAGATGCTGACACTGAGAGACAAGATTGTCTCATTTGTTTCTCCGAACTCCATTGCAACGTATGAGATGGCGGGTGAGAACATGCTCGAGGCAAGCGGGGAGATCAGAGTCATGGCACTGATCAGGCCTAGTAAGGACCATTTTTTGCTGGGGATAAAGTTCTGGGGGTTGTTTGGGTCATCTTGTCCGTCCCAGCCTACTATTCCGCGGCTGAGGTCTGTTTCTGGGAATATTTGTTTGGTTGGTTCTGATGTCTCCGCAGATTGATTCGTTGACTGTTTCTCGAGGTCTGGGGTGAGGTTTCTGACGCTGTCCCCTTCGTTGAGGGTTGCGTTATTTGAGATGGACTCTTTCTGGAGAGTATCCATGATAGGTGAGAGTGTTTGTGGAAATATAGATAGAGATGGACGTGCTTGGCGTGTGGTAGTAGTATAGAGGGAAAGGAAATAGATGGGCGTGCCAAGTAGAAGCAAGGTTAAATAGTCTTGAACGAGTGGTAAAGAAGGAAAAATGGATTAGATATAAAAGGAAAATTTTTAAAAACAGAAATAGATCAGGTTATGATCAGCCAGGCGATATCCGAGGGGCTTTGTATAATTTCCCGGAGGATGCCAGATTCTCCGATTCATACACCGACATTAGCGCTACTACTGGCTCATATTGAGTCATAAATGAGATTGTGCTTATAAAAGTGGTTCATAATTGACGAGATTCGGCCAGACCGACAAAGTCATTTAATTTCAGACGCCCATGCATAGACAACGTGATGAACACATGGAACATTTCCGCTAAGCGATGATTCAGTGCTCCACTATATTTAATCTACAACCAATCACAACCCTCTAAATTGGCCAATCTCCTGGCGCTGAATCATTGCTTTGTGCCAAGTGCCGTCCACGGGTAGTTTCAGGGTGGGGCCACTTTCATATCGCATGGGACCTTGAGTTTATTTTAATGCGCATAATTCATCTGTAGTCCAAGATTCTGAACTAAAGGAGAGATTCATTTTGATGTAGACTACAAGCAATTAATAGCATGCCTCGATAGTTTGGCCTCTCGAACCAGTCAACTGTTCTCCTCCATATCATGTTCATTGTTTCCTTCTCAACGACACTTTTCATTTCATCTTCACGGCTGAATAGACACTCTTTTGTAGGGCCAGTGCTCACCCCGCGACAAAGGCTAGCCATGTATTTTTCGTGTTCTTGGTGCACTTTCAGACTTCCATCCTCGATCAAACACCATCATTCAGTCAAGAGATGGTGAACATCGTGAGGTGTCTGATCCATCGACTCAAGGTGTTCCAACACGTCGAAGTAAACATCCTCAAAGTAAGCTTTGGTGACATCCTGGGTGACGTTGTTCATATCATCCAGTCGATCATATCTCAGATTGACAAATGCTGGTCCCACATCACCCTCAATCTCTTGCAACAAAATCAACAGCGGGACAAATGGCGGAATTCCCATTTTCAAATTCAAGGTGTGTGTGTAATACTCCATAAGACGATGAACAAACAACCGGGTACTAGAATAATCACTTCGCCGGCACCCAATAAGATTGAAAAGACCGGCGGAGACATCATCCAAGTCCTGTGCGGGACCGCGGGGATACTCCCGAAGAATCATCTCGGCACCCTCCATGAACTCGTCTGCCAGGTCAGCTCGAGGCTGGCCTTTCACAATCATGCGCACAAGGATTGGATTCATGTTCCACGCGATCCAGTTGCGGACTTCGATCGACATCTGTTGCCATCTCCGAGCATTGGGCGAGTCCTTGTAAGGGCGGGAAATGCCAGAGTCAATGAGCCGATGAAGTCTGTGCATTTTAAGGATCTGGTTGATGTCATTGCGCCAGGTGACAAAGTGGGAAGGATGTTCTAGAACACAGGGAAATTGGTACAGCGTAAAGCAGCCAGCATCTGGCAGATCAAACGCTTGGTCGATTTGTCCAGTCGGCTTCGCAGCCGGCAGAAGGTTTGACCAATCACGAGTGTGCTCCACAGACATCTTGGCGTGGCGTTGGAACAACTTCTGTCGACTGAGTGCCCGTTGTCGTAGAGTGAGAGATACTCCGCCTGGAACTATACGGAAACCCACCACGTTAGCTCAAAATATTTTTCAAAATTCGCAAAATGCAGACTGAAAAACTTACTGTATTGATGAATTGAATAAAATATCTGGCCACGCTGCGGGGGCGTGTATCGGTGATGTGGATGTCTCTTGTTGCCCTTCAGTCGACAGCCGAAGATCAGAAGATAACAGGTTTCTTACCACGATTCCGACGACTGAGTAGCCTTGCCAACGAATAAAAATCTTTTAAACTGCTGACAATTGTAATTTGCCTGCAGTTTGATAAAGAAACATCAAGTTGGGCAGAAGAAAAGAGAGGAGAGGAGAGGATGAAAGTCGACGAAGGGTATGCATAGGCGGGGATAACATCAAGAATACACTCTCACGTACAAGAACCCCCACATGAGACATATAGCTTACGCGAATACATTCAATGGCACTACGCATCCTTAATCCAAGAATAAATCTACCAACACTAATAGTGTGCGCACCTCGACCAAGCTAAAAGCACGAATCTAGGAACTGAAAATACCTCCTATACAATATACTTTGAATCTACCTGCTTTGGATAAAACAATCTGGGTCTAGAGATACTACAGTAACGTTTATTCATGCTTTCGACCTTACAAGCTATATGCTACTTTGTCTAATGTTGTTCCTAACGGCGATGCCGATAACAACTCGAGGTTGTGGCTTGAGATCAACTAGCACTTGGGCCATGTAGGACGAAAGAGTAAGTATGTCAATGTCTCCAATATTCGTAATGAATTATCTAGTTCCTCAGCCGCAAGCACGCGTATATATACTTCAGAGGACCACTGGGCCCTAGTATCTAGGTGTGAACATGCTTATGTTGATAGCCACCAATATGCCACTTTAGTATCTGATCCTCCTAATATGAGTTTGCTCAATATTGGAAACATATATATTCCAATATTTGGAGGTTTGTACATGTCCACGCTGAAGGTTGTCTGTCCTTCGAATGTTCCATATTGCCAATCGATAAGGCTTATCTTATCGTCTCCGCCAATATCCCGATGCCACTTTCCGTGCTCCTCCTAAGATCCACCCTCTTGCGCATCTCTCCTTCTACAATAAGGTCTCCATATACCCTTTGTCGTTGCTAGTCTCATCCCATCTCCAGGTAGGACATGACATCTCCTCAAAAGTGATGCGCCAAGTCTTGTATACTAACAGAACCTCATTTAGAGTACCTAATCCTGCTGCCTTCCGCCGCCCCTCCTCGTTATCTTATCACAGCATGAGGTTTCAGGTCTGACAGAAGATCTGTAGCCCTTCCTAGGCCACTACATTCTTGCTGCCCTTTGCCATTTCCCGGCCGACCGTAACCGCCTTCTCAAAATGGACCAAGAAGAGGCTCCACCGCCCCCGTACTCGGCCGTCGACCCATTACTTGCACCAGCCAACAGCCGGAACAACAGCTCTTCTCAGGCCCCAATTTCTCCTGGGGTGAGTGATCCCCCAACGCAGGATGCCAGTAGTTCTCGTGCCCCAACGCAGCCGACAGTCGTGCCGACGCATTTCAGATCTGCTGCTGCGTACTTTGAGGAACGGCTTCCCTCGGTCGTGGATGAGAGCCGGGGTGTTCTAGAACATCATATGACCATCTACCCCCGGAGCCAAGCCAAGGATTTTCCACGACGGCCGCGGTGCTGGGCCTCGCGGTTGGATGAGATTACCCAGCGGGACTGGGATACATTCTTAAAGTATCTATTTCCCCCGCAATTGGGGCTCGCTGCATCATCTCAGCATCTCCCACGCCAATTACGAGCAGAAATCAGACGAGACCGCAAGGATCGCCCTCAGGAGACCGATGAGCAACGGAAGGCTCGAATTTCTGCCGTTGTCGCTGAATGGAACGAATGCTTTTTCGAGCTCCGTGCCACTCAAATTGTCTTTGTCTATGTGGGCGAACCTGATTCTGCCCCGTCGTCTGCTTTATGTCCCCGGTGCTATCCGGCGGCAACGGGTTCAATAGACGGCCAGCCTGTTCGAAATTCAAATGCTGCGTCGCCCGTACCCGGGCAGCACGTTCCTTCTCCGACCCCTTGGTCGGTGCCTTCTCCTATGTTCCCCAACCCCCAAGTACATGTGCCCCCATCTCCGTATGGAGTATACGGTGTTCCTCCATACCCTCCTCCCATATCGCCTAATCAACCTCCTCAATATTACCCCCATCCACCACAAGGAACATGGCAATGGAACACTTGGAACTATCCGCAGCAGCAACCGCAGTATCCCAATAACTGCACCCAGAAGAGTGGGTCCCGTGGGTGGATTTCACAGATCGCCTCACAAGCGCAGAAATACGGAGAGCGGTTCAGCGAACAGGCGCTACAATATGGAGACCAAATCAGTGCACAGGCGCAGCATTATGGACGGCAGGTCGAGGAGCAGGCCCTTGCACATGGCCGCTGGATTGAAGAACAGGCAAGGCTTCACGGCCGGAAAGCACAAATGGCTGGACCTCAATATGGCGGTGGCTACTACCCCCGACCGGCCTGGGATAACTCCCCTCGTCCCACAGCCAGCATTCCAATGACACCCCTCCAAAGCCCCAGCCCTGTGACAAGTCCTAATCCGACGAGTCAGCCTGAGACAATCAGTCAGGTCGATAGCAACAAACCCAAGTCCCCAACAGAAACGCTTTCGATAGAGCCTCCGGCGACCGAACGCACCAGACGAGTATCAGTGAGCTCTGTCTCGTCCGAGTCCTCTTTCAGCTCAATTGACTCCATCTCGACAACATCGGACCTGGGCGTTTCAGACCTTGCCACAGTGCGCACTCAGTTGGAACTTCTAGACGATCGTCATGATCGGGTATTATATGAAGCCGCCGTCGAGCTCCGCCGGCAACTCTCAGTCCTACAGGAGTCCCGTCGAGAAGCCAAGTTCTCTGGTAAAAATAACTGGCGCGCTGGTTTCAATCAAAGCCAACAAAATAACCAACAGTCCGGCGACGCCGACTGGGGTCGCTGGGATTCACCCGAGCAGCAGCAACGCAACTCGGTTGATAAACGCGCCATGAAAGAAGAAATGCGCGCCACCAAGAAAGCATTCCGGGATACACTGCGCCGAGCACGAGACGAGCAGCGCGAACGTCAACGCACTCGACGCCGCCAGGTCCGACAAGCTCGTGCTAATGACGGCAACAAGGCGAATCATACACATGACCAGCCACTAGACCAGCAGCTTGGGACGTTACGGCTAGAAGAATCTCGGCAATCTAACCCGCCTTTGCCTGCACGTCCGGTCAGTACACAAACGCAGCCTAGTCCGATTTCCACACCGAATAGCTCCAATGTCGGCTTTGGATTTGCTTCCAACCCCCCTTCCCCTTCTGTCTCGCGGCCGAGTACGCAAGACTCGATGCCTACTGGGGGATCTTCCGCCTCTGTGAAGCAAGGGAAGCCGGCTGATACGTCGAGTCGGTTGAAGGATATGCTGATGTCGCGCAAGGCGAAGAAGCAACAGACAAAGGAGGAGGATGCGGGAAGTAAATGATCTGGGAAAGCTATTGTTGATTTTTTTTTTTCTTTTTTTTTTCTAGCTCTATTTTCAGCCCGGAGTTCAATATTTCCTTGGGGGGACGGCAAAAATGATTTTGCTTCTCCGCCGTGTATAGTCCAAATCTCGACCACATCCACGTCGACGAAGTTACGATTCCCATTGATACATAGTACATTCGCGAAGCCTTTACAACTCACATCTCCATCCAAATACACTGAACTGAAACTTTTTTGCAAAAAGATCTCTATACATACAAAGAGCACTCATCACCATCTGCATCCATATTCACATTCACATCCATATCCTTTAAGCCTTCGACTCATTCTTCTCAACCAAATCACCAACCCCAAGTCCCCTCCCAACCTTAACCCGAATCATCTTCTCCGCATCCTTCTTCCCAAGCTCCCCAACCTCTTCACCCTCATCCTCATTCCCTTCCTCCTCCCCATTCTTCTCCTTATTATTGTCCGCATCCCGCTTCTCAATAGCCTTCCAATCAAGCCACATGTTCTGAAGATTCAACCGCATAGCATACGCATCCTCGCCGTCAGCGTAGTACCCATCCTCAACCTTCTCAACCTCAAAGCCGAGTGTATCGCGGTACAATCGCAGGGCAGCAATGTTCGACATGCGCACGTGCAGAGAGACGTAATGCGCGCGGTGGGATTCAGCCATTGCGCGTTCTAACACAACCATATAATTAGCACGGATACCGTGAACGCGAAACTGAGAATTTAAAAAGAAAAACAAATCCATGTAAAATTATAAACCAAGGATAAGAATGCAACTCACGACTCATCCGCATCAATCTCTCCGCAATTCCCAACCGTCTATGCGTGCGCATAACACTCAAACTGGTAATATGGCCATGCTGATTCCCGTCCGTCGGCTCCTCCTCCATCTTGGCGAGAACATATCCAACGACCTTGGGATACTCGCCCGAGACATCGCCGGCGATTCCAGCGCCCGTGGAGCTGGACTTGTATCCATTGCGCGGGCGCACGACCGCCACGAAGCTTAGCTGCGGCCAGGTCAGGGCGTGGTACAGGTAGTATTTTAGGAAGTAGTTCTCGGGGAGGTTTGTTATGTTGCAGGTTTGGATTGAGGGGAGGAGGTCGATGTAGGAGGGGTAGCTGCTTAGGGGGACGATGTCGACCATTTTGACGGTTTGGGCTGCGCAGCTCTGCGGGTTGGGAGGTGGTGGTGGTGGTGAGGGGGTGTTTTGGTATGGTGGAGGTGGTTTGCGGTGCGGTGGGGAGGGTCATGTGATGTCGGGGAGTGTAGATTGTAGGTTGTGATGGGAGGTGGGTAGGGTTGGATTGGGGATTTTGTGATTTTGTTATATTTTAGATGTTGGTTTTGTTGGTTTGAATGGAGTTGAGATGTTCTTGGAAAATATTTTATTTTTATTTGATCGAGTTCTAGCGAACTAACTGCATGTCTACTGACTATGCTGTTATGTACAGATGGAATAACTACAACTTTGTACATGTATAAGTGCTATATCAAAATCATGTCCAGTACATGTAATATGTATGACCAGAAAGAAAAGGAAAAAAAAGAAACCTAGCGCCGACGACCGATCTGGTCATGCACCCAAAATAGTCATAGATATCGTGGAAATCAGAACGCAGGCATCACCATCTGCACTCCCACTGCCACCAAAAGCACCGTCGACATACCAGCGAGAGAAACCCCGCGCAATGCGCCAGACGTCTTGCCACAGCATTTACCATTATAAGTGACATTGTTCATCTCGGCAGCGACCTCAAAGACCGAGCCGTTGAAGTTACCGTAGTTATAGTAATCGACCAGAAGCATGTTGGGAGGACGGCCCCACATTGCTATTCAGAGTTAGAAAAGAGATGCAAATAAAAACCAAACCCATCTCAAACTTACCGGTACAATTCTCAGCCATTGCGCCCAGACTACCACTGCCATTCACAGCATTCGTCTCATCAAGCTGAGCAGTATTCGGAATCAACAAGCTCAAAGAACCTAAGTTCAACTGCAGGTTCAGATTGTGGTTGGCCATGTACATGCGGTTCTTAGCAGCTGCTTCGGACAGACCGGGTGGGCGTTGCTGCGTGCAGGGGAAGGTGGGGTCCGTGGGTGAGAAGGGCGTTTCCCACACCTGTGAGAACTCATCCATCAGCCACGGGTACGCGGTCTGGTTAGCCTGGTAATCCATGAAGAAGACTGCGCGCTTCTGCTTGAGAATCATCTCCGAGAGAGTGGGCCAGTCGTTCAGGGCCATCGGGATCTTGGAGGGTGTGTAGATCAGGTCCTTCAATCCGGAGTTGAAGATCGGGGCGGTGAAGTTACCGGGCGACACATAGTCGTAGTTGCCGATGACGAAGGTCACCACGTCGTATGGGTTCTTCCGCATCCATGTGTTGACGTCGGTGAGGTATGCTTCGAGGGTGCCGACACCGAGTAATTGGCAGGATGTGTGGCACAGGTACATTGTGTCATTCTCGTAGTGAGTTTGGAATTGCACTAGTTCACAGGTTAGTAATTGCTTATTTTTAAAGGTTGAAACCACCGCTGCTCCACTTACGTGTGCGAATTCCGTCGTTCAACTGTGTTGTCACATCCAGCACCTGGTTGGCGGCGACGTTGTTCTTGCGCACGAACGGGCTGTTGTGGGCTGCGACCATGGTAATGTTGGAGTACTTCCTAGCACAGAATTCGGGATAGTTGTTGCAAGGGCGGGTGTTGACGACAGGGGTATTTGTAGCTGTGCTAGTCGTCGTCGCAGTCGCATTCATGCTATTATTCCCGATCACGGTTGTTCCTCCGCCGCCCACCAACAAAGTCAAGGAGTCGGAAGTCGTGGTGACAGCCGTATGGTTGGAGGTAGTCATTGTACCATTGTGTTGGGTGGTCGATGTGATGGTCGACTTATCCCCATCACTTAGTGTGATTGTTGTACTGTAGTCTTGGTAGGTACCCGAGGGAATGGCCACGGGAGTTGTGATTGACACAACCGTGGCTCCATCGGTGGTCGTCTTTCCCGACTGCGTGGATGAGGATTCGGTAGACGAGCCCTGGGCCACGGCAACAGCGATGAAGCCGAGAACAATAGTAGACCACCTCATATTTGTGTGATATGGGGGGGATAACTACTCCGTATGTTCAAAATAGGAGGAGAAGATGATCTCGGGAAATACTTCAACTTACCTAATCGCAGGGTAAGTCCACGAGTGGAGAACTATTTTTAAATGACGTTGAGCTCCAATAAAAGATTGTGATGAGCCAATCAAATATTAATATTTTTATCCTTTTTCATCTTTTTGTATTCAAATTCACAGGGGGCGAAGTGAAAAGTGGGCAGAGATCTCCGGCTTTCTGGCTCTCGTACCGATTGCTGCCTGTTACATATTTAGCTGGGGCTTATCCTTTTTGTCTCACATATACGGAGTAGACAACACAACTATTAATACAAGATATCATGCAATATTATCATAACAAATCATACTCATTGGCCATGATATTCCCTTTTCCTTTCATTTCAATCAACTTGCCTTTTCTGTACTACTATAAGCCTAAAATGATCGTCAAAGTAGGCCAGGGGCCACGCCACTAGCGTTCAGCCACTGACGATCTGATGAAATTTCTTAAATTTGAATCCAATCGACCCAGTAAATTCCAGTAAATTGCAAAGCTAAAAAAAACAAAAAAAAACAAAAAAAAAACCTACTTTATATAGGAAAACTCCTCTCGTATTAGTCTGGAAGGTGATCGGGGAGATATTTCATGGCCTCACGTCATTCTCGGCCTTAGGAACCCTAATTCCTCTTCTCCCTCCTCTTTTTCTCGGGGACCTGGACTTTCTCTCCTTTTCCCCTTTCATAACTTTATCATGAATGGGACGAACAATGGCAAGCGAAAGCTTCCCTTTTTTAAGTCCACTACCCCAATCGACCGTCAGCGAAAGTCCTCCGTCCACTGGCATCGCATATTACGGTCGCTGTTGTATTTGATCGCTTGGATCTTTTTGCTGCTGGTAGTCATTGGCAACACCTCTAATAAACCAGTCCTACGCAGTACCTACTTCCTCTACCTTGACCTTTCCAATATCATCCCAGTCTCTGTTCCAAATGCCGTCTTGATCAACTCCATCGCCCAAACCATCGGTCTACACGACTTCTACCAAGTCGGCCTATGGAACTTCTGCGAAGGATACAATGGAGAGGGTATCACCCACTGCTCCAAACCGGAGACTCTCTATGCCTTCAACCCAGTTGCTATCATTCTCAACGAGCTGCTGTCCGGTGCCACAAGTACGTGATACAAATATCCCCGCACTCAAGGAACCCCCCCTGGAATGTGAATACTAACACCCCCACCCCAGTCGCTCTCCCAGCCGATATCGAAAGCCCGTTGAAACTAGCCCGCACCGCCTCCCACTGGATGTTCGGACTCCTCCTTTCTGCGGCAATCTTTAACTTCGTCCTGATCTTCCTCGCCCCGCTCGCCGTGTCCTCGCGACACCCGCGGAACATCAAAGCTTGGGCAGCAGGCTATAGCGATGGTCATCCGCCCGCGGGGAATCCACCCCACCGCCGTCGCACCTTTTTCTGGCTGCGCGCCCTGCCCATGTTGATTCTGACATTTTTCACCGCGCTGGTGACCATCGTCGGGTCAGCCGTTGCGACGGTCATGTTCGTGATCTTCGCCAATGTCTTCTCAAACGCCGACCCGAGCATCAACATCCAGGCGCACGTCGGCACCCAGATGCTCGTCTTTATGTGGATCGCTTCGGCGTTCAGTCTGATCGCATTCATTATTCAGATCGGCTCTTGCTGCGCGGCTTGCTGCCGTGGCCGAAAGGCTCGTAAGCAGCTCAAGTTGCAGGGTATTAACTGGCACGAGAAGGGCGCGGTTGCCCCCGTCGCACCCAAGGACCACGCTGTCTCCTCATGCAGGGATGATAGTGCTGTCCATTCTGAGGAGCGTCGTCTCGGCTCTAGTGGTCAGGTGCTCTCCAATGAGCATGAACAGAAGTTGGGTGATGGACATGCTTCGAACCCGCATTACTCTTCGACTGAACCCCATGCCATCTCGAACTGATCGCGGTCGCGATTTTTCTCCATTCTGGTCATATTCTCCCTTCGGATATATTTTCCTTTCTACAATTCTCATCATATTTGTGGGGTTTTTGTCTCGATCCCCACCCTGTGTTATAGGCTCCCATATTTGGACACTTACCCATATTTTATCTACCATTATCTACCTAGGTATGATTTCACGATTTGACTGTAAAGAGATAGAGGCTCGACATTTCTTGTTTCATACAATATGCATTTCACAACCCTTTTTTATTCGTGAATCTTGATTTTGAATATATCAATTCTGCTCCACTAAATTTCCAAGGTCTTTTCCTTCCCCGCATGGGATACGTCACAGGGCTGTCGTAAGCTTATCATCTTTGCCACAATTCCAGAGTTCCTCTTAAATTCACATTAAATTCTCGATATTCCCTATAAATAACCAATTCATGTCCCCGTGGCCATAGCTCCACTGCAACTTCCTCTCACACAGACCAGTTAAGCGTACATAACCTACTCCGTACTCCATATTCGCAATCGACTCCACATTACTCCGTACTCCGTACACAGCCATGACTTGCGAACCAAGGATCCACCCATTAACCGCATGCCCATGCTGACCCTAGACCTAAAATGCCAAGAGAATCCCCAAGAGAGCCGGGGTCCGGATTGATTAGGTCGATTGTAGAGCAACCACAAGACACAGACTCAAACACCGCCAAGCTCGTTCTTGTGGATATATTAGCTGTCAATATATGCCCCGCATACATCATATACAACTTTAAAAGTCCCAGTACCAGGTTCGTACCTCCAATAACCATATCCCCAACCCAAAATGTGAAAAAGTCACCCAAAAAAACACACTCTTGAGTTATTTCCTTTAATTCCTGCTGTTCACGCGACCTAATTAGCTAGGGTAATCTTAACTCTATAAATAAAATTATAAAGGAAATCTGAGCCCACTAGTTCTGCAAATAAGGTCCATCAGACTTCATCACATCTCCACCTTCTACGGAGTACTTCCTTCCCTTATCACCCCAACATCCATCTAATTACAAAACATACATTTATCAATACCCAATGTCAGCCCAACCCCTCCACCCAGTTCAAAACAGCCAAATGCCCGACTTCAGCCTAGCAGGCAAGGTAATCGTAATCACAGGAGCCGGGCGAGGCCTAGGCCTCGCCCTAGCAGAAGCGCTCCTAGAAGCAGGTGCCAAAGTATACGCTCTAGACTATCTGAAAGAGCCGGTACGTGTCACCATTGTGATACAATCTCAAATCCTAAAGGAATAACCCCCCGATAACCCATTCCCATTCCTACAAAGACACCGGAGTTCATAGAATTCCAGCAGCGCGCCAAGACATGGCACACCGAACTGCAGTACCGCTGCATCGACGTGCGTGACACAGTCTTACTTAATACCGTGGTCGAGGATATCGCCAATCATGAGCATCGGATAGACGGTCTAATCGCGGCTGCGGCCATCCAGCAGGAGACGTCTGCTCTGGAGTACTCTGCTGAAGATACTAACACGATGCTTGAGGCTAATGTCACCGGCGTGTTCATGACGGCGCAGGCTGTAGCACGGCAGATGATTCGGTTTGGGAATGGGGGTAGTATCGCTCTAATTGCCAGTATGAGTGGTACTGTTGTTAACAAGGTATGTCTTCATTCATCCTTAACCCAGTTTATATTATATTATCAACCGCCCTTCCCCAGAAATATACATCTACCACATACCCGACGGTATATAATTTATCCATCACACTAACAATCCCCAACCAGGGTCTAATAAGCCCAGTCTATAACGCAAGCAAAGCAGCCGTCATCCAACTATCCCGCAACCTCGCCGCCGAATGGGGCCAGTATAACATCCGCGTCAACACCCTCTCCCCGGGCTACATTCTCACATCTATGTTGGAGATGCTATTCGTCAAGTATCCTGAGCGTCGCGAGCAATTCGCGAAAGAGAATATGCTAGGCCGTCTATCCCGGCCCGGGGAGTATCGCGGTGCGGCTGTCTTCTTGCTTTCTGATGCTAGTAGTTTTATGACTGGGAGTGATCTCCGTATAGACGGTGGTCATGCTGCGTGGTGAATGCTTTCTGGTGTAGCGTGGAGTTGGTTGGTTGGTTGTCTAAGCTGTTTGGGATAGCCTCTTTTTGATACTGAGTGGTTTGTTGACGATTTTCTTTGGTTTATGAGGTTAGCTTCATGCCAGTGAGGGGCTGTCTATATGTTTTGCAGCTGTAGCGCTTGCTTTCTTCGTTTGTACTCATATTAGATTGGATTCTAATCTCACGCCCGGGTCGCGGGGCTTACTGTGTTTCTTTCTGGTCCTGTGGAGCTTCCATATTTCATGAGATTGGACTTAGGTACTAGGGGTAGTATAGTATGAAGTAGTTTATGACTGGTTGGTGACATCTATTGTGTTTAGCGTTCATATCTAGAGATATATATATACTACTGCGTGGTGTGATACCGCAGTATATTAGATGAGAGGGTCATTATATGTTGTCCCTTACCACGTTATATATCTACAACAGCTACTATTTATCTGCGGCTCAAATACCCATACGTTGTACGATTACAGAGACCATAGATTGATTGATAGATACTCGGCATCAGAAAAAGTAAAGGGGTATTAGGGATGATGCAATCACGTTTATTGTGCAACAAAGGCCAAGCAAACAGAATCAGTGAATAGAGTACTGAGATATTCCAGCCAAGGATCGAAGAGAGGAAGTATCAGATTTCAAAACTCAAGTATAGGGTCTGGACACAAATAAATAGAAGGACATGCACATAACCGATCAAAGCCGTACCCACTATCCGAAGATAGGGCCAATAGCGTAGCTCCAGTCAAGGGGAAAGAGATATCAAGGAAATAGACAGGGTATCGATATGGAATAATAATAAAGCAAGGTAAAGCCGAAAGAAGCACACAAGCCCCAGAGAAAAACCACAAAAGCAAGGTGAGGAAAGAAGAGAACTGAACTACTCGTACTGACATGGATGCATCAAGTAATGACAACGCAAGAAAGAAAATCCAGAGAGGAAAAAAGAAAATCATGGGCCCGTTGTCTTTCACTCCTGGTACGCCGACTAATCGGTCCCCACATTAATACGCCGTGTATGCAAAGGTCAACTCGAATGACCAAATAAGAGAAGGCAGAAACGAGCCATCTAGCCCATCTCCATGCCATATTCGTCCTCCTCCTTGAAGCTCATAGCAGCATGGCCAGCACTATTCCAGTACTGGGGTTGACCAGTGCCATTGGCACTGCTGGTGCCGCTGTGGAACGAAGGACTCAGGCTGGGAGGGGTCAGGCCGGACATGTCGCCACCCTGCACGGCATCGCCGGCGATGTTGGTGTGCTTGGGGACGCGCAGACCACTACCCGGTCCGCGAGTGTAGCTGAAGGAAGTCGGGTCATTCCTCTCTAGTGCATCGAGGATCTCGCTGCGCATACGCTTCTCCTCTTCGGTTTGCTCGAAGGGCCAGGTTCCGCCCAGGCTGCCGATCAGCTCGGCGAGTTCGGCTTCTTGTTGGTATTTGACGTGCAGGGCCCACATCAGATCGCGGGTCCAGCTGACAGCGCCGTTGAGAATGTCGCCCTTGTTAGGACCCTTCTCCTTTTCTTCGATTGGGAGACCCATTGTGATGTTACCCGCTGTCGCGCGGCGGCCGTTGCCTCCAGCGAGAAGAGATGTGGCGGCACTTCCGCCTGCACCGGCCATGGAGAGGGCGCTGCTGTTTACAAGTTGCTTCCGGACCTTGTCGTCTTCGAGTCTGTGCTGAGGAACCAGGTGGGAGAGATCCTGAATACGTTCATTGATGTTGTCGCGTCGGCGGCGTTCGACCAGGTTGTGCGAGGCACGGCGACGTCGGCGCTTGGCTTCCTGGGATTCGAGATCTCCACCGCCAGGGAGATGGGCGTCAACCTTAGCGGGCAGCGAGGCGTGCTTCCCAGACTTGAGGATCTCGGAGATGCCGGCATGGTGTGATTGATGAGGAGGAGATGAGATAGGAGAGGACTCAACGTACGACTGTGAACTGCCGGGTGTTCCATCCCACTGGTTGGATAGGGACTTCTGATGGCGAGCCTGCAGTCCGGTCCGGATAGGCTGGGACGGGAAGCTGCCAGACTCAGGGGTACCCAATGTCAAGGAACCCAGTGCCGGTGTCTTTGGAGTCATGGGGCTGCGGCCGTCGGATGAAGTACGGTCCATGCCTTGCAAGCTCTGGCGCTTGGTGCCGAGGTAGTTCTGGTCGAAAGAGCTGGCATTGTGCATGTGGGAATTTTGCTGGTTCATGCGGTACTGCTCATAGTTGAAGCTGTTTTGAACGAATGGGCTGGCCATGGGAGCATTATCCGGGGTATTGGAGTACATATGCGACATCTGGCTTTGGTGACTCATCGCAATACCACCAGCAGACTGGTCCTGGAGATAGTTCACATTATCGCGTTGATGGCCGTTCTGGCCGCTGATCTCGAGATCCAACAACTCATCTGTGTCGATGCCGGAGTTTCCGAAGTTGAAGCTGGATGACATGTTCTGTTGCGAACCATAGGAGTAAGGCATGAAGCCATTCTGCTGCTGCATGGTCAAGTCGGATGGGTCAACCCCTTCGGGGAATTGGTTACCCATCGAGTAACCGGAGTGTGACATGATGAAAGGGGTGTAGTCGTCGGATTCGTGTTTGATGAAGAGACTCGCTTCAGCCATAGCCCGGTGAAACAATATTTGGGGTTGTGAATAGGGCGCAGATCGGCGAGGGGCTAAAGGAGGAGTCGTAGTGCCGAACCTACTGACTCTCCGCGACAGTTGTCAAAGTAGGCGGTCCGAGACGGCCGACACTGAACAGGATGGACGAAAGAGGTGTTGGATGAGAGGATATCACGATCTGTGTGTATAGAAAAGATGTTAGTTAAGAGTCGACCCCGCCCGTGGGCGATGTGAAGATGTCGTGGCCTCCGTGCGCAAGGCAAAACAGGCAACCCAATAAAATGCAAAACAGATTGGAAGCGAGAAAAGGAATGCAAATAATTACCCTTGAAACACTGAGGATTGGAGGAATGAATTCCGGGGAGATTGTGAGACGTGCCAATAAGCCGGGGAAATTTCCTCGGTCTAAAAGCCGGGATGAGTCGACAATCGAGGGGAGGACTGTGCAGATCACCACGAACGTGTCTCGAGGCAATCGCAATCGCAAGAGACAAGGCGCAAAGTGACAGCTAAGTTCTAAAGAACCGTGTAAGTGATGAAAGAACGATAAAGAAATAAAGCCGAGCAGTGCGCAAATGCGAGAAATGAAAGAAGATCAGGGATCAAGAAGATAAGAGACCAAAAGACCAGAAATGAGCAGGAAAGAACCAAGCCCGAATCAGGCACTCAATCCCAGTTGATCCCGGTTGATCCCAGTAGATGTCCCAGTTGGATAGTTGATCCCAGTTGTCCTTTGCAGATGCAAAACACAGAAGTCTGGAGAAGGGTGGGGGAACAAGCGGTGGGAGGGCGGTGAGATGTGGCGATCTGGGGGTTTTTTTTGTCGAGAACGTCGGTCTAGTGAATAAATCGTGTAGTTCAGATTCTCACCTTCATCTTTACCTGAAGTTGTATATTTGCCACATTGGATTTGAATCCCGTCTCTTGCGCCTTGACCCCTGGGTGTTTGCTCGGGATTTGATGCCCACGCTCGGATTGCAATCGGAATACGAGTTGACGCAAGCTTACTTCCCAATAACAAAAGAAAAGAACATAGTTGGGCTTGGTTCGAGGCTGATGAAATACTTTGAGACTTACCAAGTGAAGATGTATATAGAGTTGGGTTGGTATACGTAAGTATACTTCGGTATAGATCTGTGTTGGCGTTAACAAAGGATCAAGGGTATACATCTCAAGGCATCTCAACAATCTGAGCGTGCAAGTTAAGACATGTAAAGCATATGAGCAGAGCCCCATCCACCCTTGGTGAGCTGACAACAAGACAGCAATAGACCACAAATGCAGGAACAAAGAGAATATGCGAGATACGAAGAAGGCTTAACACATACCTTGATCTGTAGGTCGGACTAGGAGCTCACGAGGTATAAAATCGTCGTTGCAAATCAAAAGTTCGAGAACAAAAGTATGCAGTGACAACCCAGAGATAAAAGCACTTGCAGGTTTCGCAGACAGATACCGAGGGGATGGAGACTTTATGAACTCAAGCGGCGCTCTTCTGCATCTCTCATTTGATATATTACAACATCGGTCATGCAGCCCGTCGATCGGTGGAAATCGATGAGATTCACCTACGCCATCGGACATTGATTTTTATTTTTATTTTAATATTAAGTTGACTACTACCATCTGGATCAGAAGGGGAAAAGGGTGGGCGAGTGTAAATGGGTGTGAGTGGATTTTGGCTGAAGGAGGGGTGGCAACGGTAAACCCCCGAGCCTCTTTTTTTGTTTTTCTCTTTTCGGGACTATACATAAATAATAATGAAAAATAAAAAGAAATACTACTTGACTAAGGCAATAAAAAAGATTACCATATTCACAACCCAAAATAAAAAACAAACTTGGACAAAGGGGGGAAGGGTGATACAGCCGGATCAAGTAAAACGGCGGCCATCCCATGATACACATTGGGATATTTGTCACCTGTTACTACGATCATGACTCACGGGTGTCTTGAACAGAGCAAGCAAGAATGTATCAGATGAGGTCTTGGGGTTACAAGCATACCAAAACCTATCTTCTAGGAAACCCTAATCTATCATTCAGAGTGGAAGTCTGCAGAACATATTCAAGATCCTCGAATGAGACCATGTGGACATGGTTGATCTTCATCAACTATGCCGAGTACTAGTACCCAAGACACCGGAGATGGTAGAGATCGACTAACATGCGGAAATGATTACTAGTCGTAAATATCGTAAATATCATCCGGAGAACATAACATGCATAATCCCATTACCTTGGCAATACCAGAGACAGGCAACATTGGACAGGATCCTAGTGTATATAAGATGAAAGGAAAATAGGAAAATGAAAATGGAAAAGGTAAAAGAAAAAAAATAGTAGCCCACAGACCACATTCATAAGCACTATCAATCTGCAAGAGGATCAGTGCGGTCTGTTCTTCATGTGGGATGTCGTGCAGAGGAGTCTGGAGTGCTGATCTCTCGCTGGGATCGTCAAGGGAGCTTGGACCTCCACATATTACTCCGCTCCGACTACGCATTTGGGGAGTCTCTTCTTTGGTTTATTTTTGTTCTACGTAAGGGGCGGACTCGTGGGTATTGATCTGGGTTAGAGCGGCAAAGGAAATATTATCATAGTTCATAGTTCAATATTTGGAACTCTTTAGAATGTTCAAGGCAGTTGGCAAAATTTGCATTTCGGACTTCACCGTTCGGTTTTCATCCGAAGCAAGAAGTAGAATGGTAGAATGTGGTGGACAGAGACAATCGGAGGGGTTGGAATGTGTCTTTCAGACCGACCAATAGTAAATCAAAGCAATACACCTCACTTTGGTATGAGTGTGCTGAGCCACATCGCCAAACTTTCCCCTCTTTGTGAGCCACTCCGCATTAGGGTATGATAATATTCTGAGATCGACGGATGGAGACTGATCTCCGGGATTCATTGTGAGGGGAAATGGATCTGACGTCCCGTCCCGTCAAGGTTCGGCGATACACGCCTAATAATCCATGGTTGACGCAAGGGAGAGATAGAAGTTGTATTTCAAGATCTACTTTGAAAGGATTCAATACATTTAAGAGGTTGAGACTATCTAAGTCTTACTTGAAGCACCTGTGCACAGGACCCTGATATGACGACATCGTACGTGGTTAAGGTCGCACTCCATTCCGGGGGTGACGGATAAACCGACTCGTGTGCATCGGACATTCTACAGTGTACCACTACATAGTAAAGCAGATGTGAAAAAGCAAGGAAAACAAGGAAAGCCAAAAAAAAAGCAAAAGCAGAAGCAGAAGCCAAATTTGGAGAAACAATGAGGCTAGTGTCAATGTTACCCACGGTGCAGTCCGCAGTGCATATTAGCGCCCTTATGGTTATCGGATAATTCCCCTATGTGATACACGGGTAGCTACATAAATACAGTCAACAGGGAAAAGGCTATATAATGGGTATGCAACATCATCTGGAGTTCTTCCGATACGACTGCCGGCAACTATAGCCGTTGTAGCCGTTATCGATAAATGCTTCTGCAGGGCTGTCCAATACAACAACTTGCCCGCTACTTTACTGTTACAGTTACGGCCGATCACCACAGGGTGTGCATCAGCCATGAAAGATCGACAGTGGGACGGCAACTAATGATTGAAAGTTGTAGAAAGAGGGGGGTAATTATCTATATTGGTCATGGGTGCAGATCGAATAGAGTGAAGAATAATCTATAATTATCTTGTGAATAAACATTTTAATAGATAAGTCATGGGGAAAATCCATTTCAAGGATTTCGATTTTATTCAATACGCAACTAGAACTTGTAAGAAAGTTTAGTTTGTCTTCAAGGGATTTGAGGTTTGACAAATTCGAGCGGGTATAGCGCAAAGGAAAGAAAGACAGACAAATAGTATTTATATTAAATAAGAATAGATAAAAAAACAATATCGAATGTAGAAAATATAGAAAATATAGAAAATATAGAAAATAATATATAAAGTTGCTTATAGGTGGGTTATATACTTCCAAGGTTGATGCTACATATTCGGATCACGCTATACCCAATTCGGAATTAGCCTCCTTTCCCCAACTTCATTGCTGTGAACTGGGAACTGCCACAGTGCCACTATACAACCATACCTCCACACGCCACTTAGGCAACATTGCACCCTCTGGGTAAGTAACATGTATTTCTTTTATTTCTCAAGTCATCTTTCTATGGGGGGATCATCCTGGTCAATAACCCCACAGGGCTCGGTCCGAAGCTTTGTACCCCAACGCTGGAAATCAGCATCATCTGACAGTTTTAGTACTTAACGCCGATCGGGTTGGTCGCATCGGTAGCTTTACGCCATCTCGTCATTTTGCTTGGTTCTCTTCAGTCTTCGTACCCTCCCTTATCGATACCGCAGCGCTTCCTTGTCCAATCAGCACCAGTCGACCCCCTACGCCGTGTTTGCTTCCCATCCCTTCTCGGATCGTGCCCGTAAGGTACAACGCTTCCCACATATCTTCCGCTTGGTTGGCTTATATCGCCGCATTATCGCACGGCATACTCTCGATTACGATCCATCTGCCCCGCGCCAGAAGACTCCCAAGCTAGCCCCGGTAGTCACCGCCGACTCCGCAGAGATAGCTGTAGATCCCGCTGGGCTGACGCCTATCGCAGTGCAACAGGCAGCCCTTTTCTTGGTCGGGGAGGTTGTCCATAAAGTTTATCCATCAGCCTGCCATATTCTGAAAACCTTTGATCTTTCGATCTTGACCGCATATCTTTGAATCGGAGAACTTTCCTCGAAAGTGGCCCCCATTTGAACCGAGTCACGGCGTGTCCCAGCTCATCGGAAGCCGAATTCACGTCCGACACAGTCGTCATCTGCCCCTCTGTTGGTTTGACTAGGTCCCCACCTCTAGCCAATCCTCGAGGATCATCCACCACCCGGCGCAGATCATCTGCACTCCATCTCGCATAGTCCCTGCAGACCGTTCTCTTGGTCTTGACTTTCTACACCACGGGCCTTCTCTGCAGACGCAGTAGTGCACGACCCTCTACTTGTTTCATTCGGGATCTAAAACTTAACTAAAACTAGTCTCAAACATGGCGAATAACTCGTTCCGAGACTCTGTCAATTCACTAGGGTGGTCTCGTAGAGATCCGGATCTCCCCGTCAACACTGGCACGTCATCAAACACCCCATTCTTATCCCGTCTACAGTCTTACAACCCGTTCGGTGAGGGCGGTTATGTTCAACTGCCTACTCACAATGAAGGTCCTGGGGCCCCATTGCCGGCACCCACTCGACGGGAAGAAGAAGAGGGCTTCTTTGCTTGTAAGTTTTTCTTTTTTTTCTGCCTTGTGACCCTCCGATCCCCAGACCCTCCCGTACACCGTTGTGTGGCCCAGGTGATGAGACTGCAGTTCCTGCGCCGGGAGGATTCCTTACCATCATGCTTGTTTATGTGGTTGCGATCCGATAGAGAAAGACACTAACACGGACTTGTCTATAGTGAGTCGGTGGGACCGCATGCTCATCTTTGGCGCATGTAACTTGGGCGCCGCCATCTGTTTCATGATCTGTTTCTTCCTGTTCCCAGTCTTGTCGCTCAAGCCCCGCAAATTCGCGGTCTTGTAAGTTGCCTCCGCGATGGTCCGCATAATGTGGGCTATGTTCTCCGGCTTTCCCAGTTTTCCTTTTTTTTCTAGCCATCTCATGCTCTTGGACGACCGAGCAAATCCCGAGCTGGGATAGACCAGGTCATCGGTCAATTTTGGTTAGGACCATGTGCGCCTTTGTACTTTACACTGCAAGCTGATTGGTCCTGACCTCGACCTATATCTGCGCCTCATGCCAAGAACCTTCGTTTCCGGCCTTGGATATGTCTTGCTAACAGGTTTCTTCACTAGATGGTCCGTCGGCTCAGTCTTGTTTTTGCTATCATGGGCGGTTCTCATGGGACCATGGACTTACGCTAAGCATTTGGTGTCGGGATCGCGGTTGCCATTCACTGCGGCCTATTTTGGAGCGATCGCCCTCACGCTCTACTTCGCCATCGGGGTACGTAAAATGTATTTCTTTATCTTTCTTTTTTTTTCGTTTTCGTTTTCGCATCTGGATTTTGTGTATGGTCTTTACGCTTCATCCCATTGCATGCCGACGATCCCTCCCCTCCTCATGATGCTCTCCTCTGGATTTCCTTGTTTGTCGCACCCTCTCCCTCGCTCTACCCGAGTCCGTATGGTCGCACTGCACAACCGGGAAAAGGGGAATCTTGCAGCCTTCACATCCATCGCGCAGTACAACCTGAAATCACGGCTTGTCCTGCCTGCTGTTGGCTGCAGCCACTTTAAATCCTTCGATTCTATCCCACCCTGTACTCAGCCGGCCTCTCTGCTCTGAATTTTGCGTCTGTACCACGTCCCACCACGGTGCGGGACTTGGATGCCCTTTCCCTTACTTCACCTTGTCCGACACACCCCGGTGTCACAGGGTGCGGAGTCCAGAGCCATCGAGATTAATCGATGTCTCACCGTCCCTGAGTACTCAGTGATCTTGTTCTACCTGCATATTACAACTGCACACCATCCACTTGCCACATTTGGCAACACAACCTCTTCTAGAAACTCTTGCTGACTGACTTCTCTTTTTTCGGCATTCTAGCGTCAGAACCTCTTCCTCACTCTCATCTCATCGATCTTCCAGCTCGCTGCCCTCGTCTGGTACCTCGTCAGCTATTTCCCCATGGGCAGTACCGGTCTGCAGTACGTGGGTCGTTTCGGAGCATCGCGTGTTACCGCTTGGATTAGTGGTTGATTTATTCGCTTGCTCGTTTCTGGTACCTTGCGCTTTGTTGGACTTCGAATACATCGCACAGCGTGCTCGTGGTTATTTGGATATCGGGCGCAGTTTGGCCTCTTCGTTATGTATATGTATCCAGCCAGAACTACAGTCTTTGGCGCTTTGGCTTCATTTTCTTTCCAAACACTTTGTCTGTTGGCATACGACCTGAGCGTCTTGGTAGTACAATACTAAATATTGGTCTCGGATAAAAAGGGAACCTGTAGGCTAACAGTACATAGCACCGGATTTGAGGCCGCAAGGCATGGCTTGCTGTTTCCTCTTTAGTGTTCAACCCTCGCCGCTTTTTGCTCACTGGGTAAAACCGAGCAATCGTGAACGCCCCTGTGTGTTATATAAGTATAAAACTCACTCACCCCCGGGGCCATCATCACCTCATCAGTATGTGAGCTGAACGAGAGGTCGCTCACTGTGATCTCACTAGTCTTGTCGGTGATGATGATGATGATGAGCACGCTTATGCTGGTTTAGATGGGATGTATGTCCTGGGATCTGGATTGTCTGTTAGGAAGAAATCCCCAAAGATTGACTCGTGTCGACAGACGGGAAGGTCTTACGTTGGATGGGGAAGACCGGGCAGTCTGTGAACCAGGCACCATGGAGGAAGATGAAGCTGGTGGCGCCACTTTCGATGTCGATTCAGTCACTCGGGTGCCATTTATATCACACAATCCCAGGATGAAACCTGCACTCTTTGCCTGCGCCACAGGAGCTGAACCATACAACTGGCATTCCTTCGCATTGACGACAAAGAGCCATGCTTGGCAGGTGCTCATGCTGTCGCATTCATTAGCACATTCAGATGGCGATAAATGGGTGTATCCATGGGCCAGAGGTGCTTTACTGAAGAACCCAATGGTTTCATGCTGGGCGCTGGGGGAGCAAGAGGCGGATACAGAAGAAATGAATCCCTCTATAGCCAGGAGAAAGGTGAACACAAAGATTGAAGTTGGTTGCATGGTTTATGGCAGCTCTGAATGTTCACTTGATAGTGGAATTGCAAGTTAGGGCGAAGTATTCCGTCCGGCACTTTTTATAGGAGTAAATATGGAAGGCTCAAACATAGATGTGATGATGGCGTTTTGTCGGGCAATTTCCGGGTTCATTTTTTCCCTCGATTCCATGAAGGATCGTGATCAATTTCCGGAATTCCGCGGGTGGTGAAGCAATAGTGTATTTCACAATCGAGCTAAATAAGCTAAATAAGCCATATATAAGCTTTAGCGTCCGCGCCAAGACCCGGAGATCCGGACGCTCCTGTACACGCCCTGTATCAAAATTACCACTCACTTGGCCCACTTGATCCTAGTCAAGGTCCGCGTTTTGCTCTCTCTTCTCTCTCTCTCTCTCTCTCTCCTTGCGCTTTTCACCTCTCATGGCAGCAACCTCAAATTGATCTTCCTTTCTCAATGGCTACCATCCTCCGACGGTTTCACTTGCATCCCCGACTACCTAGTCGCGCGAGAACGAGCCAACATCCTTTTTATTTATCTCGCTGCTCCTCAGGGATGATTCAGCCAGACCCTTCGCCTGTTAAGCTGGACAACAGCGGCACCGGCCCCTTGCGGGTCCCTGGTTTCAATGGTGTACCCCTGTTCTATGAGCATTCAAAAGACAATCGCTTTGCACATGGGATTGCCGATTGGAGACAAAGTCCCCAGTTGTTTCTGCGAGAGATTTCCATGCTACAGCTCATGTCGTATGTCACAGAACAGCCGGACTGGGAAAACAAGACCGAGGACCCGCAGACACTGGAAGAATGGCATCAGCACGCCGTTTCGGTCTTTGATCTCGATGAACCCTCATGGCAGTGGTGTGTAAAGGAGCTGCGAGACAAAGCGGTTGATTTTAAACGTACGGGATATGTTGCTGTGTTTGATGCGGACTCACGAGTCATCAAGTCTCAAGTTCATGACGATCTTCTCAAAGAGCTTCGCGAATCCATGTCGCCACTCTTTTCGCAATCGAGATCCGGTTCGCCTTCTCCCTCAGATGATACTCCTGGGAGTGATTCTGAAAGTCCGGTTCGACATGTGGTTGATCCCTTCATGTATCCTCTCGTTTATGGCCGCACTCGAGTCCTTACCGATGGGGGCAAAGTTGATCTGGAGAGACCTGAGTCCTGGAGACCATCGGAGTCCCAGATTGCTCCAATTCCTGAGAAACAAACCGACAGACAATACGAGATGCAGTTCAAAGAGAGAAAAGGAAGAGACAGAAAGGATCAGCGGTATCATGGAAAGCGAAGATACTGGTCCAATGTCTTTCAATGCCTTCCCTGTGAGGTTGCTTTGAACAAGCAAGGAGGCGCTGAAATCGCCTCCTATGTCAATGGTGTGCATCCAAAGGAAAGGGGCATATACAAAGCGCTCGAAGGGCTCATTTCAGCCGCCATGCAACCGTGGAACGAAATGCTTATCTTTGGAGATCAAGGTCGGACACCAATGCGAATCAGGACTTATGACTTTGAAGTGGAAGGCTATAAATGGTATCCAAAGATATATTATTACCTGGACAACGCGAGGAGACAAAAACCACCAATCACAGAAGAAGAATGGCATGAGGTTCGATCCCGAGTAAGAGAATATCTTAGCCTCCCCGAGCACGAGAAGCGATACCGCATATGGCCTGACTCTGGGTACCATGACCTTCTTGCTAGCATGCAGCCATGGCAATGGAATTCTTTCGAAGAACTGCAAGAATTGGTCCTCGCAAAGGGTAAGCGCTTGTTTGCTGTGAGAGGCGTTGAACCGGGGATCTCCTTCACATACGATGAATGGAAGACTGGTGAAAATACTGGCTGCACGATCATGCCCAAATGGACCAAGCCTGATAAACCTCCCCCAATTCCCGATCCAGATCACCAGTACTACTCTGTATCTCTCCAAGATCAGTTTGAGGGCCTCCAAATCATAGTTCGAGTGTCAACTATTGAGCTCACCCCAGAACAGCCTTTGTATGGCGGTGATTCTCATCACAACGTTACTGGCATTCTCAATGAGCACATCGTTTCCACAGCTACATGCTACTTTGATATGCACAACATCAAAGATGCAAAGGTTTCATTCCAGCAAGAGACGAAGATCTATAGCTATGATTACAACATTGCGTACTTTGAGGTTATGGATCGACTTTTTGATGTTCCTGAGTGGCAATGGGACAGCGATGATCCTGACCCCCTGAATGCTCTACAAACCATGGGATCTATCCCGATTTCACGGAATGGGCAAGTTATTGTTTGGCCAGGTACATTGCGGTCTAAGGCCGAGCCTTTCAGTCTCGCAGATCCACTGCGCCCGGGGTACCTTCGATTTGCGACTTTGTGGTTGGTAGACCCGCATTATCGAATCTGCTCAACTCAAAATGTGCCACCCCAGGACCCAAGCTGGGTTGACACTTCACAATCAATGAAGACCGTAGGGGAGGATGAATCAATGACACTTGCGGAGGCGGTTGAGGTTCGAAACCAAATGAGGCAGGAGAGAGACAAAATAAGCAAGGATTTCCTCAGAACCGGAAATATGTATCACACGTATTCGGAAGATCACCTCATTTGAATACAGCCGAACTAAAGACATCAATGCTAGTAGCTAAAAGAAACGAAGTGGTCAATATGCAGGAACTAAATATGTCTAGAACAGTACTCCGTATGCCAATGCCATTTGAAGCCATTTGACAGATTTTGCTTTTGTTGAGTCTTGTGCGATTAATTTTGAGCTTGATGGAAAGCTATCATGTAATACCAGTTCGAATTCGTATAGTAGATAAGTTCTAATCATACATATACCTCAGACACCAACATTTGAACTGCCATCCCAACACCTATCCCGTCTGCAAGCCCTTCTAATCACAGCTATCCAAGCTGTCTAACTCAGTCAAACTCCGACCAATCGTGTTGGTAATCTTTTGATGGCTTAGGTATGACTTCACATCTTTTCCCTTGCTCGTCTGAAGACCAACATACCAGGTTTTGTACTCCTGGGCTTTAGATACTTCACCACCATTGGCTGTCAAAGTCAATCCCCAGTTTGCGCGATCGTATGAAACGTCTGTGTCAAGTACAGGAATCGGGGAAGACATCAGAGTCGCTCCCTTATATTTTTCTTCAAACATTGGCTTCAGTCCGACTGAGAACATCTCACTTAGCCGCGCTCCTTGGGTACCTGCTAAAGCGCGCCTGAACTCAGGGAGATGGGCTTTCCATGCGTCTGAGAAGCCTGGCGCGGTGCTACCTCGGGTTGATTTAACGACATCACTGAGCTGCTCGAGCATAACCCTATGCGACTTGGGCAAGAGTTCCCCGCCTCGCAGCAGCAATGTTGTGCCGTAGTTGTCTTCTTCCCCCAGAGACCCACGGATTTGGCTCAAAGTATCCTGGCTGTATTGTGGGGTTTTGCTTAGGAAAACCCCCGTTCGAGGATAGTTTTCACTCTCGTAGACGTGTGAAACAAAGGTCCCAAAGTCTACCAAAGCCTCATTGCCAAGGCCCGGTCCCAGAGTACGTGTTGCTCCGTTTTTGACAAAGTCCAAAACATATGTGTTGTACATGGCGAGCATCTCGCTAGGGGCAGCTAGCTTGGATGCTTGTCCAAGATCTAAAAGTGACAGGAATATAAAGAGGAGAAGCTTGAATGCCTTCATGTTGGCACAGAAAAGAGTGGACCCGCGAAGAAAATGATGGGAGAAGAAAGGATGAAATCCGTGGCCAAGCTCAGCAATGAGGTATATGGATAGCACTGCACATAAAGTAGGTATATAATGATGTATACCTAGCAGTATATTGAGCTGGAATGGATGACCGGCAAAGGAGTGCCTATCAAATTTGAATGAGTCGGAGTAGGAGAAAGGAAAATGACACCGAGGAATTAGAATTATTTGAAGACATCAAATATAACTAGCAAGAGGATTGTACATGGTGCTCATTCGCAGTGATATGAATATTACACCGAAGTGGTAACGAGTTGGTATTGTGGTTTACACATAAAAAACGCACTAAGCCTTAGCCTCATTTAAATTTGAGACAGGGCTGCTATCCAGTCCAGCCACATCACACCCTGTACATATAGGGGTTCACTAGCCAGCTCAATGCCCACCTGTTTTAGTCCTATGAGATACTGTACCTCCGAAATTGAGACTTTTTATGGGAGTATATCCGAACGCCAAGGAAAAATTTCGCCGAGGCTTATCCCTAGCCAAGGCAGGATTGACTTTTATATGCGATGTAGGAGATCCAATAAACAGTGAAATATATTTCTTGGAACCGTGGTATGCTTGCAAATCTTGCACTGAATAGCTCTATTGTGTAGAGATTTATGTAGCCGGGGAGGGCTCAAAATTTCTCATTAAGAAGTAATATCGCCTCGGTATCACGGCAAATTCATCAAAGACACTAGCTGATATCTGGGCATATCGGGAAATTATACTGATGGTAAACTAGTCCAGCAAAGGGTCTGGGGCCGCCCCTGGTAGAGCGCTAATAAAATGGCAATCAGGGTCAAAAATTGACAAGTATCTATATGTCAATGGGAGGAGAAAAGATAGCATTTAAAGCATGGTCTCCTAGTGAGTTAGGTTGCTTTTTATTCTCCGATTACTTCTTCATGAGCTAGAATCATTCCTTAAAACACTCTTTTCTTTTGCCATTACAATTTGGGCTCTGTTTGGACTCGTTCCATACTTTGGCAAAATGCCTTCCTCTTTCCAATGGTGGCACTACATGCTTCTACTGTCATGCCTGTTCCACACCCAGGTGTATTCCCGTGCTGTGTTCGCTCATTTCATGGTCTCGAATACGGCCGTGTATGGAGTCTCAGACTGGGAAACAGAGATCCAGCTCGCGAAGGATGCTCATATTGACGCATTCGCTTTGAATATCGCAAAAGGAGAAGAAACTACCTCGACTTCCATGCCCAATGCTTTTAAAGCCGCCGAAAATCTCAAATTCTCTCTTTTTTTCTCATTCGACTATGCAGGGAATGGAGCCTGGGACAAAGACGACGTGCTGAGTCTCCTGACGCAATACGTTTCCAGTTCCGCCTATTACCTCCACGGCAAAACTCCATTGGTCTCGACATTTGAAGGACCTGGCAATGCTGATGACTGGGTGTATCTCAAATCAAAGATGTCGCTCTTCTTTGTTCCGGATTGGTCCTCAGTTGGGGCCAAGCCTGCCATGGCTTTGGGAGATGGTGTTGCAGACGGGCTATTTAGCTGGGCTGCGTGGCCAAATGGACCCAATGACATGAACACCTATGTTGACGCTTCTTACATGCAATACCTGGGCAAGAAGCCCTACATGATGCCGATTTCGCCGTGGTTCTTCACAAATATGCCTGGGTATGATAAGAACTGGGTCTGGCGTGGTGACGATCTCTGGTATACGCGGTGGGAGCAAGCGCTATACCTGGCCCCAGAATTCATCGAAATTATCTCTTGGAACGACTATGGCGAGAGTCACTACATCGGTCCCACTGTTGACTACCATAACCATCTGGCCGATTCAATGTACGCGGCATTCGAAACTGGACATGCCCCTTACAACTATGTCGAAAATTTGGATCACACCGGCTGGAGACAATTCTTGCCCTACCTGATTGACCTCTATAAATTCAACCACACTACCTCAGGAAAGGAGGGCCTTGTGACATGGTATCGTCTGAACGCAGCGGGTGCGTGCGCTGATGGCGGCACAACTGCGAATACAGTCTCCCAGCTGCAGCTGGAGTATTGGCCCAAGGATGTGATGCAAGATAAGATATTTTATTCAGCACTATTGTCACAGCCTGGAGATATCTCTGTGACTATAGATGGCGTAAACCTAGGCGCAACCTGGACCAACACCCCCAGTGGCAATGTTGGTATCTACCATGGAAGTGTCTCTTTTGCCGGCCATTCTGGGGACGTGATGTTGAGTGTGACTACTCCGAGTGGTTTGCTCGAAGTTGAGGGCAAGGACATCAGCAGTGACTGTTATATGGGCAACCTAGTCGAAAATTGGAACGCATGGGTGGGCTACACTATGGGAAACTCCCTCAGTGGAACCTCCCCTGACCTTGCCAAGGAAGTCTGTATTGAGGGATGGGGGATGGGGGATTTCAATGGGCTTTGTCAATTTGCCTGTAGCTTGGGATATTGTCCAGTTGGGGCGTGCGTGTGCACCAAGCTGGGACCTCATCCGACATTACCCAAACCTACAGGCGTCGTCGGCTATCCAGCTGCAGGCAAAAGCGCCAATTATGCCGGTCTGTGTTCGTTTACCTGTGAATATGGCTATTGCCCGTCAACTGCCTGCGGAACTGTGTCAGCTCCATTAACGATTCCGACAGTCTCCCCATTCACTCCTGATACATGTGTCAGTGGCACTGGAGAGGGTGAATTGACTGGTCTGTGCAGCTTTGCCTGTAACTTTGGGTATTGCCCCATTTACAATTGTACCTGTACTGCAACGGGTCCCTTAAACGTACCACCTGCCCAAAACACCTCCATTGTCGGCTGGGCACCAGATACCGAGGATAACGGTCTTTGCAGCTTTGCCTGTACCAGAGACTATTGTCCTTCGCCGGTATGCCTGAACACGACCCCTGACGACGATCCTTGTGGAAATGGGGACGATGATAGTGACGAGTGTTCCGGCACTTTCCCTTGCGATTTCAGCATCAACTACTCCTCTCTCAATGACCTGGAAGCAGACCTCGACAAATTGACCCCATACTGTGTCGACTTCTATATGCTGGGTGCACTATACGGAGAGTTGGAGACTACTTTGGCCAACTATACAAACATTGCACATACAACCGATTACGACAAAGACTTCGAAGAGTACTCGACATACATGAAAAATCAGGTTCTGCCCCAGCTCAGGTATTTCATGAACAGCAGCGAGATTATTGGTGAACCCAGTGGCGTGGGAAATCAGTTTTTCGACTGTACGTACAGTATACTAAACAGGAATGACTCAAGGACCTCCTGTCCAGTTGAGTATCTTGGGTCGGTAGATCAGGAACATATCGTCTACTACGATATCATTGACCGAGAAGGATTCTTTGGCAATCTTACTGCGAACGTTGGTGTGGAGCCGGACTGGGTAACACTCGATGGTGGCTTGTTCCTTGGCTCCCAACAAAACGCTTACTATGGTAAGAGGCCTGCTTGCACTATGGAGCAGTCACATGGGCTACTTCCGACAGAGAAATGCGCTTGGTGGCAGGGGTTTCCAGTTCCAGCCGAGGAAATCAAGGTCACCGACCCTCGGGAAGTCATGAGAAATGCTTTGCCAAATATTCCCAATCTGCAGCTCTCGATCTCTCTTACTCAGCTTAGCATCGCGTCCGGAGGCTTCGACGGCGTGATAGACGATGTTATTCAGACCATATCTACCGCTGTCTCTACGCTAAGTGAGCTAGTCGATCGCATCTACCACGTTGTCGAGCTCGGTCGGAAGCTTTCCGATATTGATAGGAAAAAAAAAATACTGAAGATCATTGGTGGTGTGTTTTTGGCTCTTCCTTTCCTTGGCCCGCTTTCAGGACTTGGGGATGTCATCGAAGGCTTTGATGCAATACTCACTTTGGCGGGGAACGCCGCAAATGAAGGCTACGATGTCTATACTATGGTGCAGGACCCTGAAAGTGCTCCGGTGGCCATTCTTGGTATGCTGCTGGGCTTTGACAGCGGTTCTGCAGTTGGCAAAATCAGCGATGAATCATTGGGAGCCCTTAAATACGAGTCTCTCGCTGCCTCTCGGCGCGAAATGAAAAGTGCCGAGGTACAGGGGGTTGGAGATGTATTTAAAGAGAAGATGAATCGAGTTAACTCTATTGTTAGCAAGTGCTCGAGACGTTGAGATTTCAAGTCATGCAGCTAGCAATTGTACCCATATGATAGATAGACAAGGAACTAATAAAATCTGATTGATTTGATATTACTCTTTTTGTTAGCTGGGTAGTAATGATGGTAGCCATTCTTTGAGGGGATAACGGTAAATGGTGCTGGATGAACGACTATCTGGGAAAAATACAAAAATGGCCCGTTGATGTTGCTCATTTGCGTAAGAAGATTACTTTGTTTACTATTGGCAGAGGTACAACAAAAGACCCTCTAGATAATTATATTCTAAAGCCTTGCAACCCATTCCTAATGTTACCTAAGTAAATATGTAGATTCCTGAGTTCAGCCCAATTAAAATGCTGTTGAGAGCCTCGGTTCTAGGATATAATTCTGCAAAGGCAGGTGAGCCTACCACATCAACCCGTGATCCTATCTGATCTCGCTTGGACCTATGTAAAGGAAACGGCACATTTAAACTGGCAGCCATTGTTCAAAAGGGGAAGTCCGGTACTTACAAGACATGCTCATCATTAGATTGTGGTGCACATTCGGGTGGAGAGCGAGTCGCTAGCGGGTCACTATGTCTCTTTAGATAATCATTTTGCAATTCAAAATATCCCAGATTGGTAGATAGTGCTAATTTAGAAGTCATTTGGATGGATTGACTGCCTTCACCAGTGACAAACAAGGTCTGCTTGAAATCCTGTCGATTGCGAGCGCGTTTAAACGGGGGTTGAGTGGGATTTCTAAGCATACACACACCGTCCTAATATTCAGGAGCAGGTATTATCTATTCCTTACGACTTACAGTGTAATTCCGGGAAAACGTAGCGCCAGAGCAATTGCTTGGGAATTCGCTGTTATCAAGTGATCTCCAGTGAACAGAAGAATTGAATCTCGGAGCAATTTGGCGCACCAGCACTATACTCGTATTTACCTTAACAGTAGACATGAGCAAATTCTAGTTGGGCTGCGCGGAATTCTTAGACGATAACAGAGTCTTGGGATTGGCGCTTGCAGATTGGCAACTAAACAAAGACTTTCTACACGTCGCATTCTCCGTCCCTACATTTCCATACGAATCTGTTGGCTACACACTACTGAGGACAGATCGTAATATACCGACGTCATCGCCATAATCTTATCCCGAAACAGAGCTTGTATCCGTGAAGGCTGAAAAATCCTTCGCGTCAGTGATTAATTCGAGATTGAGAGGTACTTTAGCGGAATTGTGTCCGACAAGCAGCCCTTGTAGCGGGTATATAAAAGCACCTAAGTAAAACGAGGATCAACGAACGTATATTCTTGGGGAAGAAGGTCGAGCTTCGACTTGAAGAAAGGTGATATTCGGACTTGTCCAGCCTCGGTCAGCAACGTTGATCTCGATCAACATGGTTTTGAGTCCACGAGGCGTGGATAAAATGATACGCATACCCATTCGAGGTGTTTGTGAATTAGAAAGGATTTGGAAAAAGGGACAGAAAACGAGATAAGTGATAGCCCTCGGAAATCTGCAAGGTGCTCTACAATGGAGCTGTTGCAGGGATCAGCGGCCCCGGGTGTTAGATTCACTGTGTCATACCTTATTTCCCCTGCAGAGTCTCTTCTGATCATACATAGAAAGGTCTTTTACACAAAGTAAGCTTTTTTTACCGCCTTCACTTACATTCAAAAGAATATCTTAAAAGATATCTAAAAAAGACCATCTAAAAAGACATCACAAGGCCGCAAACGCGGCCGACTATTCTTGTATTTTATACATCCGAATATTACATTGATGTCATACCAATTTTAAAATTAAAGTTCAATTCTTATCGCTCTCTTGATGCTTAAATTTACGACCCCTAAATGCCTAAATTCTCGGTATTATAGCTCACTAGTAAGAGAAATATAAGTATTATTTTTGTATGAGATAATGAAACACCGGCAGTGAGCTGGGTGGTTAGACTTAACTACTTCAGGTATGGCGCACTGGAGTGCAGTACCCCGACGATAGTATGTGGCTGTCCTCATGGGCTACAGAAATGTTTACACAGTCCTTGATGAATAGTAAGAATGAGGATGCGCATACATTATATCTACAATGTAATGTGAACAGCACCATCAAATGCAATCCAGCAAAGTCATGATTATAGCCAGAGTCAGCACAACATAAGAATATCTCAGATTCAATAATTCACTCCATTCCTTCTTCTCACTCGTTCGCACCAAAAAATAATAAACACATCAATACTTCCCGCGGCTCATAACCAACCCAACAACACCATCAACAACCTTAACACCCTCAACCTCCGCCTCAAAAATGCCGGTATCACCACCGGACCCAACTTCAACCCACCGCTTGAGCAAATCATTACTCTCCTTCGGCTTAACATCCGGCGCCGCGGTGCCGACCGTAATATGCGGAATAGGATTGGCACATGGCCACTCAGACTCAGCAGTCTCAACACCCTCAGCAGGCAGGATGCGCGCAACAAATGTCATGACGCGGTTATCCCAGACGAGACGCTCGATGCGCACGCGTGCAGAGCCCAGAGTCGGCGGGTGCTGGGCTGGGTTTTCGACGGGACTTTTGGTCAGGGTGTCGATGTAGCGGGTTGCTAGCTGGTCCCAGGTGTCTGGGTTGTCTTTCTTGGAGGCGCGGTGGATGAGGGTTACGTGGAAGGTTGGCTGGAGGCGGCGAGAGTTTCGGAGTTGGTTGTAAAGACGGGATGTTTCGGGGGATGTTGTGGGTGGGAAAAGGGAGTGCAGGATTGAAGTTATTTCAGATGTTGGGAGGGAGATGTTGAAGTATTCGATCTTTTTAGCGAGGGATTCTGGGGAGAATGGGGACTCTGTTGGTTCGGGGAGGAGGGGCCCGTTGTCTTGGTTTTTGGGCTTTTTGACCTTTGGCTTCTGTGGAGGCCCGTAGCTGTAGCTGAGATCCTTTGTCACAGTGTAGTCATTTAGGGAGGCGTCGATGGCCGCGTCGAGTTCTGCTGCCGTTGGTATGGTTGGCACTAAGCGCGGATAGGCGGCGTGTAGGGCTTTGACGATTGTTTCGAGGTTCTCGCGAGACGAGGCGCACACGTCGAGGTCAATGACGTGGTTGAAGGCCTCGTCTGGCAAGCGGGTAGTGTCGACGCCTTCGAAGCGGCCGAGGAATCCTTCCATGATTCCGACGGTCTCTTGCTGGGCGTTGGTGCTAGCCCGGATGGACTGGTGGTTGTCGCCACGCTCGAGCACACGCTTTCGAGTGACTTCTCGAATAGCGGGGAGCATGTCTGCCTTGGGCTCGTGGACGTAATGCAGAGCAACGAACTGCGCATCCGGAAGCACAGGGTAGATATCCTCCATGAGCTGCCTGCGTTCGCGCTGCTGATGGTTGTTGCGATCGGCGATGACAACACTGTGCTCCCCAAGAGCATGGCTAACCTCGAAAGCGAACTTCTTGGGCTTGTTCTTCTGTTTGGGGATGTTGTCGTTCTGAACATGTCCCCATCCGAAGAGCTTAACCAGAGCTAAGGCGACTGTTGTCTTTCCACATCCTAGTGAAGCAACCGGTTCGAGGATGACATTTTTGTTGATCTCCTTTGATTCGCTCTGCTTTTTAGCCTCTAGAGCGATAATCTCGGCTCCATTCAATCCTCGTTCCTTGAGGAAATCCTCCCGCAAAGCAATGATACCGTGGTTCTTCATGTACTCAGTTGCCATATTAGGGTTCCTCATCAGAGCCCGTCGAGCAAACTGCAAGTATTCCTCGGTGACCTGCTCATGCTTTCTGATCTTGGGATGTTTACCTGCAATGACGGCTTTGGTGCATTCACGCCACTGGCGGTACATCAAGTACGGCTCTTCGAACTTGTACTTGAAGAACCAATTCCGATAGGGCTCAGTTCCGTTGTCGCTGAGCTGGCATCGGATGACAAAGCCCTCGGTCTCACGTCCATCCCACATGCCTGTCTCCGCGCATCCTTCTAGGAAGCTCTGCACTCTGAAGATGTCATCAAAGACCTCGAACTTGGCTTTCTTGAAGCCCCAGTCGTCAGCGAACTTGTGCACATCATCACAAGACATTGTCTTGAAGTCGGGCTGGTTGTAGTTGAGACCGTGGAGGTAAATGCCCGAAGAAGCTTCGTCGTAGGCCAGGACGTGCTCCTCGAAAGTGTCGTCGCAGAGTTCTCCAACGGCTGTAACATTCATCTGGCGCAGAGTCCGGGCAAGGTCCTTGACAGATCGGTTTACAGACGATACATGGCGTTCTGTCCAGCGTTCTCCTGCCTGCGCATGGGTGACGACTGTATCTTCGCGGGGTCCAGTTGAGTGTTTGCTGCAGACTAGCAATGTGTCGTCCTCTAGAGCAGAGATGAAAATAATGCATCCGTTCTCCTTCACACTCAGCTCGTAGGGACCTCTTGTGTTTTTCTCAATGTTGCGCCACTCTGTGGACCTTGTTTCGTTTATGTTGAAGAATTTGTCGTATCCGCGCGCCGCGATTTCAGGAATGTTGTCTCTTCGTTTGGTGGTGAAAAGACCTCGTGCATATGTCGGCAGACCGGCCTGCTTGTAGTCCCAGTCCTGGAACTTCCACGAGTCCACGGAGACATTATTGGCTAACACAAAGGTGCTCTTTCTACAGGTGAACCTTGTCTCGCCTTTTTTGGCCTTGCGAGCGGTCTCCAGGCTTTTCACCAGCTGTGAGATGACGTGGGGATCCTGAGTCGCCATGTTTTGTGTGTTGGGTATATCAGGGAGATCTGCGGGACGGAGAGAACGGAGGGGCAAACAAGAGTGGGGGAAGAGGAAAGAAAAAAGACGCGATAATTTTCCTGACCACCTGCCTGAGGTATTCTAGGGGTATTTGTAGATAAAGCAGATTCAAGAAGAAAAGGACCAAAGGACCAAAGGACCAAAGGACTAAAAAGAGTTAGTGTAAAGATGAAAGAGTCAGACCAAATGTGTCACAGTGCGGGGAGCCGAAAGGGAAAGGCGGATATTTTTTTTCTGCTGAGTTGACTTGACATATCTTAACAACCACAACCTTCTTACTTGTGACTAACTTCATTTATACAAGTTTCACTTAATTTGAATTAAAACCTCTGAATCATAATGGCCCAAAATCCTTACCTCCTGGCCTGCGACAACCCCACGGCCCTTCTGGACCTGCTGCGATCCAACCCCTCGATCGCATCCAGCCAAGATGAGTCCGGCTACTCATTGCTGCACGCCGCAGCCTCCTACGGCCATATCGATCTCCTACGCGCTCTAGTGAAAGAATTCAACGTCGATGTCAACCTCCTCGATGAAGATGGCGAGACATGTCTGTTTGTGGTTGAGGACAGCGATATCGCGCGCTGTTTAGTCGAGGAACTGGGCGTGGACGCCAATAAGAAGAATGCCGAAGACTTTACAGCTGTGGAAAAGTTCGAGACCGAGAATGAGTTCCCGCAGGTCGCTGCCTATCTTCGCGAAGTTGCTGGCGGTGCTCCTGCTCCAACACACGCTCAAGCTGCCCAAGTTTTGAACACCACCGGACCCATCCCTGGCAGCGATATGAGAGTCAACATTGGCACAATGACGGAGGAGGAAGCTACTGCTGGTGGCGAACCTGATCCAGAATTCAAGAGGCGCATTGAGGAGCTTGCTGCCCGTGATGATTATTACAGCGAGGAGGTGCAGAATGAGGTGCGCGAATTGGTCAAGGATGCCATGGCTGGTTCGAATATTGAAGCTATGGAGCGGGATATTCGGAGGAGAACTGAGTAAACAGGGGAATTGCGACTGTTAAACTCGTTCCACTGTCATTAAACTCCTTCTATCCATGAGACCACCGTCGCGTTTGAAGATGCGAATCATTGGAAGAAACTCATCCAAGCATTTTTAGTTGGAGTCCCAATGCCCCTGCTGCTGCTGATTGTATCGAGCGCGGGCGGGTATTCCACCGTTAGCTTGGGAACCTTTTGTGTCTCGCTGTGAAGGCTGCTGTTAGACTCGTTGTCAGAGTCCCTGTTGGGAGTTATCCGAGTGGCTCGGAGGCCCGAAGAGAAGCTTCTATATGATCTTGTAATTAGGATTAAATTACGAAATATCACGATACATCCATTGAAGTAATATATTACTAGTACCCATATTTAGCTATTACCCATGTATATAACATAGATGGTACTATCATACTAGTTAATGCAACTGCGTGGATCACCGGTCTAGTCCCCGCCAAGCTCGAGCCCATCCCGCATCTCCGACGAACAACCTAACTTCCACCACCAACCCTCAACCACCACATCATGTCTCAACCACCATCGCCATTCCCCCTACAATCGCAGTTCTACTCATCCCAACCCATGAACCCCGACACACCTCCTCCGCCACCCCCAAAACCCAACAGTCACGAAGCTAGTCGACGCGGCACCCCGCAAAACACCTCTGCACATGCCTGGCACCCAGACAACCAGACAAGCGCACCTCAGGGCGCATACCCCAATAACCCTCAACAGCCATACATCCCCGATCCCCCAAAAATTGAAGAAGGCTGGCTCCCAGACCTGGTGTCCGACAAATCGTGGGTCCACTCAACCCCCCAAGAACAATGATAACAGCACCTCTAACCCACACAAACCCAGAACAACCGACCTCCAAACAATCCTCAAAGACCCATCTCTAATCTCCGCCCTGTCAAGCCAACATCCCTCCTACACAACCCGCCAACAACACCTCGAGACCCTAATCCAAACAAACAAAGACCTCGCAACCCGCGTTCTAGAGATGCAGAACCACCTCGCCGAAGTCCGCGCTTCCACTGAAACAATGCTGATCACACACCAGTCGCTGGAGGTCTCCTGGCGCAAGAAGCAAGCGGAGATGGACGCCGCCCTAGCCCCTTGGTCGCCAAAGGCACTATACCAGCGCTTTAGCGCAGCGATCACTGAACAGGAGGCTGTCTGCCATGCAGTCGAGGAGAGTTTCCTCGATGAAGACCACCATGGCCGAGCCACGGAGAAGGAGATTGCAGATTGGGTGCGGCGTGTACGGGGCGAGGCGTCTAAGCTAGCAGCTCGGAAGGAGGCCAAGGCACGGTGGGATGAGGGACGTGTTGGTGGTTGGCGATGAGGTGCAAAAGCAACCTCAAAATATAAATAGTCACGACACGTCTGACTGCCATTTACGATGCCATGCTACCTCCGATTCATGATCTTTTCACTATGCACTATACAATACAATATAGATTTACACAGTAGTTCAAGGTCTTGCATCATCCGAATCGCGCTCACCCAACCCCTGGAACTCAATCACCCAATCACCTCTCGCCCCTCACGCCTCAAGCCTCAAGCCTAACAGCCTCACCCTGACTACTCTCCGGCTTAACACGCCCCTGTCCCTGTCCCTGTCCCCTAAATGACATCTCCCTCGCCGCAGCCGCACCCTCAACATCACCATCCACTCCCCTCTCACCCGCCCACCCATCTGTCCCCAGCGAACTAGGAACCCCAACACCCCGCAAGAAAGCGCGTCCCCGACTACGCGCACCCCAAGCCCAGCCGGCACCACGCCGAATCGGGAGATGGTACATGTTGAACGCGATATAAGCGAAGAAAAGACCAAGCGCCGCGCCGAAGAGAATATCAAAGCCATGGTGTCTGTAATTGAACCAGCGGGACGCAGCAATAAAACACGCTGTTGCAGTCGGCACGAACGCAATTAGCATTAAGTAGACGGGTGGCGCAGCGCCACGTTTTCGCACGGATGAACTGTCGTCCGTGTGACTCTGGTCTTCAATTGGGTAGCGTGGGAGATAGGGGAATCCGACAGAGAATTTGGAGCAAAGCCATAGGGTTAGGTAGATTAGGCCGGCGAAGGAGACTGAGGTTTGTTAGCTTTGAATTCATGTTTATATGCACTGTCACCGGAATCGTGTCTTGTATCATATCTGAAGATGAGATACAAATGAACACGCTTATGTATGACATATATGAAAAGGAGGGTATAGAAGACTTACAAGAAGAATGCCCACTCGGAAAACTCGAAAACCCATCAATACGCAACGAATCACTCTTATCCCGACAAATCTCCCAGGAGACAAGTGTCGCGGCACCGCGCACCGACTCCCCGAGTCCACCAACCGTGAACTCCGCAATGCGCGCTACATCTGGATTGCAGCGCGCGAGGAGGTCAGGTCGCGGTTTACCGATTAGGGCTTTTAGGCCCTGTGTAGCGGACCAGGCGCTTGCGATAGCCAGCGCGAGGCCCATCCAGCCGACGTTCCATTCCCAGAATTTGCGACGGATGTATTGCGCTGCGGGGGGTTTGGGGGAGCCGGAGTTAGTGGTGGTGGAGACGGTGGCTTTTGCTGGGACGAGGAGCCATGAGAGTAGGAATATTATAACAGCTGGTGCGAAGAGACAGACTAGGATGAGGGTTGTCGTTGTTACTGTTTCCTTGGTGAGGGGGTAACTGATTGTTGGGTCGGTTAGACTGAAGGGGTGGTGGTTTGGGGGTTGTTTGTAGAATCCGTAGCCAATTAGGGCGATGCCGCTGGTTGTGATTGTCAGTTCTGCGATAGATATGTTATGGGATGGTTTCACGTACATGATAAATATCCAGTCAATTATGTAGGATAGTACTAGGAGCTTGGAAATGGCTGCGAGACGGGTTACCGTCTCCTTGATGGGGAGGGGCATGGTGTACACACGATGCAATTAAGGTATTAGGGTATTAGAGTATTAGAGAATAATGATGAAAGTGAAAATGGGAATGAAAACCAAAGACAAATGTAAAGTCCGACGCGAAGTTCAGGCAGCAACGTTGGAACAATAGAGATGGTAATTGTGGCGGAGCAAGAAGCTTAAATCGACTCGAAGTGTATTTGCATGCCTCTACAACATAGTACAACATCCCAAGTAGAACCGTCATTCATTCCATTGACTCCACTTTGACCTCATCTGAGATTGTAATATAAATATCACGTCTTTTTCACTTCGAACATCCCTTAAACGGAAGAATTAACTCAAGACTAAATAAAATACGAAGTAGAAAAATACCGATTGTTGTGGATTCTCTCCAATTTCCACTTTGTCCAACGCTAACCCGATTTGAGCTCAGCCGAAATCTTCCCCGGAGCCGCCCACTCATGCAGGGGTCTGCAGAGTGCGGAGTACAAAAACTGTATATTGCATATACATGAAGCATTGATTCGACCACGTCGCCATCAAGCGGTGTTACATTTCAATTCAGGCTACATTGGATTGGAAAGAGCGCTTCGATTATAAATAAAATCCAGTTGGTTGTTTCTGTGTGCCTCCGTGGAGAATTTGCCTGATCTCTCCAGTTCCTGGAAACAGAATCTATATTTATTGTACTTAATTTTTACCCAGGTAAAAAAGCCCGTTGGTTTCGAGACTCAAATCAGGCTAAATGAAATGTAACCCACAATGCGAGGTGGCTTATGCAGGTGCTTCTTGCGGTGTATATAGAATCAAACCGCATAGGAAGCGCTAAGCTTGCATGGCCTGGATAGCTTCGATCTTTATGAGAAAATAGGATAGTAAAATTATTGATAGCGAGCATTTGAGGATATTAATTTGATCTTCATAGAGATAGAAAGTAAGGCAAATGTGACACCATCCACCTGGTGATAAGTACCATAGCATTAACAATTTCAACCATTTCGAGTGATCGGCTGCAGTATTCTAGCAAAGACCTAGAACCTAGTAATCATCCGACGGCCCATGATAGCATCGTTCAACTGTTTGTGAACCTGCTGAACCCCCTCAAACCGAATGAATCCGCACGATTCACTCTCCAGGTGGTTGAACAGACTAGCCAGGGAGTGGAACTCCTTTGGACAGCCTCGCTTGAGACAGTGGTAGACCTTCTCCTTGTGTACAGGCGAGTTGACATGGGATTCCAGCGCTTTCCTCGAGTTGAACCCCCTTTTGCATATGTAACACACCCAGAAGTTGCCATTCCAGGCACTGTCAGTGACCGAGTAGGTTGAATTCTGTTCATCGTGCCACGCGATCTGCTTCTTGCACACAAAGCCATTTGGATCGAGCTGTTGAATAATGTGGTGGATGCGGTCGCGGTTCAAGCCTTTAGCTTGAGGGCAGGACCCACTTTCAAGGTGATGTGAGACACCGCTTGCGGTGACAAAGCCAGTGCGACAGAACGGACACGCAACGTTGGTACCGCGATGAGTCTTGGAATTCAGGTGCTATGAAGATAGAGGGGTGAGTCGAACGGGTTCAAAGTTTCTCTCAGATCATGTCAGCTCTCCTACCTGGCGCAGACAGTTCTCGTTCATAAAGCTACGCCTGCATTCATGGCAGTAGTTCTTGTAATGTCCCTTCGCCCTCATGTGATTCTCTGCAGCCTGCTGCGAGTGGAATTTCGCTGGGCACGTCTCACACGGAACGGTTGGGAGCCAGTGATCCTTTGCGTTCATGTGGTTGTTGGCGGCGTGTTGAGAATAGAACGTGCTGTTGCATGTTTCGCATTCGAAGGTCGGCGCCCAGTGATCTACAGCGTTCATGTGCTGATTGCAAGCGGTCTTGGTGCGGAACGTTCGATTGCATGTTTCACACTCGATCCAGTGACGATAGTCATCCATGTGCTGATCGCAGTCCTCCTGATACCAGAATTCATCGTCACAGGTGCTGCATTCAAACATGGTGGAAGATTGTAAAATTGTCTCAGAGTGAGAATCACAATGAGGAAAGAAGAAGGGGAGATTGAGGCATAAATTTATGGGCAAACCGTGGGACAGAATGGATCCATCACATCTCCCCAACCTTGCCCAGGTGGGGTTACCCCGGGCAGGGGTTTATCGGTCTCTAATCTATCGAGCAACACGTCCACTGGCCCACCTGGGCAGGGGTCCACGGGTATGTACTTCTAAGTATGTATGACCTGTCTAGAATGCAATTGATCATTACTGCAAGTTTCCATGAAGCCATTCATATTTGACTCGCTCTTGAGCAGAACTATGCTTTTCCGGCTCCCACAGCAGCATCTTCCGCATCAGACGTAGAAACTCCACTCTCTCTTGGCCTTCGAGGGTACACCCTATGAGACTAAGTCCTGCGACAGTCGGTTTTTGTTGAAACCCCAAGTTAATCTGTCATAACTCACATGCACCTAGGTTCTTTCAACGCTAACATCCAATTGAATTTTTACATACGCCAAGTCTTACATGAAAAAGCATACAGAAATATCAACAGGCTTTTGCACAAGCCATTCTCATTCGTCGCCAACAAGACCACGCACATAGGGCGTGTCATTGGCATAGCACTGAATTTCCTGTTCCTCTGGAAGAGTGCCGTTTAGAATGTAAGCTTTAGCAACTCGATCCGTGCAATCCGACCTGTCCCGTCTAGAGCTATGCCCGTAAGCATGATTGACAATCAACCGGGCATTTTGACCCATCTCCGCTAGAAGTCTTCTTCCATTGCGCAAGGGTGTTGCAGGGTCATACGGAGAAGCGATAAGCAGGGCAGGGGTCTTGAGAGTGTTGTTGAGATCGCCGCGATACACCTCCGAAGGACGGTCCCAATATGTATTGTAGTGTCGACAAGGCAGAACTGCGAAGAAGCGGGAGTTGCCAGCCATCCAGCTCTGGGCAGACATTTTCTCCCATAACTGTTCCCACCAGCCAAGTCCGTCTGGGAGGGGCGCATCGTACGAATCGGAGCAGATCACAAGAAGTTCGAGTTCACTGGAGGATGGGACATAGGGATATGATGGTTTCTCTGAATAGTCGCTCCACGAGAGATCTAGAGAGTTGGCTGCTAGAGTTGCGTTCCCTGCTTCGAGCTCATAGAGCATTTGTGCTGTACCCGGCCACTCCTCTGGCCTATACATAGCCCGATAGAGAAGCCTATTCACAAGCGCTGAGTAAGTGACCAGAGAAGGACCTGCCAATTCCGTGTACGCAGATCTTGGGCGAGCTTTGAGGGACTCAAACAGCTGGGTCATACGGGTTTCTAGCTGCGCCAGAGTGACGGGGCCGGCTTGGCTAGAAACAGGATTGGCCAATGCACACAACTTCGGACCGGCGTTGATACACTCCCCTAAGAAGCCATCACGCCATGCATCCGTTGCATTGTCGAGAGCAGTCCAGCCAAAGCCGCCTAAAAGGCGATGATCCCTGACATATTCCGTACCATCGAGGATCACACGACCCGCTCGGGTAGGAAACATGTTGACATATGTCTGACCAATCCCCGTACCGTAACTGACCAAGTATCCGGTGACTTCTTCTTCTTGAAGTGCTTTTCGGATCTCGTCTAGGTCCCGTGCCACCGATGCTGTGGTGACGAAGCGACCAAAATCTCCCAGTCGTTGCTGGCAGGCAAAGAACGTGGCGTTGTTCATGGCATCCGCAGCCTCTAGTTGGGCCTTTGGGGCCTCCTCGCGATATCGGAGTGCTAGGAGCGACCATCGGTCCCTGAACTTGTCTTGGGGGAAACATGCCGCGGCGGGTAGGGAGAAATTCACACCGCGGGGATCCCAGCCTAGAACATCGAGTTGTCCGTCACTGAAACGGTTGGTCATCTCCTCCGCGGTTTCCCAAAGGAAAGATGTTCCGCTTCCTCCCGGGCCTCCTGGGTTTATGATGATAGTGCGCTCACTCTTGTAACTCTTGGGTGAAATACCAGGATCATTCCTATGAGCCAAACCGGCCACCTGGAACTTGGTAACTGCAATGCGGACAATACGAGTGTCTGAAGAATTGTGATAATCCAGTGGGAGATCTAAGTATCCACACAGGTAGATGCCCCGGCCTGTGCTCCCCCAGTTCCAATGGCTGGGATTGGGGTCGAAGAGGGCAGCCCATGATTGCTGAGGAGTCGAGTCTTCCAGTGGCGGCGGACGGCTGGCATCAGTGCAGGGAATGAACTGGAATGGGTCGTCCTCTTGTGGGAATGCTCCATAGGGCGAGGCTTGGACTTGAGCATCACCCCGGAAGGCCCAGCGCTGCGCTGGGGTAGGGAGTTTACCGAACCCCACCAGGCCCACTATCCCCGCAGCTGCTGCTATCCAGACAATTGTTCTCCAGTGCCATCTTTGAGGCTGAGGCGTGAAGGTAAATTTTCCCTTCTCCATCGCGAAATACCCAAGGCACCAAGGTTAATATTCCTGTCTAAGGGCAGAGCTGTGAGATTTTGAGGGTCCGCGTTAGCGTGATCACGCGATCGTGAGCACTAGGGCCATCTTTGGCGTTTTACAGGGTTTGTTTCTAGGGTAACCCGGCGCTGTGGGTGTTAGCGCGAATATATATTAAAGTGGTCGGTTACCCGGTTTCAGATTACCATAGTAGAATAAACTAGATACGTATTTCCGTAAATATATAACCACGATGACTTGTAAAGGTGGCTTCGACAACGCCATGCTAAGTTCACAAAGTTGAAAATATATCCTCAAAGCATCCAAAGCTAGAAACTAGAACTAGCCCTCAACCTCACGCTTCCGGGCCTTTTGGTTCTTTCCAAAGATGACTGTACTTAGATCACCCACTGGGAGTGCGATGGGGAAATCGACCGCATCGAGCATCTGCGCAATGAAAATATGCCAGATCGGAATGCAGAGTGCGAAATTGAACGCACCCGCCGCCTATTGGTATAGACATCAGCATATACTCAAGATGGAAGAGAAAAATAGGTGCGATTGCAACATACCTTTTGTAATTTGGCTGCCAGTACCAGGTTTCCCAGTGCCGTCTGGAAATATGTGCCTGCAAACAACCCGAATGTAATCACGAGGAGAAAGAGCGCGAGGAAGAGGCAGATGTTGGTGCGGAGGGAGCAAATCATGTATACGAAGGTGAGGAGCGTGAGCGTGACATAATAGAAGCCTGTAATATAATACATTAGGACTTGCACGTGTACATAATTAGGTGTGATAGTAAGAACTAACCAACGGTGGCACTGTATGCAGCCGTCTCCATGCCTTTTAGCGTGTTGCCCTCAGGTGAGTACATTGTGCCAACGGCAAAGAATGGCATCAGAGATGTGCCCTGAACGAGCCAGAAAGTGCCTATGAATCGGTGGATTCCGATTAGCAAATGTATGGATACATTCAGGGTCCATGACAAACTAGACATACCATATGTAAAGAACAATGCACAGGAAAATGTATTCCCTAAGATCCATTCGCCGATCGCTCCGAATATTTGTACCATGGCACCGAAGAAGATATATACCGGTCTAGTAGAGGAGGTTGTTAGCATTGGTATCATTGTAATATCAGCGTGGTCTCTCTTACAAAATAGCAGCGCCGTTTCCGCCAGCTCCTCTCCAGCCCATAGTGATCATTGCTGTCGGCGTCGCAGCCAACAAGAAACCCATCAATGAGATCGGCGTAGGATTTCCAAATGTGGAACGTAGCTTTCCAGAATTTGGTGTCTTGGGGCTGAGGTATAACTTTTCAAAAACGTCTCGTGGTATAGGAAGCATGACACTGTCGGCGGTTTGATAACGACGAAGCATTTCTGTCGTAGAGGTGTCATGCTTCTCGCTGATGTTGTCGTCGGACATTTTGGGGTTCAAAGGACGGATTTTGTTCAACAAAACCTGGCAAATTCAAGTCAGATAGCGGCTCAAGGGTGCTGAATGAATTCCGGAAGACAACCTGGAAAAGAAAAGACACAAACCAGATCACGATCACAACTCCTTTTATACTTTTTCATCCACTCCCTGATTAGGCTGTCTCCATTAGACACCTCCCTATTTGAAACAGAGCTTCGTAGTATTCCCCACAAACCCCAGCCCATCCCCGGATTATTCCATTGACTGGCGCTCAACAGGTTCCAAGGTTGGCACCAACCTGATCTCAGACAATAGCGTGAAGTTAAAACCTGCGTGATCCACTTTGCATGAATAGCAATTGGGTAGTATGATTCGCTGGTCAAATCACGCTAGACGCAGAACGGGTTGGAGCAACCATGTAACCTCTCTAAGTATCCGCATTGGCGTGGGGTAGATAGTGTGTTCGTCAGAAACTCCTCCCAAGGGTTTGTTTCCCCGCAATGGTGTTGAGAGCCGAGGGAATCGATCTGCAAGTCGGCTACTTAGTAACTGCATTGATACACTGGTAGTTGAGGTATAAAAGGCCGCACTCACCCGATATAGACTCGCCCAGACCAAGCCATACTTTCTTGGCTGGTTGGCAGCGACCCTAGAAAGTGTATTTAGTAAAGCTTGCATCAGTCAAGCCATCTTGGCAGCCTCGGTAATTGGACTAGCCGACCCAGCCGCGGTTCGGGGGGATGATATTCCGACCTTGTGGATGTGTGGAGATGCACAAAATCTGGGGAGCTTCTCAGATTGATCTATGACGTCATGAACAATGGATTGTCATGGTCGATCCAAAGAGCCGGATGGTTTTGTTTACAGATATTGCACAACATGGTACGCCGCTATTTTCACCGCCATTATTTCTATTGTCAAGCTCCATTGGGCCAATCTAAGGCATTTATTGCGAATGTGCGACAAGGGGACTTTTGGGTACGAAGCTGGGCTATGAGACACATATTCTCTTATCCCTACATAGGCAGCAAATAGATACAATCTGTACGGTTTGATTTTATTCTCATGCACATAACAGACTATAAGAATGGCGCAGGATGTGTCAAGCACTACAATAATGACGCGCTTAGAAGCACATGGATGTAAACAATCTGGTGGATTGCCGAATAATGGTCGAATAGTTGGTGTCTGCACCAAGGCATGTCAATTCACAACAAGGGACCTAGGCGCGTTGAGCAATACAGTAGCAACATATTCATATGGTACACATCTTCTCCAAGCGCCCGGACAAGCCGAACAATTGATGAAAAGTGTTCGCATCGTATGGGGGTAGTGTAAGCCCAATGACACAGTGAGACTTGATGTACCAAGGCACAGTCAAGTCGCGAGTTCAAAAAAATATGCCAGTTAAAAACTAACAAATTGACTGGAGAAGAGAAGAAAAGAAAAGAACGAGGCTCGGCGGGAAGTAGGACTGCTTTATACTCCCAGTCTCGGAGCTGCACTTTTCCGGATACGAAGCTCCAGGGCTGAGACAAAGAAAGTACACGTGCATCTTCTTCACTCTAAATATCCGGGGGATGAAGGTATATCCGTATGCAATCTGCATTATGGAGCAATCGCCATTCATACGAATAGCACGTGGACGTCACGTTGACCCCTGTTGGTTGCTCTTTCTATCACGCCTAATTGTTTGGTTTTTATATAGCCCGCGAGGTGCGTGTCCTCTTTTAATATGTCCTTTTCCAGCAGCTAGGATGTTGCTATTTGTGTCCCCTGGCCCCCTCCGAGGGCTCTGTCAGCAATACACGACCTCTTCCGTGTTACAGCATCGCAGAGCCTCTACCCTTGGGCACAATATTGAATGGTGGTTCTGGCCGAATTTACAGAACAGAAGAGATTATTTCCGCGCGCAGGGATCCTCTACTATGTGTATAGCGTGCACAGTATGAGCCCCTGGATTAGTATCAGGCACTCGTTATTGACACTAACAGCTTGGGTGACGCAAAGGGCCGGAGAAAACAGCTATATTTTAAAAAACATGATCATCAATTTAACTTGCAGAAACAGCTAGCATCTTGTCCTAATGTGCGAGCGGTATTCGACACCGTTAGGGACCTGGACTTATTGATTTACCTGTTCTTTTCCAGAGACTTGCTTCGATTGAACCAAAAGCCTCTATCCCGGGATCAAAGGATTCATATACTTCGATGCGCATTACATGGGCTTGCTAATATGCACGATTGAGGAGTTCTTCAATGAAAAGTTTGAATATCCCTAAAGATCGTTTTCATCTTAGTCCTAACATTTCACAGATATCAAAGCCAACAATATTCTTGTTGACTACGATGAGAAAAATGACGGTCAATTTGTTATCAAGAACATTCAAATCTCAGACCTTGAGGATACAGTGATTGTACCACCTGGGAAATGGCTGAGAGGTCCTCTGTGTGGCAATGCTATCTGGAGGAGCCCTGAAATCTGGTGCTGATCTCGCCAAAATCAAGCTTCAGATGTATTCTCGTTTGGGATTGTGGTGCGTTTGTCGCACTTGTATGTGCTTGAACACACGAAATACTTATAATTTGTTAGATGATATACGTTATGCTCAATGAGATGGTATTTACGTCTGTGAAAATGAGCTTAATGCGGAAGACTCTTGGCGATATATTCTCCCAAGTCATATATCCTATTTTGCAGACGAGCAAGGCTTGGTTGGATTGCTGGACCATATAGGGGAAGACAACCCTTTTCACGAGCGATTGATCACCATTGCGAGCAACTTCAACTCTGCAAACCCTAGGCAGCCTTTTGAGTCTTGGGCTTATGTGGAGCAAGGCCTTAGGGACCTGGTGTGCAAGATGACCAATCTAGATCCAACGCAGAGGATTACTACAAGGCAGGCACTTGATCACAGCTGGCCCAAGGAAGCTATTTAAGGATTTAAGGATTTTGGCAGTATGAGCCCATTTACTTGTGATTCATAGCAGTGGCACAGTGAAACTGCGATCCGACAAGTTGAGATGACTTTTGGCAGTCTGCTGGAAATAAATATTCTCTTGGTTCGACTGTTCAAATCAGGGGACCCCAGGGGGTGGATATGTTAACACGCATTCTAACGTTTGGTTTGGCTCTGAAACTATTTGATGTTCCAATGCACTACAATAGATTTAAAATTCCGAATTTGACAACTATAAAAACCCATATTCATAAAAAAGTCAAGAAATTTTCATTCCTCATAATCCCCGAATGGCACTAGCAAGGTCATCCATATTCTCCAAAAATGCATCAAACTCAGTTTTGACCACCTCCATATCTTCATCAATATCATCAGTCCACCGATGAACATACACAGTCCTCAATCCACAGTTCTGCGCACCCCGCAGATCATATGCATGGGCCGCAACCAAAACCACCTCTTCGGGCCGAAGCTTCACAAGCTCCAACCCCTTCTTATAAGCCGCCGGGCGAGGCTTATAAACACCCAGCAGCTGACTAGAAAACAGCATATTGAACTGCAACCCAGAAGACTGAGTCAAGTCTAACTGGAGTCGTGTCGTACCGTTCGCAAGGACGAAGACTTCCAGACCAAGGTCTTGTCGAAGAGTCTTGATTGCATCGGAGACTTCGGGCCATGCTTTCTGTGAGTGCCATGCTTCAATTATTTGATCCTTGGTCTTAGTGTCGAAGTGCGGTTTGTGGTCGGGTGAGTTGTCGAGAAGAGCGTCTAGAGTGCGGGCAAGGGTGATATCGATGTCTTCTGGGTGGAGATTTTCCCTGACACGCTTGCTGGTCTCTAGGAAATACTGTCTGCGCCATTCCAGGGCGAACTTGGAGGCTTCATCCTTTGGGATTGCTGTGGGTAGCGCTTCCACTACGCTGCTGTGCCAGTCGAGGCACGTTCCCATGAAATCGAAAAAGACTGCTTTGATTTTTGGTTCAGGCATCGATGCGGCTGGTGCTTGAAATAATGCTTGACAAGGACTGTGCAGGTAAATTATGGAACTTGTCGGTGGGAGTGGAATCGAGTTTTGGGGAGAAATCTGGAAATTCAAGTTAGCTGACATCTAGATCTTATCCTCTTGGTGGGGAAGGTTTCGATTAGAAATCCAAATGCTTCAGCCCCATTATCTAATATCACTAGTTAGTAACTGCACAATGCATTAATATTTCTCAAATATAAAGTCTCAGTCAATAAAATGAAGGTCCAAGGCTAACTAAATCCCGTGATCTTCTACGAAAGACGTAAGTCCGATTAATGACAAACTCTCCCGATTTGACCTTCCTATAAAAATAATCCAACATGGCTTCAGCCACTTCATGAACAGCATCCTCATCGGGGAGTTCTCCAGCGACGCGGATCGATAAACAGTGAGAGTACATATGATGCATGGGAAATTCGTCGACTCTAATTTGTCTGTTCACGACGCGGTACATCATAAGTCGGACCAACTCTAGATCGGGAAGCCTGGCCTCATCGGGGTCAAAGTATACTGTGGCCCACACAACGTTCTTTCCTGATGGGCCGTCAGATACTGGAATGTCCTCAATGCGAGTCCTAAACGCGGTTCGTGTGGACATTTTAGTGTTTGTTGCGTTATTTATTATGTAGATGAGCTCGGGGATTGGCGGTAATGGGATTCGTGTGGTTTTAAGTCGAATAACAAGTCAGATAGGCTGGGTTAGTATTCTCTCTGAGTGGTGGTAATACCTGGGTATAGGATGTTGAGGATGTTTAAATATCCAACAACGAGCCAGAACGTTATATCCTATTGTAGTAGGCCGTTTATAGAAACAAAGGATCTTTTGTGGAATAATTGCTTTGTCGAGTATTCTGTACTAATTATGGGAATGTACTCCATAAATTATTCGCGTCTTTCTTCTGAAGCCTCGGAATTAAAGCGCACGAACCCTCCACATAAATAAGCTCATCTAATTGTGGCTAATAGTCATATTTGATAACCTCTTTGTTGTCAGATTAAACATAGAATAGACCGAAACAAGGAACAAAGTCTAACAATCTTTCACTTTTCAGGACCATTGTATTGCATTCTTTGTCTACACTCCCTGGCCACCATATCAAAAAAAGAATCAGCCCATGTCAATGAAACCCCCAACCCAAGCCCCTAGAACGCATCCGATCTCAAGTGAAAGAACCGAAAAAGCCTCACCCGATCAATCTCAACATTCCCCGCTGCACATTCCGCCTGATAAAAAAGCGCCAACTCCAGCGCATCCCTAAGAAAAGCATCAAGATACAAATCTCGGAACCGTTCAAATGCCCAATAATCTCCACGGGCCGGTAACGAGAGACACCCCATGACTCTGTGGTGCATAGGCTCGGGGGTAATCGAGACACTGACCTGGGGTGTTTTCTTAGCAATTCTTGCGTGGATGGTCTCCGCGACAAGATCCATGAACTCTGTATCTGTCTTGTCGCCGTTTTCTGGGGTCGCGACGAATACGTTGACCCATACTATGGGTCCACGGATATGACATCTCTCGTCAGTGTAGATGCCGTTGTGGGTGAACATACCTTCTTGTGCCATATTTGATTTGCCTTTGATTAGTTTTCAGATTGGGATTCTGCAGGAAAATGGATTGCTTTGATTTTTGGGCCACTTCTGACTCTTGCTTATGGACCTTAACACAGACAAAGTCACTTTGATGTTTACAATGGGAATTTATTGGATATGCTCGTATAATTATATTAATTGGAATGTTATCACGCCTTTGTTAGGATTGAAAGTAAATGTTCTATTATTACAATGACTTTCTCTGGTCAATTGGAGATGAGCTAGAAAGGGTCTTAAGTTGCCATTGCTAAGACAAAGACCTTAAGCGGTATTGTTTTAGTTTGCGGTAGCCGCCGCTGTTAACGTGCCTTTGCTTGTTCTTTTCTGGTGGTCATTTTATATGTTTACAAAGGAGTTGGAAGGATAAACCGCGCAGACGACTTTTCTGTACAACAATAGGATCATTCTCATAAATTGACTTGTCATCTAACGTTATGCATAGCGGATTTCTAATATGTAGCTGCTCCGCTTAAAATACTCTCTATACAACACAAAACCCAGACTCTCACAGCTTAATCCATCTCCCCATCCAAGTCTCAACAATCTCCTTGGCCTCATCAACCAAACCAAGATCAAGCAACAACTGGGTCGTGCCCCGCACAGCCGAATCCAACGCGGAAAAGATCCAAGCATGAGTATAACTAGTATGCTCTCCAATAAAGATGGTCTTAAACTCCGTCTGGTAGTAAGCAGGCAAATACAACTCCTGCTGGCCAATAAGCGGACTAGCCCAAGCACCCGCCTGATGCTGGTCAACCTCCCAGCACTGGCGATTGTAGACACCAGTGAACTGCTCGGCAGCAATCTCGCCATGCACCTCGATCATCGTACGCTGGATCAGTGCAACGTGTTCATCCTCGCTTAGTGCTGCTGTCGACCGAGCTGGAGTTCCCGAGACATATGAGGCCAGAATCACACCCGGTCCGGTAGCGTTCATGTTGAAGGAGGGGTAGCAGACACTCCCGACGCCGGGAACATCGACTGAGCCACATCCACCGAAGATGGGCTCTTCCATGTGCTCCCAGAACCGCGTCTTGTAGAGCAGAGACATCTTGCAGGCGGGGTCATAATTCATGGTCGAGATTGCCCGGCTCAGAAGTGACGAGTACCGGGGTAGATCCCACAGTCGGACCTTACTGAACGGTGTAGCGACGACAGCGTAGTCATATTCTTTTGTTTCTGGCACCATCTGGAATGGATCGTCGCGCCATGCAACGGCCACTTTACCGGATGTCTCGTTGTAGACCAGTCCTGAAACTGTGCGGTTAAGAGTTGTCTTTCCTGCGACGTGAGGGTAGAATGCACGAGGGAGAGACTCTAGACCCTTGTCGATGGTGCGCCATTTTGTGGCTGCGAAATAGACGTCGTCGTAGAGACCATCCCAGATTGGGTTATTGTCTGAGCTGGCGACATAGTCGGTTATGTTGGCGTCGTAGCCCAGTGCGTACTTCAAGTATCCAGCCTCAGACCAGTGGAACATGCCGTCGTCTACGGCTTGTTTGTGGGCTTGGTACATGTTGGTTGCAATCTTGCGGATTGCGTCTCGGTCGTTGGTTTTAGCGTAGCTTTCGAATGCGGATTCCGCCTCTTCAGCGGCGGTTTCATTGGATGAGGGAGCCGTGTAGACTAGGGATGAGTTGGCAGCGACTTGTGCGGCGCTGGGGATTCGCCCGTTGGGGAGACGGTTGCCACCAGAGGCCGCGGGCACATTGGGGCTATGTTGAATAAAGGGGATGAAGTTGACCTGGAGATCTGGCTTATTCTTATTCATCTTGTTGAGGACGTCGGCGAGTTGGAAGACCATGCGGTGATCTTGGATTTCGAGCGTCTCATTCGTGTCAGCATAGGTGATGCTGACTGGGAACCGCATTGGTCCCATCTCCTGGTATTGATACTGGTCGGGAGTGGTGTTGTTGAGGTATTTAGTACGAATGCGACCACCAACTCGGCCGGATGACTCGTAGATGTGCCAGTCGTGAATACCAACAGATTCGAGCAGCAGACTCGTCATCAAACCAGACATTCCACCGCCCAGAATAGCAACAGAGGTATTCTTTGCTTTTGAGACAAATGCTTTGTTGTTCTTCTTTGACTTCATGTACGCCACTCCGTCAAACCACGGTCCCATAGCATCTGCCACATCGGCGATACTCTCGCGCTTCTTGACAGGTGATGAGACCATGATGGGAGAAGAGCGACCCAAAAGCCTCGATCCGGAGAACGCATGCAGACAGTTTGAATGGGGTGCATCAGATGGTGTAGACCAGACGAATCGCTCCGGTTGTGCTTCTCGTTTCACAAACGTGCTCCCGATCTCATGGTGACTCTGTGTCGGATCTTGGATCCCGCATTCCCCGTAGACAAGCTGCAGGTGACCCTCGAACTGCTCGTCCAGGAACTCGACGTGAATGTTGTGCAAAGAGTCGGCGGTTACACCCCCGGGACTGTGGAACCGTATCACCTCGATGTCTCTCGCCGCGACCCCGGCTAGGCTTAAGCCTGATAGACCCAACCCCAAGAGGGTATGTTGTAGATAAACTTTCATCCTTAGTCCGGGCAGGAGTAATGTGAAAATAAGATGTGAGCGCTTGGAGATAGATCCTTCGTTTCCATGCTTGCCGGGCACGTTTTATATATCTTTGTTTTGCTCGCATCCAGTACCTCGGATCTCCGCAATACTAGACCCAGTATCTCGAGTCATCATTATCTTTGAGGGGGTGATTGAATGCAACTCCCTTATCTTGCGGTGACATTGTAGGTGGTGAAGATAGCCACGATGTCAGTATCCACTATGCTGTGTACGGATGCTATATCCTCCCCTGCCGCTTGGTCAGCGTCCATATCATTCATCAATATCAGGCTGTTACGTAAAATCACAGCATGCTAAGGGCCTGCAAGCTTCCATCAGCACCTCAAACCTAGCCAGCTCGAAGTGCGGGGATTATCGAGTCCAGTTGTCACTGGTTGTCCGTTTCTCTTATCAATGCGGTTCCTTCCGACGCTATCCACAGGTTATCTTAGGACCGGGGTGTTGGAGCTAGTCCGGGGTCTGTATATTATTAATCGTGGGGAAGGAAATTCTTTGTAGTCAAGATATGAGTTTGATTTGAATCCACATTCTTCATATTCTTATCAGTTGAATCCATAACGACCCAGGCAGGTACACCCGTCGACAGGTAGGATAAGGAATCGAGCCAATACGCTTGGGCCGGTGAGGCGCGGCTCGGCAGGAGAGTCTTGGCAAGAGTCTTGGCACGCCCTTGGTTTGAATGCCTTCTAGAAAGGCAGAGATACATACCAAGACTGAAGTTCAGGAGTTGAAACTCTTAGATTGGATACCTTATTGGTGGTTATCATCCGGTCCCTCATCTACTATGGGTTGTCTTTCTCTCTCTGCTCCCGAAAACAACCGTTCATATCTTCATGGCTGTTAGTTAATTGGTATATACAGTTTGAGCCTTTGCTTTTGAACATGATAATGACAATAGGGATACTCTCCAATTGGTTTTTTATCGGACCGGACCATTTTGATTTGATCTGTGTTGAGAATCCCAGTTTTTTCTTTATAATTAACGTAACATTAGGCTTCAACGCTAACCCCAATTTGACATGCATTCCGGGGATTTCGACTCCTGCTAAATTGAGATTACCGCCGTCGATGCAGTTTGACAACTTCATCACCAGCTTCTACATAAGAACTGCATCCCCGAATCACACGTTGACATTCTAATTCAGTCTGCTTTCGATCAACTAAAAGTTGACAAATCACGAGATAACAATTTCTTTCTGTTTCTGTTACCAATGAACAAGACATTTTGGAAGCTATAAATATAACTAGCTTCGGTTCCATGTATGAAGAGATTAGACGGTATTTTAATTTAATTTTTACATTGGTAATATTTTATATAGTTCCAATTAATTTGTGAAAGATTCGATTCCTAGATTTACATGCTAATTAGGATACTTCAGTATATTATCTAAAAATCCGTGCTCAATATTCCAGTTGTGCCGCTACATGTGCTGTTCAGTGAGGGCGTTGGGTTACAAAATGGATTCTTCATAGGGGAGGAGACATGAAGAGGAAAGATAACACCAACTAATAACTCCCATGTCAGGAGCTATGACTAGGCTAAGTCTATCCATAAGTGGAATAATCCCACGATTGCTTGGGACATACTTCACCGATATGTAGCCGGAAGGCGCCGGACCCACTCAGCCACTTGCGGGGGAAGGTCGGACCTGATCACATGTTGATACCTGAATGTGTATACGTTTCTGCCTGAATTGTTTTCTACCTTTCATGCACGTTTCAACTACCCAGACAAACGCTGTGACATGACTCAAATTCATTCATCAACTAGAATGGAAGCCTAGCGAGGAGACCTTCCAACCCGATACAAGCGACCTCAGCACAGTCGTCGTAGAAGCACTCAGCCAAAATACCTCGAACATCATCCAAGCCAGTCTGAACACCAAGGCAATCAAATAGGAATTTATAACCCAGAAAGTATCCTCTAGGAAACTCACGCACAATGGCCAGATGCGGAGCCTCTAACACCATCTCCGGGCCAAGTTCCTCCATATCACCTAGAAGGGAATCAAGAAGGTCGAGTTGGTCGCAGACTTCCCAGCAATTGTCCATGCTAAAACCATCGTGCTGTAGGGTGTGTATGAGACTCTTCAATGTGGCTGTAAAGTTTTTGTGGGCATCGTTGAAGCACTGCACAAGTTCCTGGGCACCTTCGGATGAATTCATCTTTTGGATGAAAAAGGAGAGGTGTTACTCCCAAGGTCCTTATAATAAGTGAGTGGTATACGCGAATTTTTGATGGCAATTCCAGGACGTAAAGCTTGATGAATCAGTAAGAAACTGTTCCAACAACGACAGCTCCTAACTATGGACGGAATTATGGCTGTTTAAAACCTCCCAGCCAGCTCTAAGACTCACACTGGAAGGACAATGATCAAAGACATAGAAATCAAAAAAATTCAGAATACTCATTGTTAAGGTTTCCTTTCGCGTGGTTAGGTATATCCTTCGGTCACTCTGAGGGAGAAATTCGTTGTTCTTGATAGTTACTACAGTTGTCCAAGACCAGCAACAAAGGGGGAACATCACAGCATATCCAAGACAACAGCATTGAAAGAAATTTTACTAGAAACATTTGAGCATGATTGAGCGCTTTTCCCTGAATTTTCCAAGACATCGTGTGAGCAAATAATGAAATAGTGGATTATAACCAATTCAAAATTCATGTTGTTTCATATAAAAACGCTAAAAGAGCAGAAAATGTATATACAAAGTTCATATCAAATCGTTAATCACAACATATCGTTGTCTCCTCCAATTTCCGTGTCTCATCCTGCACGTCATCTATTCCCACCGTAACAACCATCCAATCACATAGGAACTTGCCAAGCCCCGCACCAATGGAGATGCAAATAATCACATAGACATTGAAGTACATGGCCAACAACATGGTTATATAAGCGCCTGCAAAAGTGACTGCATGAATCACAGACCTCGTCAACTGCTGCAATGGCGTTGCGCGAAATGTCACGGCTGTTCTCGCAGATTCAAATTTCTTGGCAAACGTGCCGTGCGCGGCTTGGCGCTCAAATTGGCGGGTCAGGAAGTTGTCGTATTCCCGACCAATGCGCCGAAAGAACTCGACTAACACAACGAGCAGAATTGTGCCAATGCAGGTCGCAGCAAACATGCCATTGTTCTTGATCTGCCATCCAGTGGACAGGAAGCAGGCATCGATGGTGTGAAAATTGAACATCATCTGATCTTTGGTTAGCGAATCCACTTGAGTCTCCAATTCTCTTGGCACTCACCGACACCTTGCAGCTGGTCGAGCTGCTGCTGTGGTCCATGCCCTCCATCTTGACTGGTATTCTGGACGTAAGAGGATGAGGAATTTGAAGAAATGGCACGTCCAATATCAGGGCTCGAGGGCCGATGGTCTTATAACCTTGTGGCCTCTCTCCACCTGCGCTAAGGCGAAGTGGAGAAACCCAGCGATGGCGTGGGAGAAATGTGCTCAAATCGCCGCAAATGCGAAATGGCCACTTTAAACTTGCAAATTGGCATTCGCGTCCTGGGAATGAATAAAACCTCGTGGGCTTCTCCCACTGGATCTCACAACCTCTTTTTGCGCTTCGTTATGAACAGATAATCCGACCGGGAGCAGAATTCGGTGTTATTTGATCAACTTGAGCTAAATCGTCGCTCCAAGTCATTGGAACTGAGCTGAGGCTCATACTTGGTCTCCAACATCAGACCACTGCACACGGCAGTTGAAGACATAATGTCGTCCCCAAAGTTGGATGTTCGCCACATCCAGAACATGAGCGCGGCGACATCATTAGAGCCTCATTGGGGATACTATGATCGCGCCCTTCCTTGCACCAACGATCCAGGATCATGTGAGTATCTCGACGTTGTATACGCATCACATGACCTGGGAATGCTATATTCAGGCATTCTATGGTGTGTCATTGGCACAATTTTGCTCCTCTGGGTCGTCCTGAACCAGTTCAATGCGCCAAAGATATCACCAATGCTAGCAGCACCAGAACTAGCCGGGCTATACAAGGTCCGCCGCTCTGTTGCCTCATTAGCTCGGAAATATCTTCTGCCCGATGCGGCTCGGTTTATCTTCGGCCGCACAACACGCCTTCAGGTGCTCACCCTCGCTGTGTTAGCTGGCTACCTCCTCATTTTCAGCTTTGTCGGCATTCTCTACAACACATGGGTCACGCCCGTCTCAAAGATGCCCGGTGTATACAATACCCGCAGCAGCATCGGCCCATGGTCAGACCGCATCGGCACCCTGGCCTACGCCCTCACCCCGCTCTCCGTGCTGCTGAGCAGCCGGGAGTCCTTCCTCTCCCTCATCACTGGCCTACCATACCAGAGCTTCAACTTTCTTCACCGCTGGCTGGGCTACATCATCTTCGTACAAAGCTCCCTGCATACAATCAGCTGGTGCGTCGTCGAGTTGAGATTGTACCAGCCGCAACCCACTGTCGGACTCGAGTGGGTCACTCAGACATACATCGTCTGGGGCATCGTCGCCATGATCCTTCTGCTCCTACTCGTCGTGCTGAGCACACCGTGGGGAATCAGACTTACCGGCTACGAGACCTTCCGCAAACTGCACTATATCCTCGCCATAGTCTACATCGGCGCCTGCTGGGCCCACTGGAAGCAACTCAAGTGCTTCATGTGGCCCTCGTTGATTTTCTGGTTCCTCGATCGAGGAGCTCGTCTCGTTCGCACAGCCCTGCTACACTATCATCCCGACCACTCCGGTACTATCGGCCTCGGCTTCAAGCCCGCCGATGCAACCATCACCCGCTTCCCAGACACAGAACACGGTGATGTCATCCGCCTCGACCTGCACAACAACCAGGACCCCTGGTCCATCGGCCAGCATTACTACCTATCCTTCACGAAGTGTAGTATCTGGCAATCCCACCCCTTCACACCACTCAACCTCCCCACTGTGTCAAAGGGCACAGTCCAACACTCATACATCCTCCGTGCGAAAAGCGGCGAAACGAAAAAGGTCGCCGACCTCGCTGCCACCGGCACACCCACAACACCCATCATCCTGACCGGCGCATATGGCGAGTCCATCACCAGTCACTTGACACCAAGCACCAACATAATCTGCGTTGCCGGCGGGACCGGCATCACCTACGTCCTCCCCGTTCTGCTAGAACTTGCGCAGCAGCAACCCTCCTCAGACCGTAAGGTCGAACTCATCTGGGCGGTCCGCCACACGACGAATACAGAATGGATCGCGGCAGAGCTGGATCTCTTGCAGAAAGCGCGGAATACATTGAACCTCGAGATTCGCATCTTCGCTACACGGGACTCGGGGAGCAAGACGCCCTCGATTGAGAACTCGGATTCGGAAAACTGCAATCTGGCGGTCCCAAAGATTGAAGAGAAGGTCGTGCAGGTCTCGCCTTCTAGGTCAGTCTCTGCGTGCTGTGGATGTGACAAGCCTACTGCTGTAGAGCGCCTTGGGGGTGCTTCAGATGATGTCAATAGACATCCCGACCTTCCGCGGTTGGTCAATGATTTCTTGGCTCAAACAGTGCGCGGCCCAACGAGTGTCTTTGCTAGTGGGCCTGGTGGTATGATTAGTGACCTCCGGGATATTGTTGCGTCTTGTAACTCTGGTGGGAAGGTTTGGAAGGGGCAGGAGAGATTTGATGTTAGTCTTATCTGTGATGATCGGTTGGAGTGGTGAATGGAGTTGAAACGGGCTTGTATATATTGCCCAGGTGGCTGCATTCACGAGTATATACGCATCAGGAGTCATGGATTCAATGTACATATTTATCATAACGAATTCTATGAGTCATCTATGAGTAGCGGAGTAGCGGAAATATGAAACAACATGGCATTAGGATCACAGGTTCTGGTAACCTTCCTTCGGGCCGTCGACGTTGTAGTGAGGGGACTTTCTAGCATGTATTGTAACAATAAATGCGGAAGACCGTCGAACATCTTACATAATGTGTATTCACGCATCAACATATGATGTGACAAGCCCTTCAACTTTCAACTCGCTATCGACAGAAATATAGCTTTTTTCTTAAGTATCAGTGTAAGCACAGATACAGCAAGAAAGGAGCACATTGTAAGCAATAAAAAAAAGATAGCTCCCTTACCCAGTGCCCATGCCTGGGCCACGCCCAACCCATTTTTGGGGGTTGGGTTAGCATGTTTGTTTGTTTGTGTATTTATTTTTGTTTTCATATTCGTGGACAGGCTGCCTGCATGTTTAATCCGTGTTAACCCACTCAGCCACTGGGGGGGAACGTCGGTTAGTAGGAAGGTGTTAACCTGAATCTTATAGAAACTTATATTACCGAAAAGGGAAAGTGGGTTTGTATCACGTGATACTGCCTGGATTTTATGGCTGCGGATCGCATGCTTCCGAATGAGGGAGGTGGGTCCATCACATGTTGATGCCTGAATAAAATGAATGTATCAATTCCTTAGGAACCTGCAGATTCTAACAATACCCAAAAGAAGTATCTCTAATTTGCCTGACCGTTGGTAGTCTCATCTGGACCAAGTCTACCACCAGGCAAAAGCATCCCAGTCCGATCAATGAACGACCGCGCTCGAACATACGGGTCCAATTTCCAATAGTTCACCCGGAACTCATCAATAACAGCATTCCGTCGCGACTTGAGCTCCTCCACTTTCGACACCTCTTCCTTCCCATTAGACTGCGAGCTGGCAGAGATCCACGCTGCTGTGGCACTTATCATCCGGATGCCGATCATCATGCGGTCGTACATGAGCGAGTCGCGCGTCGCGGTGTCTTTCATGACCGCGTTCTCGTTTTTCACGGGCTCCTCGTACTTATAGGTCCAGTTCTCGTCGCCGGAGAATTCTTTGGGGATTTTGTTGCGCGGAATAAACTTGTCTAGGTCGGCGATTGATCGGGTGAAATGCACTTTCGATGCGACGACGGGGTCCATCCAGCCATGGATGAGTTTCCAGATACCTGATTGGTAAAATAAGACGTTATAAGTATTCTGGCAATGAAAAGCGATGTTTTCCTAGTGGAATGACTAACCGGAGAAAATCCAGGGTGCGTTATGGATGAGCAGTTGGCCCAGAGACTCGGGGTAGTTCGCTTCGAAGCATTTGAGGATGAACTTAACTGGTGGGTATTCCTGTCACGAATATTAGAGTAAGTCTAGGTATCTCGATCTAGCTGCACTATGTGTCTTACCATGTTGGACAACCCGAATCCTGTCAAGTCGAAGACAATTGTCTGTGAATATATCAGCGCGATTCAACATCTCAAGATTCTAGTTGAACATACGCCCGTTTCAACCGGAGGAGCCACGATCAGTCTCACTGACTCAATGCAATGAACAATATAACGCTCGAGGGCTTCTTCACTCTGGGCACCTGGCTTGTGAATCTTCACTCTCACATAGATAACAGGTCGACCATCCCTGTCGAAGCTATGAAGGAAGCTTTTTCCTGTCTTGAGTTGGTTGGTAAAGTCGGCACTTTGCTTCTTCTCCTTCGGGGTAGCTTTGGGATTACGGGATTGCTCCAAAGCATATTCCTCTCCCCGGGGTAGAATCTCTTCGTCAACCTCCATTTCCTTCCTCCACAGGATGTTCGACGCCATCATCGAGAATGCCTTTCCAACGTCCCATTTCCTAGCGCGCAAGAACCGGAGCAATAAGCTATCAGGGTTTTCCTGCTTGATCATCTTTAAGATCGCAAAGCACATTTCCTGGGGCGTCAGCGTGGAAAGGATATTTTCCATGGACTTAATCTCTGCATCCTGTACGCCCAGCTCTCGGAGTTGCGAGAAAATGGAGGAGAAGTGTGCCGGCGTGACTTTTCGGTTGGCCATTTCTGAAATGATAGTCTCTTTGGCATTTTCATTCATGAGGGAGTCCACTTTGTCGAGTGATTTCTGCTCTTTATTGTCCGTCTCGTTTTTCGCAGTGGCTTCCCCGTTTGTCTCGCCGCCTGCTTCCGCCGGTGCGGTCCCATTCGAGGTCTCTCCATCGGCGCCTTGGCCCTTCAGTGCGCTGATAATAGCCTCCACGGTCGGCTCGCTGATCTTGTCCAGAGCAGCAAACAACTTGCTGGAGGAGCCCTTTGGAATCGGGACCTCATACACAGCTGACAAGACATTCGCAACAGAGGTCAAAATGATGATCCAGAATTCAATCACCTTTGCTTCCTGGTCAGGAGTAAGGTTGCCGAGGTGCCCGGAAATTGGTTGGGAGGTAGGAGACATGGCATGAATCGTGGGTAGAGTACAGAGTTGACTTGGGGAAATCAACTTGCATTTTAGTCGCAAACCCACTGACGATGCGTTCTTGTTCAATGCATTCAATGCTGACAGGTCCACATGAATCGAATGGCTGCCTCGGTCATCCCCCGGATTCACACGCGAATTCAAAATGAGTACCTCGGTGTTTGAATTTGGTCGATCGTTCTATTGAAATGTGGATGCTGGTACCTTGACTCTTGACTTTTGTGGGGGGATCTTGAAACGGCCTCCATGAACAGATGCGCATGGACCCTCTGAGGGGAAGCGGGGGGTGACGATCCCTCATATTGCGGAGAAGATCGTCGCTCTGGGGGGTTCAATTCCTCTCAATTTTGAGCTTTGAATACGTGGAGACGCAAGATCTTAGCGGACGGCGACTCTATTTTACCGCATTTGTACATGGCTCTAATCCAAATTGGGTATTCAGGATGTTAAAAGTGTATAGATACTTTGGTTGTACCAACCGCTCTCATTCCTCGCTACCCTCGGTTATTCTCTAGTAAATTCTGATTGAGAATATTCATATGTATTCTAAATCTTGCAATAGAAGAAATATAATAAACGATCTTACTAAAAGAGGGAATGACGCAACCCAACTTTTGTTACAGGATTCCTGTTCTGCGCGCCAACTCTACTCCTCACGCTCCAGCTTAGGCAACTTTCAATGTCAATGCATCCACTTCGGAGGTTATAACTCAAAGCTCCCCCTAATTAATATTGTGCTTGTTATGATTGATTTTACACTAAAAAAGACAGCAATTCCCTGCAGTCGTTGAAGTTGGTTGAAAAAGGCATTTGCTAAGAGACCGCGGTCCAGTATGACGTGACTGATGTCTCGTGACCTGTGCCAACAATATCTCTGTGAAATAACATATTATGATATGAGTAGGGATTTAGGTCACTAGATCCCACTTTATGCCATTCTATATTCTAATTGAAAGGCCCTCGAATTCCCCTCGAAGTAGTCATAATCCTTAAGGAGAGGGGCCACAATTGTGTCAAACACCGACTCATCAAAGTAAGGATCCTCAAAGCCATCACCTTTACTTCGAGACCAATACAAACACTCTTTGACAACGTCTCCATAATTTGACCCACTTTCCCAGTATACCGTTCGCAGCAATCTCGTTACCGTGTTGAGCATAGACGTGTCCTCCGAGGACTCTCCATCCTCAGGCCGACGCAGTGTTGATATCGCCTTTCCCAGGGACAACTCTATCAAGGCTAATGCTAGGGGAAACAACGTTTTATTCGAGTGTCCATTGGAGTCTTGACCATTGTGCACTCGGTGAGGAAACCTATTTGTGTCTGTTTCGGGTACATCCAGACCTGTGCGCAGAAGGTATGGACGTTCGTAGTGTAAGTTTTGAGATTCCTTGCCACAGAGGAAAAAAATATCTTTTGTTCCCCAGTGCTGCTGAAGCCAGGTTCCATGTAGCTCGAGAAGGCTGCACGCGAGTTGTGTTGCAAGGTAGAGTCTGTCTCGGCGGCTCAACTCCCCTGGGCTTTGGATTGAGGAATCGGGGGTGGATGGAGAGCCAATAAGGGTTTCTTGTAAAGAACGGAGATTCGTTTCATCTTGAATAGTCCGAACTAGGCTCATGTAGTAGCCAGCCTCTGTGGCCTTATTTCCGAAGATGTAATCAATGGATTTGGAACTAGAATTCGGCGGTGTTATGTTAACCTGATCAAATGCACAGCATAGAGCGGCGCTGGCGCTGGGTGCACCCAGAGCTGTTGGTATTGACTGGACACTTTCCAGAAATTTTGTTTTTGGTAGTTCAAAATTTACTTTGGATTCCCGTCCTGGGGTGCAGTCTTGTGAATTGCAGGGCAATTGGGCACTTTGATCAGTTTGCACTCTAACTTCGTGCCAACGCCTTCGGTCACTCGTGGATGAGCAGTTCTCCGGAGGGGATGTAATCATATAAAAGCTGGTGGCTTGGGGTGCAAGGTGGATGTCATCTGTGCTGTCCATGTAATGTGCGTTGAGCTGAAGAGCAACGAAGTGTGCATTCTGACATGAACATTTCCAGCCTTTCTGGCCATTTCCAAGGATACTATAGAGAGCCTTTGCATGCGCCCTCTTTTCGCGGCATCGTTTGAGGTTTCTTCTGCGCCGCGCTGGTTTCTTGAGAGATGATTCCCGATGTTGGGATTGCTCGCTTATAATTTTCAAGATCTGATTTGTCTTGTCTATCTTTTCCAATAGATCTTCGTATATCGCCGTGTTGAAGATTTTCCGAAACTTTAGCGCGTTCAGAGGATTTATTGATATTGCCTGGAGGTAGAGAAGACTCGGTTTTAGTGACCTTATCGCTTTAAGGGTATTTCCACGCGCGACTCACGCTGCGGTAATCTCCTGTCTCCAACCCGAGCTTTTTGGAAAGATCTTCCAGTAAACGACATAGTGCTCGCACTGTACCAGTAAATGGGACATAGTCCCGGTTGAGCTTTTGTGTCAGTCGGCTTTGGAATGTTGGGTCTTTCCACCCGGGGCCTCTGGGGTTCTTGATCAAGTCAGACTTTTGATCATGATCGTCGACCACACCATCCAAACAAAGCTCCAAAGTGTTAACCATCATGGAATACTGGGCACTCAATCCGCTCGAAAAGTCTTCGAGCTGCCATTTGTAGCGTCGGACGGCCTTGATCTTTTCGATTCCCCGTGCATAATTATCTAACTGGTTCACAAGCAAAGGTAGGATAGCCAGAGCCACACCTGTTGCCTCTATTCCTGTGACCATGACTGAGTGACAATACCAAAAGAAGCCAGATAGAGGGGGAAACACAAAATCCAGAGGGGTGAGATTGTCCTTTGTGTCTTACCCCACCTTCAGCCTCACCTTTAGTCATTCTACCTGCTTCTCTACGCCTTTGGCTTATCTTCTTTTGTCTAGATTTCATCGCCATCACGCCATGGCCCCGAATATTGCAACTGTTCTCAATGACTGTCTGAAGGAGTTCACTGAATCCACCAACTCGGGCGCTCTTACGCGATACGAAAATGAAGTCTCCAAGCATCGCTGGCTAGATGAGCTGGGACGACTTCGGGTATGGGCAGGAAACATTGGGGCTCATCAGACCGGTCAATCGTCGCTGGATTATCGGCTTCGAGATGCTTCGCACCTGAAGGATGAAACAGTCAAACTTTTGCAGCGATTGCTAAGGCTACTTCGAGACCTGGCCGACGTCATAGAAGATGAAAACCAAGTTGAAGATGAAAACGATGCGATTTTCTTTGAGGATAGCGAGCTAGAGCTTGAGGACAATGATATGACAGACATCCAGATGCTTTTTCAAAGCTTGCGAAACACTATCAACCTCCTATTCCAGATGTCAATGGCCATTCGCCGACCCGCCGACCATGATCGTCTTCTCGGCGTGAAAATCAAAGATGAATCATATTTTGAATTATGGGCCCAGAAACACATTTCCCACAAATTTCCAAATGCCAAGAATTCTATAATTCCTCGCCTCAGCGCTGCCATGGCGAGGCAGAAGGCAGTTCTGAAATATTTTGCAAGACATCGAGCAAAGCTTGGTAAGGGTCTATCTAATGATGGGGATACAGGTACACAGCTATCAGAAACAGTGGCCACGGAGGTGGTATTAGCAGAAGACCACCTCCAGTTCCTTGAAACTAATTCCACCTCCGGCATTTCCGAAACTTCCTATGCCCCCAGCATATTCACGTCCAATGAATCTCTCTCCTTTCCGAATCCACCAAAGAAATCTGCCGATGAAAACCCATTCGAGTGTCCATATTGTTGTCTGGTTATCAAAATCAAGGGCAAGAAAGACTGGGCTCGTCACGTCTTTCGGGACTTAATGCCATATGTCTGCATATCGAGCGAGTGCAGTACACCATCGAAGCTATATGAAAGTCGTCGAAAGTGGTATGATCACATGTGTCAGTCGCACTCTCTTCTAGCCGATCTGCAGAGTGGTTCCAACTGTCCTCTGTGCCAAGTGCCACTTCATCCGCCAATGACTTTTGATCGACATGTTGGACATCATATGGAACAACTTGCGTTGTTTGTCCTCCCACGCACAACTTCAAGCGAAGAAGCTTCTTCCGGAACAGCATCCAATGCTACATTTTTGGCAGCGTTCGGAGATGAAAGCACACCTAGTACTGCTTTAGCCAAGGGGCTTTCTCAAATAGTAGATGAGACCAATCTTCATGATGAATCTTCTTACCTAGAAGGTTGGCCATCGGATATAGACTATGTACCACCTGGTGCTATGGCACCAAAGCTTCCACCCTCGTCCTTCAGTCAAATTAAGGGGACACCTGATAGCTTCTCTGTTTTTTCTTGGGCAAAATCCTGGGAGAAAAATTTTGGTACTTGTCAACACTTTCCTCAGCGCGCAGTCGGGAATGCTAACCCAGAAGGTTTAGGTCATAGTCCTAATTCCAAAAGCCAGGCACACGAAAACTTTCCTTGGGAGAGCGGGGAAAAGGCCAATGAATATAGCAGCCACTCATTTGGCATTGATGGTGATACGAGGGACCAAGAAAGCACTATTCTGGGAGCTTCCAATACTTGGACGACCCATGCAGAACACTTAAATGTGACATCTAATGAAGATCCGCATGATGGAATGCTAGTCAATTTACTATCACTCAATGCCTTCGATGGCCGGCAGGTTAAGCTTCCTGGGACTACATCCCATGGGAACGATCAAACCGACGACCTAGAAGGCGGATCGTCATCCCTTGATGGAAAGAAGAAAGCCTGGTAAGTTTTCCAACAATAAAAAATAAATGCTTGGATAAATCGCGCCGATTTGAGAAGACTTTTCTAAAGACAGTCTCATGAGGTAGTGACAATTCTGAGTCTCATCGAGACACTTTTATCGGTCACCTTCAGGGGGTGCATGATGTGCCACGTCCATTCCTGTGTCCCGTTCAAGAATGCGGTAAAGCTCACGACCGCATGGCCAATATGACAGAACATCTCTTCCGGGTACATAACATAAAGAAAAAAAATGGAACTTCCGGACAATTGGAAAGTCATAAGGCCGGCTCCTGATATGTCAGAAAATGAAAGGGGCCATGTGACCATCGAGCAAACGCCTTCTCATCGGATTTTTGACGGTCTTTGGACAGTCCCTCAAACGTGGATACTTTTGGCAATAACTCCGCCGAATTTGATACACCATTTACCCAACGAGATGAGGAGGAGTTCAAATATGTAAGATGGCCAACTACGCCATAACTGGTTTTCCCATAATAAAAGTTGACCCGATACCTCACCGCCGGTTTTTTCTTATCTGCTAATTACCAACTCGGTATAACACCTTTCAATCTGCTCTCCGCTTGTACAAGAATAGCCGGCCGCAGTTGCGGCCTTGTGATGTCTTTTTAGTTGGTATTTTAGATGGTATCTTTTCGATGTCTTTTCAGGTCTATGTGAAGGTGGCAAAAGAAAGCATACTTTGTGGAACGAAGTTTTCTATGTATAACCTGTGATTCAAGTAGTATGGATAAGGATTTATGGGCATAAATTATAAGCACAACATTGCGACTATTTATGCATAAAATGTAACCCCAGAATGTAAATATATCAAAGTGAAGTATGAATTATACTAAGGATCTAGAGTAGTTAGTCAACCATACTTGGAACATTAAAAAGTTGCTAAAACTCTTTTTCCTCTCTTTCCCCCAGCTAGTGGCTGTAACACCTTAAAAGCGGGAAAGCAGGATTGCCAGCACTACATCCTCTTTGGTGATTGGTTTCAGAGAAGAATTTTGTAATTACGCCGTCAAAACACAATAGATTTGAGGTGAAATCTAGCTGTTGGCGTATCTATGAAGTACCTCATATCTTTCCACGCTCCAGGAAGCCGACCGGAATATCAATAAACTTGGATCTCAAATACTCACCAACATTCTTTCCAAGGAAGTCGAGCGTTTTAGTACAGCTAACTCCACGGTCAAGATGATCGTAAAGCAAGAAGTGCACAGCTCCAATATTAGGCAATTCAAATCGCTCCTGAAATGAAAGTTAGCCATAGGACACAAAGCTTTCTGAAAGAAATTGTCACTCACGATCCTTCCACCTTTATATTCCTTTGCCAGGAGTTGCTGGATCTTTTTGACCGTCAGAAGCGAACGAAGCCACTCGTATTCGTCATCATGGCGAATGTAGAACCCGACGTTTGCATTGGAGCCTTTGTCTCCGGAGCGAGCATGGACTATCCAGCCCAAGGGTCCTCGTGTCGTCGGACCAAAGCTGTCGACATCGACATGAGGGGATGGCTGTGTAGGGACTGCAGTTTTGCTCTCAACATTTGATGGCGGTGCAATCTCAATTGTTCGTCCATCATGGAGATGGATACGGTGATTGATAAGTGATTGAGGGAATTTTGTCACAAAATACTCATGAATTTCCCTAGGGAGTGCAGTCCGCACATCCATATGGAACGTTCCACCAGGGTACAGCTCCATGGTAGTCTCCAGAATAGGCTCCAAGAAATTGGCAGGCGAGAGATATTCCTTTTCGAGCGCCTGAGCAACGACGCGGAAGCCCACTGTGGCCGATGGTTGATCTTGGGCGTCTTCCGCTGCCACTCCGTTTAAAGTGAATTCAAGCAGGCTGAGATTATTCACGCCCTGACCTAATTCCTCCCGAATCTGTTCCTCAAGCATCCTCGCTTTAGCGTCGATATCGAGCCCAACCAACCAGAATACCAACTCGGCGTGATACGCTTCCTTGGCTGTGATCCCGACTTTCGTAGTGGCAGGGGGTGGGCCACCGTGGATTCCAGAGAGAAGTACACGGTCGGGCTCAAGTTCTTCAAACTTGACCTCCTCTAGATACGCTGTGACATCGGAGTTATAGTAGCGCGGTCCTTGAATCTCATACAATAGTTGCGACTTGCAGGTATTGACCGAGACCAATCCGTTGCTTCCACGGGTTTTGGTGACAATTACCTGGCCAGAATAATTAATTTCAGCAATGGGCAGGCCGAGGTTATGCCATCCATGATGCTCCAGGTCCTTAAATCCGGTAAAATTACCACCAGTCACATAGGAGGAACATTCAATCAGGTGTCCAGCGACGAGGGAGTTGGCAAGCTGGTCATAGTCCTCCCGGTCCCAGTTGTGCCACCACACCGCCGATCCAATTACAGGAGATGCATCAGATACTCGACCGCAAACAACAATATTGGCTCCTTGCTTGAAAGCCTCGGCGATTCCAAGTCCGCCCAAATAAGCCTGGGCGGAGATTGCTTCATGTTTCCATTCACTCAAGCGTTGGTTTGTGCAGAGATGGCGGAAATCAAAGGTCTTTCCCGCTTCTGCTTCTAGTACAGCGGGTAAAACTTGATCGCCTTCGACCCAGGCAATACTCAGAGGTAGATTCTTCTCCTTCACAAGGGCAAGCAGAGCGTCGTAAAGCCCCTTAGTATCCGACGACCCGGCGTTCGCGGCAATCTTGATACCATACTCAGCAATCTCGGGGAGTACATCTTCGAGGGCAGAAATGAAGGTTTTCTCGTAGGCGATTCCTTGTCCTGCTTCAATTGGTTAAAGGTAAATCCACAGACACCGGTCTAGATATGCCAAATAACCAAGATACCTTTTTTATGCTTAGTGGCATTGAAGGTCATGTTGGCTTCAGACATCCAGTCTCCAACAAGAACATCGAATGGCTCATTCTTATGATTTCGTACCGCGGCAGCAAGGAGTCTTCTGCGGTCCTGGGCGGATCCAGACGATCCTGCGAGGTAGAATATCAGCTTCCATTCCGATAGTCTTACCGCGCAAGCACTGACCTAGGATGCGAAGCGGCCGTTTGGTCTGCTGAGATGGCATATCGTAGCTTGTAATTTTTCAATTGTCAGGCGATACAATGAAACACGGGGTTATAAAACAGAATTCGTTAGGAACGCCATCCTGTTCGTTGTTTTATATAGTATATCCCGGTCAACCGGATGCTAATTTCCAAAGTCCACCCCGGGTATTGAGATCATTACGAGTCAGCTTCAATTTCACAGCATACCCCTAGCATTGACTCGCATAAAGTCGAGTCAGAGTGGGGCTTATATTCTCCACTAAGCAAGGTTCGACGGATTTCATTGGTCGGATGTGTGCATAATACTCGATGCCGAGATCCGGTTCTCGTTTTAAGGTTCATATGGGGTCAAGTGTCAAGTCAGAGTTCAGATACAAGATCAGTGACATGCGAGGACCTCTACCAATGACTCAAGCCCCAAATATGCTATTAAAGGGACCAAGTCTCCATGGTGGGAGCATCAAATTCGAAGCTTTAGCTCAAAACTTCAACTCGGCCTCAACAATCGCCCGTCATGACCACTATTCGTGATTCTCATGGTGATGAAAGGTACTCTGTGCCAGCAGAGGCCCAAAGGGTTTTTCTAGCCGAAATTCTTCAAAATCCGCTGATGAAAGACCTGCCTGCTGAAATTCACGATGCCGCAGCTTCCATCAAATTTGTTGGGTCGGATGATCCTAGCATTGCGATCAACTGGAGGTTTGCAGAGAGTATCGCCAGTTTGAAAGCATTTGAGGGGGCAATGCTGAGTGTTCTCTTGCAACGCAAATATGGGGTCAAGGCACCGGAGATTGTTATTGACACGTACGTTGCCAGAAACAATTCACCTCCCTACCACCCTCTTCCTTTCCCTTCGCATATTCCCATGCTCTGTGTTTCCAAACCCGAGAGGACCCAGCTGATTACGTACGCAGTGATCACAGTCAGCTCTTTGTTATGTCCGCGATGATCTGGACGATTGATCCTGAGGGTGAACCTATCGAGTGTTCCTTCACGCTCGCCCGCGACGGCGGACCTTTCTTGAATTACTTCCCTAATTGGGACAGCAATAAGGCACAGGCCAACCTCTACCGATCCCTCTGCACTAATGTGTATAAGACGAAGGATGAACGCTACTTTCACTTGCATGGTATCATACATCTCTATCCCCCGGCGTTTATGAACTCAAGCTAATCGAAACTTCATTACAGGAAGTATGAACCCAGAGCCAACCCTCGCAAGCGTGGGTCTTCCACCCTGGATGCCAGAGCTTGACAATAGTCCTCGTGAGGATGTTGTGAAATTCTATCAGAATCGGGTGAAAGAATTCGATTCCACCGATCTCGAGCATCTCGCCTCAGAAGTTCATCGCCAAGCTGGAACCATCTGCTGGACACCCGAGGAGTACTTTGCCAGCGAACATGGACAAGCAAATGGGAAAGTCGGACTGTACGAGATTCACCAACACGCAAATCCGAAGCAAGAACCTTGCTGGTGGCCATCATCCCCAGAAACAAGTGCTACCAGACCATTGGCGGGACTCAAAGTCGTCGACTTAACTCGGGTCATCGCCGGCCCGGCCATAAGTCGTGGTCTCGCAGAGATGGGTGCAAGCGTTATGAGAGTTGCTGCTCCCCACTTATGCGACTTTTCCTTCGTGCACTGCGATCTGAATTGGGGGAAGTGGAACACTTTACTGGACCTGCGATTGACACGGGACCAAGACAGTCTAAGAGCTTTGATCGAGGATGCCGATGTTGTGGTAACAGGCTATCGCCCGGGCGTACTCGATAAGTATGGATTTTCGGAAAAGGACATCCTGAAGATCGCTAGCGACCGCGGCCGTGGCATCATCTATGCTCGCGAGAACAGCTATGGCTGGTATGGCCCATGGGCAAAACGCAGTGGCTGGCAGCAGATCAGTGATGCGAATTGTGGTGTCGCGATGGAGTACGGTCGCGGAATGGGTCTTGATGAGCCCGTCATACCGGTTTTCCCCAACTCGGATTACTGCACAGGCGTCTGTGGCACTGCGGGTGTCCTGGATGCTCTTATGCGACGCGCCACTGACGGCGGGTCTTATACCGTTGATACCGCCCTCAATTATTACTCTCAATGGCTAGTCCGTTCTGTCGGGACCTATTCTGAGAATGTCTGGCAAAAGCTTTGGTCGGATAATGGCCGCCCTGTTTTCCGTCACTATCACACTATGTTTGATACGATCCCGGTACACGTGAAATTGTTGAAGAAAAATAGCGGCGACCGTGTCTTTCACCCACGTAACTTCCAGGACCTCTATAGTCCTCAATTGGGCGTTCCAGTCAGGGTTCCCAAACCTGTGCTCCAATTCCCTGATGGCCCGGTTCAGCTCAAATACAATGTGGGGACCCGGACTAATGGCGTTGATCAACCCAAGTGGCCAGTGGATCTCACGGTGGAGGTCGTGGTCTAAGTTTATGATATATGGCCGCCGCCCTAGTGATTGTGTTAGCAGTACGAAACACTCGGTTCACATGGATATCGCCCATTGATACACAACTATGTATGTCATACACTCTTAGTGGATGCATCACTTGAATAACATATTTCTATTCGGTACATAATTCTAGACGTAGTTCTCTAGTAAAATTATTCCAAGACATGAAACGAAAATGTTGACATTGGACAACGGAGGCGGCTAACCTATCATATATATCGCTATCATCTACAGGGAATCATGGTGTTTCTGTTCCATGCTGCCCAAGTGATCATCTCGTCGCCGTAGAAAACACGGTATCCCCACCCTCAGTAGTGCCATGATCGCAAAATTAGTTGTTTGAGCCAAACGATCGGACTATTGCCGGTCAACGGAGTCCAACACAATACGATCAAGTTAAAGCAAGGGCGGGGCCAATCTGCCGTCCTTTCCGTGGCGGTATCAGGGGTCTTCCCGAGGCCCCTCGGCCTTGGCGGTTAATAACCACACAATACCCCAGTCTTCAATGTCCCAGGTTGCAGCTCATACTTCGGTCATACTTCGAATCGACCATTCACCAATGAGTAAAGTCAATGCAGCAGGTGTTGAAGTACGCAAAGAGAAGAAACGCGCGTGGGATCGAGCCGCCCAGCGCGCATGTCGACAAAAGACCAAGGCCCGGATAGTGCACCTCGAAGAAACAATCCAATCCCTACAAAATCAAACATCAGAAGCCACAATTTTCCGGTTACTAGAAAAAAATGAGGAACTTCAAGCGGAGATCATACGGTTGAAGAAAATTATCCAAAGTGCCTTTTCAGTCCTTTCGGAAGAGGCGGAGCACACTAAGATCCCGACGGCGGAACATGTCACCAACCCGAAGTTTCTTTCCCGGGCTCCATCTTTGGACGATTATGCGGCAGATACAATTGGACCCTTCTGTGAAAGACCTTATTCGATCGCAGAGTTTACAGAAACATCAAGTGTCCATGTAGCTTGTTCTCCTATGGAAAGTTGGCAAGGGGGACAAGATATTGCACATATTCAACATCCGTGTTTCCACCGTCAAGTCCAATTACGCAGTGCACTCTATCTCCTGCCAATGCCAGTCACCGCGTCACACAACCCAGACCCAAATGAAGACCCTCAGACGGCTTTATCGTACCAAAGCTCGTGTTCTGCTTGGTACACTGTGAATAAGCTACTCAGCCAAGCTTACCCTTGCCATACTTCCGAGCTATTTTCCAAGATTGATAACATTGGCCTCCTACTTAAGGCTATTGATAGAGGATGGGAGAGTTTATCTTCCGAAGAAAGAATAAACCCGGGTTTATGTATCCTCCAACGCATGGATGAGTACATTTGGTCACCAATGCCCAAAATATTCAGGGTTGCCATTGCATACAAAAGCTATCAGCTGATGCGATATATCTTTCATCCGGGCCCAGAGGGTTGAAAATACCGCCGTGGGAACTTCCAACGGAGAAACAATTAAAAGAACCACATGCATGTGCTATCGACTTTTTCCCTTGGCCAAATGTTCGCGATCGCCTGATTACCCATTATAGTGTATATTTGGAAACGTGCACATTCCTCTCGGCCGTACAGCAATATTTTCGCTTCCATTGGCCCCACTCTTTTGATGATGACTTCGGGTACACCCCGAGCGACCTCTTTGTTCAGCACGCTGCAGATTTATCGAATTGGAAGATGGGCCCTCAGTTCTTTCATCTGTACCCAGAGTTTATCGATATAGTGCCACAGGCCGATTTTTGATTGCAGAGACCGGCTGAATTGCCCTTCAATTCCTGGCTTGGGCAAATTTGTGTCGATTGCATTAGCGCCAGTATCTTGGACAATTCATTACCCAAAAATTTGCAATCACATCTATCATTCATTAGCTAAGGCTTAATTAAGATAATCCATTCTTCCTATCTGAGGGCTTGGATTGGTTATAATCACGTCGTGAATTATCACATGACCTGTCCGTTCGCTAGATTTTTTGCTTCTCAATGGTTTCTTCCTTCTTCTTCATATTTCCTGCGTTTTTCTAAAGCCCTCTCTTTCGACTATCTGCACACCCCTTAATTTTTTCGTTCTGATTTTGATTTACTTTCCCTATTATCCCTTGCAAAAAGCATACGTGGGAAACCATGCTTTTGCGATCAATCTCCAAAAACTGGCAGTTTGAACTAGGTCATCTCTATATATTATGAAGATGGGATTGAGTGGGTATACCGTTCTCCTCGCAGAGACTATTTTGTGCTTCAAGAGTACCTCGGCTGCTCTTGTTATTTTGGAATTTGTTTCCTTGCTAACCAAAAGAGACAATTAAATCATCAGCTCTAGCTTCCAATTGTTTCACCCTGACCTGAGTACCAACAGATTGTTCCTGGATGACGATCTGAATGTAACCTGTATGATTGATTGGGCTTGTACCTCATGTGTACCAAAGTCAATTTTAATCGTCTGTCCCGGACTACCCCATTCTCGGAATCCACCGAGTCTTGGTTGCATAGCCTTATTTACAGAAGGCTTTTTTGGAAGGGAAAGGGTTTGATACCCAGTCAGCTCTTCCTTCCTTTCAAGAACGCTGCTAATTTCTGGAAATTTGCTCGCTTGATTAATCTGGATTCTATCAAGCTGAATGACTTAAACAAACGGGAGGAGTTTATCAACTCGTTGAAGATCGTATCCCAATACACCGCCACATCTGAAGAGACACGAAATGAGAAACAGTACTTTGAATGTAACGGGCCTGAGAGATTGGTCCTAGCATGCCGTATTTCAACAATGGAAAGTCTCAATCATAAGTTTGTGGCGGATCAGCGCCTATGGAAGTGGATTGCGATATACCTGAAGCAGCGTGACACTTACATGTTCCCCACCCTTGAGGGGGTATTTAAGTGAGAGAAGTGGAACTGGTCTCAAACATGAATGAAAGTAACACAAATATCGTTAAGGACGATGAGCTAGCCTCGGCCACTTTGGATAATATGGCTCGCCCTTGTGCTTTTGCCATCAAAGCCCGAGAAAAGCTCCTGGCTCATTAGAATAATCGGAATATGGTAACGTTGACTTGCATTCCTCCTGCCGTTGTGGTAACAGGGCTAGGACAAGATCCCTGCTTCCGTAGGGCTCTTGAGTGAGCTTCAACCTAGAGTTAAAAAGGAGACAAACGCTTTACAGATGTTTTAATTCTATCTCCGGCCCAGAGAGACCGTAGAATATGACATGGGGCCCTACTACGAACGGCTTTAATGTGGAAGATAATAGCTAGTCCATATAAAGTGGCTACCGTTCGTACCAATGTAGGTAATCATAATTTGCCCAGCTATTTAACGGAGATTATTTTATCACAGGACAAAATTTGTTCCCTATTACCCAAATAAGATTCATCCCAAATCTCGCCTGAGGTCCTGCCTGAGAGTTTCGTATGGAGTAAAACTAATAGAAAGGACAATGATGATGAACCTACACTCAGGATAACACTAATAAAAATGACAGCGAAGACGATAAGGAAAATTCTAATGAATACGGTGATAAGAACAATATTGTAAAGAATGAATGAGAATGCTATTAACGAGAATTATACTGAGGGAAACAAACCTTGGAACGATGACAAAAGTAATGCTGGTGGAGATAACAAAGATAATGATGAAGATGATAACAAAATTACGAGGCTTATATAGGGTCTAAATCGTGATAACTCGTATTCAACTGAACGGGGTTTGTCGGGATTTGACTCTCGGCTTGTCTGCACGGCAACTTTATATGGAACCATAAAATTGCATCATCGGGTTATCTTCGGGATATCCATGAATTTTCTCGGGTTCGGCTTCATGAATATTATCTATAAAAGTGGCCCGGTATAAGCAACCGAAGCGAAGTAACCGCTAGCAATTTCGCAATTTATCACGATGCGTCTGACTCTGGTCTCAATACTTTTCGGAACTGCCCTTGGCCTCCATCATGGCCAGCCAGCGGCAACCAGCTCGACAAATTACAACAACTTGACTGTCGCTATAGTGCGCGCACCACCGGCAAATTGGCCCCTTCCTGTGATGAACAAAAACTGGACCGACGTGAAGTTTGATCTCAATCAGACGGTAGTCAAAGCCACGCACCTTATCAAAGATGCTGCCGATGCTGGAGCCAATCTGGTTGTCTTCCCTGAGCTATGGTTTCCCGGGTATGTTCTCTAAACTTCAGAAATACCCAGCAGTATGAGATATTAATGTCGGCTCTCTATTTTCCAGATATCCCAAAGGCATAGCGGACAGCATATCCATGAAAGACCATATCAAGAACTATTTCGAAAATTCTCTGGTCATCGACAGCCCTCAATGGAAGACCCTCATTGCTGCTGCCAAACATAACCAGGTTTACGTTGTTCCGGCATTCTCGCATCGCGAAGGTGACTTGATCTACATGGCGCAAGCACTCATCTCGCCGGAGGGAAAGGTCCTTCTGCTTCGCCACAAGCTGCGACCATCGGGAGGCGAACGTGAGATCTGGTCCGACGGAACCATTGAGGATCTCAAAGTGATCGCGACTCCATACGGTCGCTGGGGTCTGTTGGAATGCTGGGAACACTTCCACCCCGCTATGACCTTCAATATCCAGTCCCAGAAGGAGACACTACACATCGCGTCCTGGCCATGTAAGCTGAATATGGAATATTTTTATCCCAATTGTGTGGCTCAAAGCTAATTTTTCTTTGCAGTCACTCCTGATGAAGGTGCCTCCAACGCATTGCCCTTTGAAACTGCTGAGGTAAATGTGGCCGCTGGTCGGACCTACGCCGTCAATACGGGCGCGCCGCTTGTTTTTGCTAGTGTCGGAAACGTGCGCTTCATCGATAGCAGTGGCCTTGATATCAAGGTCGTGAATGCATCTGTCTCCTTTGAGGATGTCCCGTTGGTGTACACATCCTTCAACACAACGGGACTTGCAGAGACAGCGCCGTATGATGCCGACGCAGAGCAATCCTGGGGAATTCTGGGACAGATCAACGCGGGATTCCCATCGTACATTCCAAACGTTCTAGGCAAACTAGTTCCGCATAAGAATGTGTCTATCTCAGGTCTCCTTGCCCTTCTTGGTTGAGACGGCATTTCCTCTTATTGTTCAAAGTATCGCCTTTTTTCAAATGGAAGTGAGGGGGCTCTTGTTGGGGTATTTAGCTGCCTAGGTATCTAATGCTTCTCTTCCCAAATTCTTCGGGGCTTGCTTCAGTTCGAGACAGATTTTTTCTGTCTTCTATAGTGATTTGTCGGATATATCCTCTCCTATGGGCTTCGCCATTGATGATTTATTGCATATATGATATTCTCTTCCAATTTAAGATAATCCCAAAGTATGCCACTTGCCACTAAGCTTTTCCAATGCAATGTCCGTGGTATATCATCCCGCGCAAAAAGCTGTGGGAGCAGTTGTATGATCTCGGCATTGAGATAGGTTACGATAAGATTGTTTTGAACCCGCGGGCCACCCGCTACATGGTCAACTTTATGCACCAAACAGGTCTCCTGCAGCAATTTTGATACGTTGAAATCGAGAACGTCGACGAGAAACCGACAAGCCTTGCGGCAATGGATTTAGGGGTGGAAGAGGATGGGTATTAGCTAATGACGAGAACGAAGCTGTGGAGCGAGAAACTCAGCTAGGGATAACAATCATGCCGGTGAACTGGCCACGAACAACATCACTACCAATTGAGACTGAGGCAGTGGAGGAAGCAGATGTTGGAAGAAGAGAGAGAGCGCAAGAATGGGAAGTGGGAGTTGGAATGTGGAAGGGATACTCCACCGCAAAAGTTTATTAATCTCTTATGTATGGGTTTGTATTTATGGGTTTTGAGGGTTACAGGAATGAGCTGATTCCACACTCTTTACGGTCAGCATCTGTATACTCTCTAGGACTCGGCGTTTGGCTTCGAGTTCTTACTTCGGTTGGAAGAAGCGCCTGCATAGTCATACGCAACTAGTTAGACTGCAACAGGTTAATTGAACATTGATTGATTGATTGCCACTAAGCTAGGAATGATGAAAACTATAGTTATAAAGTGCAGCAGCAGTTATATTAGAGTCTTTATGGCAATGCGGGTTCTAGTTACCTTGGTTCCGTTGATAGAAAATGTGTGTATGAATTTTAGTCTTGTTTTGTGTATGTTCTTTGGCTAGGAGGTAAAAAGCATACCTATGGAGACACTTAGAAAGACACGGCGAACTCATGGCGAGAACACCGCGAGAATATTACCTTAATACCACAAAAGACACCATAAGGAGACTACCATAATACTGCTGGAATACTAAGACACCGACAAAGGCAAAGTAGAACAATAACAGAACACCACGAGGAAGAGCTTACGGGACATAAATAGACAGTGTTTCTAAATTCTAATCATATTTTGAGAATTCGAAATGAAATCCTATGTCCTAACACTAGGCAAGGAAAGCGACCACATAAAATTGTTTTGCAAAAAAGGTATCATGGCTGATGCAACCTTTCGTTTGGGAATATCCCCATTTCTTTCTCTGAATTTCAACTTCAGGAATATGATATATAATCTAAAACCGAGTCGCCAAGCCCTATAGTACCAAAACACCCACAAGCACGCCCAAAAGAATAGTTGGAACCAGAAAAGAGCAGCAGAGGCCGAAGAAAGACTTCTCGGAGCCAAGTTCCCCTTCAACCTCCGCTCGCGGGTACGATATTCCCATATCTGTGGTGACCAATCTAGATTCTCTGGAGTGATAGGTCGGAGGATTGAACAGGTGGGCAATGGGTACCCAGTTGTTGACAATCGCCAAAAGACACAAATGCAGTAACGGCGGCCAAGCAATTGTAGTGAGAAGTTTGGGAATTGCCAATCCATCTTCAGGGATAGCGACCCAGACTGCAAAAAGCATAGCTCCAACAGTAGAAATAAAAAGATAAATGTTCAACAAAGCACCACTTTGAAGAGTATCTCTGTATGCCTTTTGAAACGAAGAAATGGATGGGGCATTTTCACTCGAATTTGCGGTGCTTCCGGTAACAAAAGATCCCTTAGGCTTGCTCCCGAGTAGATGGAATCGTACAATGGCGTACAAATGGGCTGTTAACACAACACGTTAGAATCAAGTTTCAGGGCTCCATCCGACATGTGACAATTTCAAATCAAACTTACCACCAGAAAGCCAACTATTCTCCGCATGTGCAAAAGGTGCAAATGGAACACCGGCATGTGCACTCCGAGCCCAGTCATATGCCCACATGGATGCAACATGAGCGATGGCCAGAACAAGCTGGATCTTGACCTCCAACGCCGATCCAGCAGGAATAAACCCACCATCAGAGACAACAAGGAAGGGCAGAGCAACAAAGCCAATCGAGTATGCCACAAGACCTGCCATGATAGACAGTCCTCCAAGAGCAATGTCCCAACGCAGATGCTGAGGTATCGCCTTATTGATTGAAGGGAACAACACAGAAATTTGCTGAGAGTGTCCAATATGCCACCGATTCCGCTGTTTGAGATGTCCCGCGAGAGAAGTAGGAACGAGGCCGAATTGTAAAACCTCTTGTACCTGCATCGTGCGTTTACCAAGCCCTCGTAAAATCAACGACAGCTGCCAATCTTCCGAGAAAGAATAAGTCGGATATCCACCAGCGTCGAGAATCGCCTCGCGACGGAAAACTGCACCTGATCCTGCGTCCAGTGCATGACCGAGAAGATCGAGTTCTGTATTCTCACACGTGTAGAAGTAAGCGCGCGACTGGGAGAGGGGATCACTGCGAGGGAGATTGTAGAAATACTGTCGCGTAGTCAATAATGCTGCCTCCGGATCAGCAAGTAGATGGGGCAGGGTTGCGCGTAGAAACTCCGGCATCAAGATGGAGTCTGCGTCGACAACTGTGCAGAACTCGGGTGGGTCTTCGGTCTGCAGGGAGAACAGTGCATAGTTGAGATTCCCTGCTTTGGCAAATGATTTCCCGGATTGCTTGCCCCGGGTGTGATAAGACAGGTGGGTCCATTTCGTGGTGAGCTTTGCAATCTCGTCGCGCAGGTCAATTGACCCCCCGTCGTCCAGAAGCCGGACTCGAAACCGGGAAGCCGGGTAGTCTAAGCCGCATGCTGCTCGCACTGTATCCAGGATAATTTCGACTGGCTCCCCGCAACATGTTACTAGCACGTCGACTCTGGGTAGATTTTCGTTGTTACGTAATCTCTTGCGGAGTGTCTGGCGCAGTGGTTTTGTTGTTGCGGCTAACGACAAGTGTTGGTGGTTCAGGGATATTTCTAACTGGATCAGTGACTGTTCAATGTTATTTATTGGAGGACAACTTACGAGCAAATAAACCCTCAATGCCAAGCATTGCCCACATCTTCCATGTTCGGTCCGGGGTTATCAAGGTAAAAAACAACCGCACTGCAAAGTAGATGTAGGTAGTCCATATTGCTGTTTGCGCTATATGGCGCAGATATTTCCGGTACTTCTGCGCAAACAGAGCGCGATCATCAGGGGAAAGCTCTTCAATGTCATAGAAATTTTCAGGAAACATTGAAGCGAACTTGATGCCGTTGAGTTGTGTGGTTGTGATTATGTTGCATATTCCAAGGTTATATAGATGATTGTCTTTGTGTCCTTCGACTGAGAATACCACGAAACAAGTTCTCCTCGAATTTTAACGGATTTTCCCTAGGCTATTAAAGAAAAGCATTTCCTCCCTAAATTCAGGGGCATGAATGCATTCAGGCTACCTACAAGCCCCGTTTGCTTCTAGAACTTACTATGTCTATTTATACTATCTACCTCAGGACTATTGCTGCCGAGAACCAATCAATGCGCGCCGTGGGTTGAAGTTTAATAGCGCTAACCTTAATTGGCCGTTTATTGTAAGTGGGTCCATGTCCTCGGCATCCGATTGGATTCCTATTCTATTAAATCTGAGATCGTATCCGGTGACTTTCGACAAGTTGACGCTATGGATGCGCTTGTTTGTCAGCGGCATCGGTGATTTAAGTGATGGCATCTGCCGTGTTCTCTAAGAGAAACAGACTCATTTTAGTGTTGATCATGTGAAAGAGAACTTGATTGGCAACTTGAGATATGTGATATGCATATATATCTCCTTGGCATTCAATTATGTTTGGTGTGATGATTGCCAGCTCCTTGGTATGTGGTTATCCCAGCTAACCTTTCTTATATAATATTATCTTTCCTATGCCATGTAGCTTGCGGCCTATATTATAAGACATAAATTTCATGTGCACTTCAGAAACCATCAGAGTTAAGCGAATGAAGAACAGTAGACAAGTTTAGTCTCAGGAATATCACGCTCATCTTGATTCGTTATTTTTATAACACATAATCGTATAATCTTATTAGAATTACATTCTTTATAGGGAGCTCATTTATCTGCATCGATCTCTACGCCCTGAAGGCATCTGTTTCACTGTCCCTTCTCATCCTTTCTTGTGTATGGTCTTTGAGGTCTTCGATTCTTATGTCTACAACATAATTGCGTCATAATTAGATACTGTACCCACATTCAAACGTCCACTAATCTATTTTAGGCAGCAGCCTAGTGACAAAGCCACGGGACCCCGGGAAGTCCTTTTCTATATCTCATCTCACATTCCTTCTGCTGGTATATCTACCTATTCTATTGATATCATATATCCAGTCTTTCATATCACAGAGGTACGTCCCAGTGAATGTTTCTTACCTTATATTCATACTAAACTTGCAGGCTTTCCACACATACACGATAGGATCATGGGGTTCTTCGATAGGCCTACGCATACAACCTTTAACTTTGACAGTGATGATGAAGACTTTCTAAAATATGGGTCAGAATACGCCCTTCGGTTCACACTCATCGAGTTATTTCTTGCCGAGCACGCTCTACGTGAGCTAACGCAGCGTGAGGAATGGTTACACCACAAGGTTATAGCCTTGCAAAAGGCTATGGCTATCGCATCTAACGGGAAGTCTGATATAACCCAATTTGAAAACGCAAATAATAGTCTTAAAGAGATTCAAGCGCAATATCCAAAAAGGGAGTACACCCTTTACCTAGAAGAGTGCAGGTTCCACTTGGAGCTCAAAGACGCCTATGATAGCTTAAGGTATGATGCTAAATGGTTTATGCGCGAAGAAATGGTTCAGGATTGTTCAGATCGAGGTGGATGCTGTAGCCGAAAATGTGGATGCTGTGAACAGAGACATCTGTCTGAAAGGAAGAAAGGTAGAGGCCATTGCACTACAGAGTGCGAGTGTTGCATCATCTTTCGAGGTTTTGAGCTCCCAGAGAAACAAAAACAGGAGATGAGCAATGAGTTCGAAACTATGCTCAAAGAATTTAATTCGGCCCATGCTATACATTTGGCAAATTGCTTTTTTTGCCCATTGAAATTGAAGCCCCAGTTGTCCCGGTGGGAGCGAACTTTTAAAAAGGGTACCACTCATGGGAAAGATTGAAAATGGCCTGCTCTACTTTGCCCGATAATTATTTGCTGAATATTGGATTGCTTTCCTACCTAAGTACTAAAAATACAGAATCTGGTGTTTAAGCATCGAAGACTTTGATATATGTAGGTGTATCACCCTAGGATAGTCACATAGGGCATTTTCGGGGCTCCTCAACCACCGACCCGCTTCGTTTCTTAGGATATATAGAAAACCCGTATGTACGGCTTATGCGTTTTACAACCTTCATATGGTATACCTTACAAATCAAGGGGTGCACGGTATTTTTCTAGCTATCACTGTGAAGAAAAGGAATATTTAAAGAAATGATTTTCAAAACGAACTTCCAAAAACGAGAAAGAAATGTCTCAGTGCAGCTTCTGGACTTTGATATCAGGGAAAATCTCTCCTGGGAACTTGCCTGTGCAGTCTGCAGGTTTATCCTCTACAAAACTGCTCTCCATTTTGGTGAAAGGGAACTGGGGAGAAAGGCAGAAAGAGATGTCACCTACTTTGCATACAGTTTCATTAGGGGTCAAGAGTGAATTACTTCTTTATGTGGCTAGCTCTGCTCATAGAAAGTCTGGATACCCTTGATATTGAGATCAGGAGGCAAGCTTCCATCTATCAACAACTTTCTAAGGTTATGTGACAACTCTAAAAAAAAGGCCCATACAATCCTATCCAATTCGTCGGTAGGTGATTGGGGCAAAAGCCAAAAAACAACATGATCATTGCCAAATTATTTCCAAAGGACGATGGTGAAGATGATAATGATAATCTTGATCTCACTGGCTCTACATAGCTCGCTATGACATACGTGCTGATATACAGGGATAGCGTTCCAGAACCTACTCCTCGACGACAAATGGTAGTGCATCCCAGTATACAGTCAGCCTGTATACAAGACTCGATCCTCGAAGTCCTGTAACCTGAATTGTAAGCCCACAAACCGGCTGGCATAATGCAACCAATACAAAAGAAATTAAACGTAAAGAAATCCAATCCACCTGCACAATTTCGATGATCAATCCCCGCATTCCCCGCGGGTGCGGAGTGTCCCCTTCTTTTCTGTAATGCACCTTTCGCTCCTTCATCTCAGTTCTCACTTCTCTCTCCCATTCCACCTGTCTCCCCGAGGCACCAAGTCCCTGCACCACCAGGACCACCAGGACCGCCAAGTCTACATCATACCGGCAAGTCGTGAACGAACATGTTTGGATCCCGACGCCATTGCTTCTTCGTCGTCAGCATTGGCCGATCTCCATGTGCGTTGGTGTGAGGTGACCACGGCGGACCTGGGGCCAGACCACTCTGCTCTCATGCTTCTTGTTTCTCCAGCACTTGCAGTATTTTTGTTTGGTTTTGTTAGATCTTGACGATCATCATCCCCTGCCCTCTGCTCCCTCCCCATGGCTACCGAGTCCACTGACTGAATTTGTAAGAGATTTAGAAAGAAACACTGTTGTCTTTGATCCGTTAATCCCATTGGGCTGAAAGTAATCCGAATTTCAGTTTTTGAGGAGTGACGTCGTTCGTTTTTGTTTTTGTTTTTGTTTTTTTACAGGATGCTTTTGGCAGGAAGTCGCAATGTTCGAAGAGGAAGGAACTACCTGAAAAGTTAAATTCACTCCAAGGCGAACAGAAATGTTCTCTTTGATCTTTCATGCATTTTTCAGATCCAAGTAAATCAGATCTCACTGCTATGAAGATCAGGTTAAAATAAGGTCGATTGTTAAATAACAAGCCGTCAGCCATCGTAGAACGGCGGGGATCAATTCTGAAGATATTCTCATTTTGATTGGTCAGTATCTACAGCCTTGTCAATTCATCAAACTCATCCATGGTTCAATTGTTACAACTCAGCGGTATGATCAGAACAGCTTGTATTTACTCTCATTGATCTTTCATTCTATGAAAGGTTTTACTTCAATTACACCTGAAATTTATAAAATTGAATAACTTCTAGCTACGTATAGACTCAATACCTGCGAAAATCGAATACGGATCAAAGGATCTGTGGATTTGAAGTGGAAGTGAGATCAAACCTAGGCATACCCCGAGTCACTTTAAAGTTAAACGAAGTTACAGGTGTGATCTGACGTACCGGGTGTACTTGCCTCTGGTTATATAAGTAAAGAAACCCCCAGTAGAGTATACGCCTGTAAATCACACAATATCTCATACCCGTACCAAAATGGCTGGAATTTACCACCCCGTCTGCCCTGCGTATTGCAGGGATTCCAATGCCTGGAAAACACAACTTGTCGGCGGCAGCTGTGGGGTGCTTGCACTGGCTTTAGTTTTGGGGGCTGTGGTTTGGATTGTCAGGTATGTGTGTTGTGATTTGCTCTCTCCTGTTGTATCCATCATTCTAATAGACATATGCAAGGTTTCATGCCCGGCAAGCCCGGCTGAAGAACCCCCAGATGGTGATCAATGAGGAGTACCTCCAGCAGAAGGAGGAGGAGAGGAAGAGGGAGAAGAAGAGTCCGTGGTGGCAGTTCCGGGCGAAGAATGGTGAGTGGCTCGAGAAGCGCTCGTGAGGAGTTTTACTCATACTAATCAAGAGTGTCTCTCTAGCCAGTAATGATGCTGCCGCCCCTGACAGCGCCGAGGTCCAAAGCGCCGGCCCATCGGCCGATCCGGCAATTGTGGGGGCACGCCCACGTTCAAAGGCCAGACTCGAGTACTCAAGTGGCGCTCATGGCGCCATGCGGCCTCCACCTCCCCCACCCGCCCGACGTCGACCCTGACGTCCTGTCCACCATCAAGAGTGCCCTCAAGGGCAAGGGCAAGTCGTAAGAGGAGGAAAGAAAAGACCTGGTTATGTTGCTTTCATTCCAACCACCTACCCCGGAACCGGCCGGGATGGTGGATGCGCTCCTCGTTTTCCTCGCGTAGGCCGACCCCCCCTGCTGCTCAAACAGTACACTTGGATGTACTGTGGTTTGGTGTTTCTTTGGCCTTTGTTTGGATTGGTTTTGGTTGTTTCTTGTTGGTTTTCTTTTTTTTGGGGGGGTTTCTATATATATACCCATGCTCGCCTATCCCCGGGGCCTCGTTTGTTTGTGCTGGTTTGGTCTTTTTGCCTTTTCTCTTGGGTTTTGTTGTGAATCCGGCCCAGAGAGGCACGGCAGAAGTCTGTAGTTTTTACTTCTGAATCCATCCATCGTTACTATGATTCAATACTCAGTTCCATCTTGTACGGGGGTAGACCAGTTTTAGTCTAGTTTGTATTCTAGCTGAGGAACCGGTTTAAGTAATTACAAGAATAATCAGCTGCTTTCTCGGCCTTGTGATGTCTTTTTAGATGGTCTTTTGAGATGGTCTTTTGAGATAACATTCCAAGTGTATCTGAAGGTAGTAAAAAAAGCATCCTTTGTGCAAGCGGCAATTCTATGCATGACCTGTGACTTTTGTCAAGTGGTGACTGACGCAGGGAGGCATGCGGCAGGTGGCCTCCCAGACTTGTGTCATCTGCGTTCCCCGTTGTCCCGGTTTTCCTGGAGTACCAGGGGAGAAGACAGTCAGAGACATTATTCGAGCTCGGATGAAGAAGATGCTCGTGGAAAGCGATCCCATCCCATTTCAATTCACCAAATTCGAATCAATTACCCGCAGTTCAGGATCCCACATTCCACTCTCAAACGCCATCTTCAGTCGACCAACTCATCGACCGACGACGCCCACCAGCCGGCGAAGATTCCCTTGAGTGACCCCAGTTAGGCCAGTCAAACCCGACTGGGCTAATCCTGGATCATCTCACCTGGGTTCCCAACTTCCAGGAAACACAACCTCCCTACCCACTTCCAAGTGCCCATCCACACCAGATTGCCTCCAGTCTGACCTACTCACGCCTCGCCTTTTAGTAAAGCTCACGCAGCCCTTACCTCCCCCTTCGAACGAGTCCAAGTCGGGTTCCACTCCATAGCCTATGTTCTTTTCCACACCGTTGCATCTAGATTCTCACCACTCAAAGTCGGAGGTATCAACGGTGAATCATCTGGCCTCCGACCTAGACTCTCTATCGATCTCGTCGTCTCCCACGCTTCATCACCCTGTTGTTCAACCTCCGGTCGAGATGGGGGAACCAAGACCATTCTCCGATGAGCACGGGGAGAACGTCAGATAGGATGTTGAGCAACACAGATACATATGGAGGACAAACGGTAACCTCACGAATAAAGAACTAGCGGAGGCCTAGGTTATGACCCTGCTCTCCGGCTTACGGGAAGCCAAGAAAGCCAGTCTGTAAGCCCGGACCAGAACTGAACGACCGGCTAACAACTCAGGCTTGCCAAAACCCCTTCAACCCATTAACAAAGTCGGCGTTATTCAGGAGCTCACCCATCAAGCATGACTGTTTGCTGAAGGCGCGGACAGTCTGGACACATCACGCATAACCAACGTCCCGCTACCGGTCGAGGAACAAGATTGGATCCGGACATCAGATATGCAGAGGCGAGCTCAGCAGAAAGAACCGAGCAAAAGGGACCCTCCTCTGTCTGAGACTACCGGCAAACAGCGATCAGTGATTCTACCGCACCCTCAGAACACTCCTATGCATCAACTCGCCTCATAGAATCGATCGTAATAGACGGCCTCAGTCTAGATGAACCAGACCAAGCACGTGGCGAGTTAAGTGGATGTTAAGGACGATTGAATATCTCGGTGGAATGAGCATGGCTTGACATTTGAGGCAGACTCCACCCCCAGACCAGCATGGCAACATGGTTCACCTCCCAGAAAGTATCTCATCGGTGGACCCCGCAGACTCCACTAAACCTATGCTGGAGAGCCTTCAAATGGTGTGCGCTACAGGTGGGAAGGGGCCCCGTGAAGATGACAGTCAAGCCGAAGGTCCTCAAGCTGAATCGTCGAATTCTAAACTCAAGACGAAGGCGCAGTGAAGCTCTGCTCAGACCCTCCATCTCAGTAAAGGACCTGCTGAACTCTTCCCAACAGGTAGAGGAAGCCGTGAAAATTCCATCTCAAACCAGATCTAATCATGAACGTATAGTTGAACTGACGAGGAAACTTAACAGCGTGCCAAACTTTACTCTCTTTTGCTCCCCCCTATGGCTAAAGCAAAATCACCTTGTTATTTGCCTCCTTCTTTCTATTTCCACTTAGCTTTCCTTAACTACAGTCATGCTGATTGATTTATCGGTTATATTCCTTTCCGTTCAGAAGGCTTAGAAAACCAGCCTGTTATGGAATAAGCCTGGTTGTAGTAAGGATGATCCTATTGCTATGGAATTGTTACGTAGGATAACTACGCTGCTTAATAATACATTTATCATCCATCCTCCCAGGGCCCTCACAACTGCCCCCTTCGAAAGCGTGCTGCCGTCCTCGGTAGCATCGGAGGAGATAAAGAAAACGAGAATCTTGTGTGCCATATGCGCCTAGAAATCAGTTGCAAGCTGGTCGCTGTGTGGGGAGAGGGGTGTTTGCGGCGGAGGCCGCATCAAAGTAGCGATTACGAAGACTTATAGGACTGAGGGTTCAAACCCCCTTTTATAGGTGGTTTATTGCCTGAACCCCTGACTTTAGAACGGCAGAAAAATTAAGATTCCTGAATTACTATTACACATATCTTCATAATCAAAGTACACTGATTGTGGTCGCGGTTAAGTCCAAAAATGAAGCTTTTGATATCTCAAACAATTATCCTAAAAAGGCCATCTGAAAAGACCATCTGAAATGACCATCTGAAATGACCATCTGAAATGACCATCACAAGGCCGTAAAGGCGGCCGACTATTCTATAATGAAGATAGATTCATTTGTATAGGGCCAAAAGCTTCATTTTTGATATTTACAGTATTAATGAATTTACAATACACTGTATAGTTAGAGCAGTGTAAAAGCCAGTCCTAGATAAGGCATTCAGGCATCAATTTCCACCTACAAACTACCTACAAACGGAGATTTAAACCCTGAGTCCTATAAGTCTTCGTAAGCGATTGCCCCAACTTCTGCCTTAACTGTCTCGTCCTTCATTGTCTCAATGCATCGATCGACGAGCATAAGGCCCTCAGCAAAAGCAGTGGCATCCAGAACGGCGTTAAGAGAAGCGCCGAGCCCCTCACGCATCGCGCGTACCACTCGCGGGTCCCCTTCAACGAAGCGGGCACGGAAGTCGATCAGACCGGCGTGGTCAAGGGAAGTAATACGAGCAAGACTTGCACTGGTACCAACGTATTGCCATAGTGCTTCAACGGCTAGTAGCAGAGATACGACTGGGCCGACGAGGTCGGGGGCATTGATTTGGCTAATTCGGAAGCGGAGGTCCGTATTCTGTAGTGGCCCAGAGCGGGGTTTCGCGATAGCAACCCGTCCCCAGGAAGGGATATGGGTATCGGACGTAATGTTATGCTCTCTTTCCCTCTCACGGTTGTGAGGGCCCTGGGAGGATGGATGGCAAATGTATTATTAAGCAGCGTAGTTGTCCTACGTAACAATTCCATAGAAATGGGATCATCCTTACCACAACCAGGTTTATTCCATAACACAGCCGGAAGTTAATAGTTGAGGACCCTTTCAATCAAGTGTAAAGGGGGTGGATAAGAGAGACGGCGATGAGGGAAGAAGGGAAATCGAAGATGAGTACAAATTGAACGAGAGTAGGAGCAGCGAGTAGCTGGATAAATAGATACGCGAGCATGTGGAATCCTTAGGGAAGCCTCTCAAACCCAAGACCTCGGGACATACAGACCGCAACCTAACGGTGATAAACGAAACTGGTGTAACTGGTAAAAAGCCTAGCGAACTTCCTGCCTTTTAGTTGTGTAATTGTATTGCATATTCCAAGGTCATACAATAATTCTATCTGAAGAATCTGTACAACTCTCTTGCTTGAACATGAGTCTTCTCCTGTCTATAGCACACTTACCCTTCCAACCCCTTGTATAATATAATTCTCTCCCACACGGAACATGATACATACGACCATAGGGTGTGGAAAACAGGGCTTCCCGTCCGCTCAGCCGTACTTAAGCCACGCGCCGGTGAGTTAGTAGTTGGGTGGGTGACCACCAGCGAATCCTCACTGTTGTATGTTTTTAAGTTTTTGATAAAGGAGAGGGAAAGGATATATATTGAGAATACCACGAGACAAGTTGTCTTCGATTTTTCACGGATTTTTCCTAGTCTCTTAAAGAATAGCTTTCCCTTCCAAAGGATTAGGGTGTAACTAAAGTTATTTAGTCGTTAATCAAAAGTGGGTCCGCCTCCTCTATGAAATCTGAGATAGTATCCGGTGACTTTCGACAAGTTGACGCTATAAATACACTTGTCAGCGGCATCGGTGATTTAAGCGATGATATGTGCCGTGTTTTCTAAGAGAAATACACTCATTCTGATGTTGATTACGAGGAAGAGAACCTTTTTGTAAATTAGTATCAAATGTTATATATAGAAGAGTCAAATTCACAAATTAAGCCTTTCCTCTACCCTTTCTTTCCTGTGATCTATCTATGAAACTAGGATGGGGGTAAGATACCTGTGAAAAAAAGAGATTTCAAAAGAGATTTAAAAAACTATTCAAAAAGACTGACCAAAAAGTCATCACGACTTGTATGTCATAGACATAAATGGCCGTCTCGTTAGCAGATAATTGATTACGTTTGGTGTGACGATTGATGTTTGTTTATACATGTGATTGCACCCTACATAATATGATCTTTGACCTTTTTTTCTCTTTGTTTTAGTTTGCAATTCGCTTTTCTTGTATGCTATCGATTTTGTTTTCCATGGTAGCCAGCTAGCTTATAAGCATGAGTGTATGTAGATCTTGGTATATCTATCCTACAAAATAAAGATAAGCTCTTGGGAATAATTTTTCTTTGGGTTCGGGATAAGTGTTCCTACAGTGGGAACGATTGTGGCCTTTTTTACTACAATGTGCATGATACAAATCACTAGAGCTAGAACGAAGCAACAAAGACTGCTCTGATTAACAAATGACTAGGGTGGTCATAAACTTAGGTAATCATTGCATTTTAGTTAACGTATTTCATAAGCTAGTGGCCACCACAAGCTAGTGGCCACCCCACCAAAAAACGCGTCAATTAATTTAACCCTTTCTTCTTTAACCATCCACTATGCCACCAATTCGCTCTCAACGCTCTACAAATTCAACTAAGCAAGAGGGTAGGCTTTTATTAGCTATCTAGGCTATTAAAAATAGAGATATTATATCTATTACTCTTGCTGCTCGTACCTACAAAGTAGACCTGGCAGTGACCCTCCGGGTGGTCCATGACCTTGGAC